CGTGGTGTGACGAGGTGCGCAAGGCATCAGATTCTGCGACCCTGACCGCGAAACTTCATAAACTCATAGTGATTCTGAATTTATTGAGCCGCCTAACCCCTATCCCCTCTATTTAAATTTCGGAACGCCTAAACCCTACTTTCTGGGCCTGTCGCGCCAGAGCGGGTGCCACAGCACGGAAGAGGGGAATGGAGCGCCTGCGGAGAGACGGGGCCAAGAGAAAGGCCGGGGGGGAGAAGGGGCGAGACTTAGGGGGCTAAGGACAGCTTAGGAGTGTGCTACCAGGCTTTGTGCTTATCGCCGTTTCGGGGTTTTGGGCTATCCCGAAGGCTGACTGTCAAGGCAAGGCTACACTCGACCAAGGCGCTCTTCCTCGATGAGGCCTCTGCTCAGCAGCATCTCCTGCACAGGTGATGGATGAAGTAGAATGGCCTTCGAACATTTTAAATACTTCAGATTTAGATTTGTTGAGGTGCAGCACGCCATGTTACATCCCATGGCAGGCTGACCTGGCTCACGCGCAAGCATGTCTACCGAACCGTGTGGATCTGCTTCTCACACTGTAGACTTTACTCAGCAGGTGCGCTCAAGATGTGTGCTGATTGCCGCTGCACTCCATGGCGAGTGATTTCTTCCGTCGTCTATGCCGTCTACGCTACTACTCATTCTGAGTATTACAGACTCCAGAACCAGGTCATCTGTGCTTCCACCCATGCTTGAGGAGTGTTTGTGGCCGCAGAAGACCAAAGTTTTTCATGGCTCAGACTGCCCCCCCCTGAGTAAGCCCTCAACGACTCAATGACTCACGCTAGCAAACATTCGCGAACCCAAGCTCCAGCCATCGTGCTGCGCGTCGACCATCCCCCCTTTCCGCGCGGTGTAAGACCGTCTCCGCCGTGAAGTCCACCTCGTGCGGTGAGATGGGTTTTAAGGTTTCAGGGCTGGAGGGTTTTAGAGAGCTTTTTTAGGGCCTTGGGGAGGTGTGCGGGGCTTGCGGTTTTGCTTCCTCAGGGAAGAGGGTTACGGCACGTTCAGGGTTTGGCTAAGAGGGGGACAATCGATGACACTCGCGCCTTTCCCTTCTTCTCTGGCGGGGATGGAAGCGTGGATGGGCTGGATGGCGCCCAAAGATCGACAGAACTCAATGCACCGGCCAGGGACGAGTCATCGCGCCAGCGGCCTGCAGCGTCCCGAAACACAGCAGAGGGTAGGCCATAAGCACTTTACATGCATGCATGAGTACAAGCAGTGTCTCAGTGTCAGTGTCACTCAATTTGTCTGTACGCATGTGTGCGTGTACGCACGTCGGAATGCCACAGTTCTTCAACAGACAATGCACAAAAAAAACTGTTTCATGCAAACAGCTCGCTCCTACTGTAACTAGGTTGGTCTGGACCATGCAGACAAAGCATGACAGCGCAAGCTTCGCACAGTAACCCTCAGCCTTTTGGAGGAACTCCCTCTGCCCGAAGCTGGGTGCGGGCCGCTGGAGTGATCTCGCAGGGAGGCCATCCTACTCACCGACCATAAACCAGTGATACATCTCTAAACCCTCCAAGCAACATGCCCCAACTTCATAAAACCTCTTCCTCCAGTGAAGACAACGCCATATTCACCATTCCGAGCATTCTTGCATAGCTTCGTTCATCGGGGCCTTCATTTGCACAAGGCTTTGGCTCACGCGCTGCGAGGCGCTGAGCAGCAGCGCCGCCGCCGCAGCGCGCCCGTAGCGAGGCCGCGGCTTCTTGGACATCGCGGCACTTAAGAGGTCTGCTCGACTCCTGAGGGATTGGAGATGCATTCCGGCATTCCGTCCATTCATGAGGCTGCGCTGTGCCGGTGGGGGAAGGGCAAGCGACATGATGTCTTTAGCGTGGGCCAAACGGCCTCATGCGATGCTGCAGGTCATGAGCCTCGGCAGGGAGTTTGAAGTTGCCGATGGCCCAAATACAGCCACAACGGCTCCGAGGCAGCTTCGTATGCTCGACTCACAATGTCAGCCTCTTTTCATTGTCCCATGATGGCTTCTTGTGAAGTCTTAACTGCCAGGATACCCTACGAGCACAGCAGCTTGCAGCAACTCGATGCAAGATTCAGATTCGTGCGAAGCAACCAATAAGCTCCCACCTAAGGCCACGTCACAAACTTCGTGTCGCACCTTTGGCACTCTGCCAGCACAGCATTAGCGGCTGCGGTTCGACTGCATCGTCTTCGGCGAGGCTGCAGGGCAGCTTTGATACGATGGCCTTTTGTGAACTTTTATGCTCACCGGGCTCTGGCCTCGGGCTTCTGATCATGAAAATAGAGCAGCCCAATCCCGAGAATTCGGGCCAATCTACAACCAGCATCATCGATTGCCGAAACATGCCTGTGCTGCCGACAGCCTTGCAAAGCCCATTCCCCGACACTCATTGGTGATATGCTATATAAGATTCGATCCATATCAGATCTTTATGGTACGGGAGATGTCCGAATTTGGAAGCCGGAGTGCGTTTCGTAAAACTGTGCGCCCTAAACCATGTTCTGTGCTAAGTTCTGGTGTCATTCACCGGCTTCCACACACAGAGTCTCACAGGTTTGTCGTGGTCCATCTTCGTGACCACAAGTGGAGCAGTCATCTACATCATGGAACTTTGAACAGAAAGTCATGAGCCGAGGTTCGTGACAAACCTAGACGCCGAGCTACATGAAGAGATGTTTCTCAACTGGGCATGATGCCCGAAACAAAAGCAAAGAGCCACGCAGGGTGCTACAAATCGAAGCGGATGGCAGATGCTGCCTCTACCGCTCGGGCAGTCCAAGCTGCGTCACATCACGCGAGCATTGTAGCCTCAGCTCTTGGATGGGCTATAGATAAGAACGTGAGGATGCATGCGAATGTCGGAGATCGGACACAGCCGCCTCCGTACTGGCCACCATAGTTCTGGCCGCCATAGTTTTGGCGCATGGAGCCGCCACCACTGTATGGAGCTCCCTGGGCATGTCGGCAGACGCTCGGGAACAAACGCTGCCCATAGCCAACAAGTTGGTAGCAGCCAGTGACAGCGCGACAGCAGTGCAACTGCAGCTAAAATGTTGAAGTACTAAGAGCAGTTTCAAACCGTCAGAACCGGAGCAACATAAAGCAAACAAACCTGATGAACACCATGTGCTCGGTCTGAGGTTGCAGCCTGGTTCAGCAGTGGCACCGGGGACTGAACAAGGAAGCGTTAGTTGCAAGGCTTGCAGAAAGCGGAATAAAGCATGATACAGGCAAACGAGAGAAAAAAGAGCGAGAGGGAGAGAGAGGTGCTGACACATATTGTCGTACCCCCTTGATTCATGCATGTGTCGCGCCCCTCCGTGTTTTGGAAAGAGAACGACTTTGCTCCATATGACGCAAGAAGATGCCCGGGGCCTGATTCATGCCCTGGACTTTGGCCCGCAGCCACATGAATGCGTTGCCGTTCCACTTTCTGTGCATGCTACTAGTCATTGCTCGTCTCTGCTCCTGCGTGCGCAGAGATTCAAAGGTCAAGTCTCAGCCAGACCAAGGGAGGAGCCTGCTGGAAGTGTGTCGTGGGCGGTTGCCCGCCGTAGCCAGCTTGAGCAGGATACCTGTAGGATTCTCGAGAAAAACAGTTCCTGGTGAGGTGGAAGCACTCTGAATGTAAATTTGTTGCATAGCACGGTGCCAGGGCAGCCGGGTGAGCAAGAACAGGCACATTAAGCACATTGCATCTCATTACATCTCATTTTTTAACCTGTGCCAAGATCCACTGAATGGAGACTCAGACACGACGGGGGGTGGGTTGTCAGAGTCGGGTTCAGAAGCCCCTGAAAGCCCCAAAGACCCCTGGGCCAGCCTCGGTGGAGACGGCGGTTGCTGGAAGGATGCCTGCCTTGGATGCCGCTCTCGTCTTTGAAGGGTCAAGGCTCTCAAGGTCAAAAAGGAATTGTGAGGGGTGTAAGACTGGCAACTGGAACCCACAGCCGGTCTGTGGCTCGAGGGCCGCGTTCCAAGTCGAGTTGTGGTCCTGCTTCTGCTCTGGGCACCAAGCTGGTATCCACCATAGTTTGCCTCGTTGCAAGTGTTCACACACAGCGTGGAATTGCACAGCCTAAGCCCTGGACCTGACGGCATGGCGGCACCGAGCGTCGGTTTGGTCAGCGCTGGTCTCAGGTTGTGGCCATCTTCGCAGCAGTGACATCATCGTCGTCCTTTCGCAAGACTACTGTGCTTCTTTGTACACAGATGTCCTGGTCATCACCTTTGAGTGGAATCAAATGAATCAACGGGCGCTCGTTGACCAAAACCCCGAAATTCTTCTGCGTCGCAAGTGACTTCAGTAAGAAAGTAAGAAAGGATTTTAGGAAGCGGGAGACGGAATGACTCAGAGTGACGTCCTTCCCCAAATCTGCCCTGTCCTCGTCCGGCTCCGAGTGTGAGCGCATGCCTGAGTGAGGCGCTTGAATCTGAGTCGACCATGGTGGCATGGTGGCATGGTGGCATGGTCGCATGGTGGCATGGTGTGCAGCCTCAAGGCAACATGCCAGGAAATTGCTCAAACTGTTTTCGTCGACGCTCCAGCCACATTGCACCTTTGGTGCTTGTCGATGCGCATGCTGGCTCGGATCCTGCCTGCCCTCCCGATGGAAATTCTGTAGGACATGTATCTGACTGGCATTCTCCTCATTAAAATCCTGAGCAAGCTAGAAGCGCTTTTGAGCAGGCATTTCAAGACTTCAGTTGCAAGATCTCCCACCTGCCGTCTTTTCCACTCAACACAAGAACATCCTAGCAGCCCAGCCCCCCTCCCTTCGTACGACACAATTGCTCCGTTCAGGTTTTGACGGCGGTGGCTTGGAACAGCTGCTGTTCAGCCACTCACCCCTGCAACCAGAAATGTCGGGTAAACCTTCGGAGAAGTTTCGTACATCCATTCCGTGACACTGCAGCTATGCAAAGCAATCGCCCCTGTGATCTGCTCAGCTTTGTGGACTCATCCTTGCCATCGAGCCTAGTGCCTCCTTAACTTACGCAGCATGGGTTCTTGTACACGGAGGACTTGTTGGAACTCGGTCATGACATCACGCCGCCTGGCAAAGAACGCATGTACATTGCTGGCGCTCTGCGTGCAAAGCCCTCCAGGCAGCTGGCTCAACATGCGAGAGTGCCGAGTGATCCTATAGAGTTCAACTAATACTCGCAGGCTGACAGGGAAAGCAGGAGCCATGGCCATGACCAACAACATGCTTTGTGCGCAAGTGCTTTCGGAATCCTGCAACCCCGGAATCAGGCTCCACTCTACATGCTACCACCCCAGTCCAGAACTCGAGCCTGTTGTTGGCAATGTGCAACAGGTCCCGTGGCGTGACGGCAATTTCCCATGTGTGCGTAGACCTGCGTTCGGCTCAGCAGGATGAGCCGATGAGAAGCAACTCTTAGGGTCGGATCGTGTGGAGCTGACATGTCAGAAACTCCATGCCCAATGCTACTACGAGGAACTCGCGCAATCTGCGGCCTCATGGTGGAGTCAAAGTTCGCTGCCGGCGCCGTAGCCTCTGGGCTTCTGACTTGGAGCGATGCTTTAGGGTTGAGGGTGGTAGGCGCAGAAGGCCTGAAGGCTTAAAACAGCTGTGGAGGTAACCAGGTTCAGGCTTTGGGGAGTTTAGGTCTTCGGGTTGACATGCGCCTGAAGGATTTTCAAGGCTTCTGGCGCGCTCGACCAGTGTGGCGCGTTGCCCATGAGGATGCCGACGTTGTCTCGTTGTCCGAACTCTTTCAACCTCGGAACATGCCATGTAAGCTTCTGCTTTGAAAGAAACTGCTCGTAAGGATTTGGGCACAAGGCTTTAGGCCTGGGTTATATGGGGTTTTTAGGAGCGCGTGGTTTTCAGGGCTTTACACAGGCCTTCAGCGTTCAATGCTTCAAGGCACACGACACGACTGCTCCACAACCTAAGCACTACAACCTGGCTTATTCGGACCCCCGAACCCTGAAACCCTGAGCCTGAAACGGTTTCAGGGTTAACCTGGAACCCGGCACCTAAACTCTGTAATGGGGACTGCAATGCACTCCGAAGCCTCCATATCACTCCAAAGCGAGGACTCTTTTTGCTGGCCAGTGAGCTGCTTGGTGACCTCACGATCCCAAGTCAGGCTCGCCCCCATGGATGGGTTAGCAGTGGCGGGCCGCGGTGGCTCCTGGGCGTTGAAAGAAATCGGGGTTTGGCGTTTAGTGTTCTTCTTGGGCTTGTGGGGAAGCTTGTGAGAGGTGCCCCGAGCTGGGGGCTTGCTTGCCCCCGTCCTCAGGAAGGCTCTCGACCCCCACGGCTTCGACTGCGACTTCTCGGCCTTTGCTGCCCTGGCTGCGCCTAGCAGGGGAACTCGATTGATATGTTCATTGTTTTCTTCTTCGTATCTGAACATGAATTGGGGTTTTTCTGATGCGCTCTAGCAGGGTCATTCATCTCCAGGAAGAATCCCTCGATTATTTTGGAGGGAGGAGGCTCGTATGAATCATCTATTTTCCATTAACTGAATTTTACTTTGCTCCATGTTGATTCATTCTAACTCATATTGACGTTGATTTATTGTGAATAATTCTGATTAGTTTTAGCAAAGTTTAAGTGTTTGCATTTTACCCTCAATATTTGTCATTAAGCTTACTTGACTTGATCCAATTTCGTCTGGCTAATGTAAATGTAAAAACTGTTCAAACTTGAATCCATTTTGGCATGTATTTTCAATCAAAGGATAAGCAATTAAACCATAATTACAAATTCTCTATATCCAGTAAGTGTAATTGCTCAGAAAAACTTGCTCTAATCTGAAGCAAATAGCTGGTGTTAAGTAAATCCCAATCTTAATTTCAAATACATGTAATTGCAAGTCTTACTGCAAAAAAATGTCAGGCTTCATCATGTTAATTCATTTTCGCAAGCTTTAACTTAAACTTTTCATTTTTAACTTTATGGAATTCGACTAATCTTGACTAGGTATTTTGAGTACTGACAATTCATCTTAGAATTTGAAGCAAAATTAGCTAACTTAACTAATTACGTTTATGTATCTTTATTAACTTCACTTTTTGTCACTTTGAGTTGACTTTACTTAGGTTTGGCATTTTTCTATTGGTGTAAAAAAGTATGACGAATGATGATTGTGTTTTGACGGTTTTGGTTTATGTACTTTTTGCATAACTTTTGAATTGCTCTTGATGAACTCTTGTTTCATTTTTGACTAGTTTTCAAAAATTTTCATGCATTTCATGCAGTGTTCGTAGATTTTGGCGATTTTTATGATTTTCACTAATTTTTGTTTAGTTCGACTTTACTTCATGAAAACAACTCTAAAAGATGCAATGACTTGTAAGTGATCTTGTGCTAAATTCAATGTTAATTAATGCTAAAAACTTTGATGGCTGATAATTAACATTACTTCATTTTAACTGATGTCTGTGAGTCTTAGTTCATGTTGATTAACTTTGAAGTTTGATGACTGTCAGGTACTTTTGATCTCAATTCACTTTTCATTAATTTCGATTAACCTTAACGGGTTCTATTTGATTATAAATAAGTTTAATTCATTTTCCTTAAATCAGTCAATTTCAAATACTTCCCAATAATTTTCAATGATTCTACGCGTTCTGAAGTAAATGACTTGTAATTAATGACAATTAGTTGTAATCAACTTAAAGTACCTTTTGTTAAGCTTAATTCATATTAGTTGATTTTATACCATTGTAGCTAATTTTGCTTGATTTGAATTGACGCCCCTTAAGAAATAATTGTAGTATATGTTGAAGTAAGTAATTTTGTTTCTTCTGATTGTATTTAAGTTTCGTTCATGTTGTCCAATTTTGATTTTTTCAACCAACATTTTGCTCATGAACTTTCTTGAGTTTCAGCAATTTTGCTTAACTTTCAACATTGAAAGTAATTCAGACTAAAAATGAACCGAATTGAGATCCGATTAACATCAAACCTAATTACAAACGTTCAAAATCTACTAAAATCAACTACAAATACTTGCAATTCCTCAGCTAACTAACTCATTTTCACTCATTTTGAATTATTGAATAATACTCATCTATTGAAAGGGTTTAAGAGTTAATAGGAGGGGAGTCTCGACCGAAGACCGCGAGTGTCAAATCTGAATCTCCGGCAGCTGGTTCTGGTGCAGAGCATGCGAATTGATGTTGCCAGCCTGGATCGTGAGGTGGCTGGGCGGGAAGATGCATCTGATGCCTGGCTGCCTCGCAGACTCACTATGCTTGACATCACCTAGACACCAACCTCAGGTTGCGTCGCTTTGCAGAGCTGGTGCTCAAGGCTGTACTTCAAGCAGATTCGACGTACCAGTCCTCCTCGAGACTTCCTGGATAAATCCAAGGCTGGCAGCGCAGTCTGCATGGCCGACTGGGTGTCTCCAACAACCTTCCTTGTAATTGCACACAGTTCACAGTGCAGCCATCCAGTGTTTTGTAGGCAAAAGTGCTTGCTTGCCTGAATGATCTGCCGGGCAACCTGACCTGTGTGTGGTCGCACTGATAACTGTTTTTGCTGCAGCCTGTTGTCGTGGGCAATCGAGCACAAACATGCCGCGGCAGCATGCGCCCACTGCTCCACGCACATGGACCCAGCTCAAGCCCTTGCGACGCATCCAGATTTTTGCACTCTGAGCCCAGCACCCACTCGGTCCCTACCTTTTCGCTTTCCTCGGGTTGCCAATCGAACTTCCAATATCCCAAGCCTTTCTGGGGGCCACTTCGGTTTTTGGTCATGGGATTTCCTACAAATTATCTTCTCAGGCACCGGCCTGCCACAGCGTAGCAGTAGTAGCCCAGACCCCCTGGCTCGTTAACCAAGCAGACTTCGACAGACACGGCTACGGCACCTTACAGAACCGGCCTAGGGCCACCGCAGCCAGAAGCAGCGAAAGCATCGTAACCTGATAAAGGCCATGTGAAGATAAATTGTTGAAGTTACTGCTGAGTATCAACTCGGGGTTAGGGCCGTCGAGCTTGGTCCAGAGGATGCAGGCTCCTGGTTCGTAATGAAGCTGCCGCCTGCCTGGCCACACTCCAGGGAATGGGGCAAGGCAGTGAGAGAGCGGCAGCAACTGCATGGAACTCGTTCAAGGACTTCCCCGACACATTTACAGTAAAGACTCCTTCCGGAACATGCCAGGTCGACCGTGATTGGAGGGACTGTCGCAGCCTGAGGCATCAAGCAGAGGACTAGCATGATAAATCGAAGCTTCCACCCCTTGTGCAAGCCGCCCAAACCGAGCAGTGAATCACTAAAATATAGAGATCCCAAATGCCTCCGGTGGGGAAGCCTCCCGTTCCAAATTTCCCGGACACATAAGGTAGTTGTGCAAATCACAGTTTAAACCACATGTGGCGCAGGCAAGGGGGGGGGGGGGGCTCAAGATGGTGGCACATGGAAAACAAAAATATTTTGGTGGCGTAGGACATTGTCTTAGTGGTTTTGATAAGGTTGTTCCACTTCTCTGTCAGTCCAAAGTTGAACTACCGTCTGGGGTACCATACGGCATTTCGAAAAACACATAGCCTTGACAGTTACTCAGCAAGAACAACACTCCAGAAGTAGAACTGCATCAAAACGACAAGCCAAATCAACTTTTTCTGGACCGAAAGGTAGAAATAGCTTGTGGCAACAGCAGAATGGTCACTGGGGTTTTCCAGGGGTGAAAGCATGGTCTCTCAGCAATACAGCAGAGTTAACACAGAAGTACTGATCATGCTGCTGAGCTCTGAACACACAAGAACAACACTCCAGAACTAGAACTATATCAAAGCGACAAGCCAAATCAACTTTTCCTGGACCGAAAAGTGGAAATAGCTTGTGGCAACAGCAGAATGGCCACTGTGGGCCTCAAGGGTCTGAGGCTTGAGGATGGCTCCCCGTAAATTGGGGTGCTTCTAATTTCTTTAAAGAGGGTCGGAGGGGAGGGGGGTGGGGGGTGGTTTATTAAAAGCAGTGCAACAGTGCATGGGATTTTCATCGACTTGGGAACCGGCACTCCAAATCACACTTGCGCTTCCGCGTCGCGCGCGGTAGCACAAGCGACCCCATCCATAGCACAAGCGCGCTATGGCAACCTGTACTTGCGCCATGGATGTGGTCACTTGCGCTTCCGCGCCGCGCGCGGTAGCACAAGTGAGCTTTGGAGTACGGATTCAGGAGTTGGCAAGTGGCTGAAAACAGACTCTTTACAGTGAGGAATTTTGGTTGACTTGCGCTTAGGCGCAGCGCGCGGAAGCACAAGTAGGTGAAAACGGACCATTTGGAACGAGGAATCTTGGTGGACTTGCGCTTACGCGCGGCGCGCGGAAGCACAAGTAGGTGAAAACGGACCATTTAGAACGAGGAATCTTGGTGGACTTGCGCTTACGCGCGGCGCGCGGAAGCACAAGTAGGTGAAAACGGACCATTTAGAACGAGGAATCTTGGTGGACTTGCGCTTACGCGCGGCGCGCGGAAGCACAAGTAGGTGAAAACGGACCATTTAGAACGAGGAATCTTGGTGGACTTGCGCTTACGCGCGGCGCGCGGAAGCACAAGTAGGTGAAAACGGACCATTTAGCACGAGGAATCTTGGTGGACTTGCGCTTAGAGCGGCGCGCGGAAGCACAAGTAGGTGAAAACAGATCATTTAGAACGAGGAATTTTGGTTGATCTGCGCGGGATCACGAGGTTGCACTATCCGACACTTTGGAGCGGGAGGCTTCCCCACCGGAGGCATTTGGGATCTTTAGATAAAAGGCAGGCAACAAAGCGGAGCCCCATGCCAAGTTAATCTGCCATCCATGACAACAGCCAAGTATGATTTCCGGTGCAGTGGTGCGACCACACGCTTGCAAGACTGCCTCACCGTGGTTCAATAAGGGAGCACGGGCATGGTTCTGAAGGCGGATACTCATCACACCGGCAGTACACAGGCTATGTTCTTTGAATGCTCTTGATCTGGACTGCTGGAGAAGCACTCCTGCCCTGTGGTGCTTGACCTGCTTGGCTGAGACTATCATTCCGCGCATCACCTTTGTGGATGCTTTGGCTTGGGCGCTGAGCTGTACGTGCCCATGACGCTGATCATATTCACCTATTTACGCGTAGGTTCCGCAAGTATTCCTCCCACAGGGAGAATCTGGTCTGCCTCTGCCGGGCAGAAGTGCTTGATGTACTCTCCAGCCACGATGCTATTGGCCTCCACAGAAGACGTGCTATGGTACAGAGTACGGACTAGCAGCTAGCCGCTCAGCACTGTGAGCTCAAAAGGTTGACGGGCTTACCCGGAGCCTAAACCATTACAAAGCTTCTTGACATCAGATGGGTGCAGAGTCTGCGTGGACATGATGAAATGTCCAGGGAGCACCATGAGTGAGTGAGGCTTAAGGGCTTAGCAGGGCTTAGCAGGGCTTACCAATTTCCACTCAAGACCAGGCCAGCCTCAGGCGTACCTGTCGTTACGCTGGTGGCCGTCAAAGGGTAATCCACGACATTGGTTTTGTCTTTGCCTCGCCTTGTCGCAGTCCAGCATTTGCAGACATGTTCAGGCGCATTGAAGGAGCTCACCTACTAGACCTGCAGACGCTGCTCATTTTCCAACCCGTATAAATTTCATTCAACCCCGAACGGCAGCGCAGACTTGTAAGATGCAAGCTTGGTGCTCAACGCCGGTGCATCTACCTCGGCAACCCCTGTGGCTTCGAGGTCTCTGAGGGTCATGTTTTGTGCGCAACTTCCAGTTGATAAGGCTGTGGCCCAGCAGCCGTCATTCTTGGAGTATTCCCAGTACTCACCTCTCTTCCGGTATCATGCGGTGCCTCTACGAAGCTGGATCTTCATGGGACCAGCTGTAATTCGGACCGATGCTACTAAGGGCCAAGCAAATGATGTTGGAGTAGCACCTGAGCATAGCCGAGGTTTCAGAACAGATTGGAAGCCATGTTCTTCGGCTTGCTTTGTTTGTGCTTGTCCGTATTGCGTGGCCGACGACGTGCGCCCCGTAGACTGGCTTTGTGTGAGCGTTCAAGAGCTCTTGCGACACCTGACAACCGATTCACGGCACCTGGATCGACGACTTCTTCTGGACTCTGGATGTCCTGACCCCTACTGTACGTGGGGCCTGGGCCATTGCTGGGCCCAGGTCGGGATCCCTTCTTCCTCTCTTGCAAGGAGAGCGCTCCGTTTACCCCTCTCCCCTCCGTCGTGGTGAGGCACTCTGCCCTCTGCTTGGCTGATCACGGGTGAGGTAGCGGGCCGCCGTACAGTGGACTGCAGCTGGGGTTAGAGCATGTGCGAGGTGCCTTGCGCAAACACATCCACTTCACAACTCTCGCGGCCAGACATGCCGCACTGAGGTCGTCTCCAGTCTCTACATCGAGCAATGCTAAGCTCCTGAAGCAGGCTGCTGGAGGCAGTACCATGGCTGTAGGAACCTAATTGCCCTAAACCCTACATAACCTCTCGATGTTTAGCATGCTTCCTGAGGGGAAAATTCAGGGTTTAGGGCCGTTCGGGAGAGAAGATGCAAGAAACATTCTGGCATATTCTTCCTGTTTTGACTACTACGGCGTCTGACCCCTGTCACTGTTGTGGTTGCGGTGTGAGCTGTAAAAACAAGTTGGATCTGCTGGGTAGTCGTTGTCTGGACTCCAGTTTGCAGCGCACTGTTGACGTGGGTTTGCGTTTCAGGGCTTGTGCTGCAGGATTAGGGCGTTCAGGCAGAGGCGGTTGCTTCATTGGGCTAGAGTCACAAGCTCTTGATTCAGGTCCTGCTACCTCTTTGTTTTTTCGATGCTCCATATACTCCCTATGACCCCATGTCATTGGCCTAGGCGGCACTGCTGACTCTTGTGCATTTGGGCTATGCGCGGCAGGCCCGTGATTATATCCTTGGGTCTCCCTCTCCACGCCAGAGAACTGCGACGGCCTGCGACCCTTCGGCATAGAGGCCGAAGTTGTAAAGCCTCAGGTTGACTGTGCCACTTCGGGAACGCCAGCGCCATCACCTTTTGCTACCGTGCCCTCCTTTTGTGGATTCCGTGGAGTGCAAGGCCTAGACTCCCAGACTGTGCAACTAGCAGAAGTATTTATGAAGCAAGCGCAGATTGCAAAGTGCTTGCGAGTTTCACAGTGCAGCTGAGTATCTTGTTCACCTTTACGCCGACAAGGCTCTTCATAACGTGCACCTGCCGAGCGGCTGGTAGAAGGCTGCGCCAAGAGGGGCCCAATGCGTGTTCGTGGCTTGCTTCGGCGTTCAAAGTGCTTGAGAACACAGCAGAATCCATCTGAGGTTATCTTCGGTTGCAAACTTCCTTCTGCCACAACACAAGGTGCGAGGCCTTTCCATGCTGCAGCCTCTGCGCAGCCTTGCAGAGAGCACACAAAAAACACTATTGCTGCCTTGTAGAAACAGATTCGATTTCGACTTGAACTTTAGTGAATGCTTCAAATACATTGCCTGATACTGTTGCAAATTCTGCGACCGTGGCTTCTCGACATTCGGGCAATTGCATGCAACTCGCAGGGGAAGTTACGCAGTTCTCCATCATCCCATCATTCCTTAACACCTGTAATTAACGCTGGCCGCTGTAAGCCCTAAACTGCTCAAACATGCAAATTCCCAAGCCGGCATGGCCCACTCACTCAACAACTTGCTGCACAAAGGGAACGAGTGATGACATTGCATGGGCCCGTTTTCTTCTTGAACTACCATATTTGGGACTACATCACGGGAACGAGTTCCCCACTACTGACACTTGCCCAATGCAGCATCGAACGCGCGCGAAGGCCTGCACGTCTATGCTCTGCTGGTGGCCCTGGCCAAGAAGGCGACTTAGTCATTGAGCTTTGTGACTGGAACTCGCTGGAATTTAAACTTGAAAGCTTCGGCCAGAGTTGAGTTTTTAGGTGCAGCTTGGGGATCGATTCCAGGGTCAGGTGTCAGTGACTGTGGCCGAAGGGACTGTGGTACATGTAGTGTATTGATTCACTATAGACCCACTGGGCCTTCCCACTTGTGGTTCAGCAAGCGTGCCAGCGATGCCGCCCTGAAGTCGCAGTCGTGGCCACCAACTCCCAGCCAACACCTCAAAGCTTGGAAGGGTGTCCGGCATGCTTTCGTCTCAAGCGACGAAGGTGCGCAGACTTGGCACACATGGATTTCCAGAAAACCCTCATCATTCCCTATGGCGCTACATTGCATGCCTTGAAGAATTGCGTGCCCACGCTCTCTTTTTGGGTGCGCCGCGCAGCTGAATATGGCAAGTGCCTGTGGACCATCACTCAGGCCCGCAGAAAAGAAACCACCAGCTGTTGATGCTGACCGCTTCGGCTTCTTTGGCCTCAAGAACACACAACCCCCTGAACCTTGGACCCTAAACCGAATTCAGCCCTAAACCCTAAAAACCAAGGCCCCATAACCCTCAAAACTCTGCGCCCCCCCAAGCCTCCAAACTGCGAGCCCTGGAATCCGAAATCCCCAAGCCCCCTGAACCTTGAACAACTCTCTCAACCTAAACCCAAAACCACTCAAAACGCCAAACCCTAAGCTCCCCAAAACCTTCCCAGAGAAATCCCCACAGCACCCCCCAAAAAAGGCCCTCAGCATCTGTGTAGCCACTGGCCCACCCAGCCTTCCCTTCTGTTTGAAAGTGCAACCCCCCCTCCCCCCCCCCCGGCCCGCCCCCGCCCGCCCCCGCCCGCCCCCCCCGCCACCACAATCATCCCGAAAGAAATCCTGCGAAGTCGATGCTCAGAAAGTCTCTAGTCCTACCCATATTCTGGGTAGTCGACCTATCCGCCGACCCCAGCCCGGGGGCGGCGTCAGTGAAGACCCACTGCTTCTTAGTACCGCCTTTACCCTCTAGCACCCCATGCCTTCAGTGCTTCATCTATTGCGTTGCAGTGCACGCCGAACCCCGTACCGGACCGCATGGACCACCCCCCCTAATCCCCCTAATCCCCCCCTAATCCCCCCCTACCACCCTCCCACCCCCCCCACCTAAGTCTTCCCTTACCCTATGTCCAGCGCATGCCCAACCCCCGCACCCTTCCCTGATCCCCTTCAACGCCCCGTACCTGCCCCCTCCCCCCCCCACCCAGACCCCCCCCTGCCCTCCCTACCCCCCGCCCTCCCCCCCTACGTACTGGCGGTAGCCGTTAAATTACTTCCAATGAAAGAGCAAAAACCTCCAAAAAACAAAAAAGGCCTCGTTCCCGCTAGAATCAGGCACTGAGCCACTAAGCCGCGAAGCCGAGGCTCCGATCCCTGCGACTGGAAATCCGAGGCAAGCTGGATCAAGCCTCCTGCAAGGCCCACGGATTTTGGGGTTTTCAGGGTTGGTTTTCCGTGCGTGTTGGGGGTTAGGGCTTGTTTGGGCGAGGGCTTAGGGGACTTCACGTTTCAGATTTCTTGGCCCACTAGGTGGTACAGTGAGGGTGCATCGCTCCTGCTCGCGATGTTTCGGCTTGGAGCCATTCCAGATGCTGGGCATCAAGGCCGCCAGGAAGAAGGCCCAACGTCCCATTCACCTTTCCACCCAAGATAGAAGACGCTCTTCACTGTGAACCCTGAACCCTAAATTCTGCGTTTGCGCCTCATCCACCGCCAAGCGCTCACTACAGGCGAAGGGGTTGACTCCTTGCAGGAGCCTGGGATGCCCAACCCGAAGCCTTACATGCCAAGAGAACAAGCAAAACGTTGAGCCTGTATAAAGAAACATGTATACATATACACATATGTACAGGTATACTAATATGCACTTCCATACATAAGTACATCTATACCTCTCTATACATATATACCTGTATACATGCCTCAAAGATGAGAGGGCATATGGAAAAGCACCAGATTTGTTGGCACTTTATAGTAAGGTAGCTTGGCACTTTATAGTAAGGTAGCTTGTTCACGGCCCTGGCCCTTGCAAACCTTTTGCCATAAATATGATATCCAGTTTCATGATGCTTCGTAGTGCAAATGACTTCGTGTCACCCCCAAAATCACATCACAACGACACAGTGTACGCCTAATTCAATGCGCCACTTCAGTAAATTACCTTCTTCCGCGCGATGCACAAAGAAATAGCATAAAACACTCACAAGCCGCACATGACGACACTTTGGCATTCATTGAACACGAGCAGCAAGGAGACATGATACATTCACAGCTGCTCGGTACATTCAATAAACAAAGTAAACCACGAAACTCTGTCTTATGAAGCGGTGGTACTTTTGTACCAGTAAAGCCAGAACCTACATCAAACATGCGTAATGCTTGTCATTCAACGAGTTAAAGCACTGAACGATTCAATTGACTTTCCTTTCGTGCAAAGCACAAAAAACTGGAAACACATACGAGTACCGCGTGAACTGTACCTTGATCATAGCGGCAAGGCCTAAACGAACCATTCAAAAAACACACATTTCGCAGTTTTCAAGGAGCCTCTTCTCGCTCATTTATCTACTTTACCGAACAGTTCACGCTCAAGGGTAGCGGGAGAGTAAGTCTCAGCTGAAGCGACCTCGGTGCATGTCATGTCAGGTCACTTTGCAGGACCTCAAATTCAAAGCCTTGGGCCTTGATCCACAAGATATGCCGAGTAAGGCCTTTAGAGACAGCAATATTTGAACCTTGGGAGCCTCAGCGTATATTCTCAATACATGGATGTACATAGTCAATGAAAACAAAATAGGTGTATGCATATACATGTATCTAATATAATTACATGTACAGCTTTCACAACTTACACACACATGTACACACACACCAAAAAAAACACACACATCACGATCTGAATTGCTTCGGCACACAAGGAAGGGTTCGTCCCTTGCCGCCTCATCTCCCAAAGACCCCGGGCGGCATCCTCAGCAGTCTCTCGCAATCCGCCATACTCTCTTTACACTCCTTGAGAGGTACGCTGCAGTGTGCAAATGTTCGGATCCTGCAGCTTGCTATCCTATGGCTCTGGCATGTCAGCTTGAAAACCCAGTGGATCCCAGTGGCAGACAAGCTGTAGCTTGTGACTGCAGTTGGCACTCGCAGCTGCACCAGAGCGCGCAGGGCAGGGTGCCAGGACTCCTGAGATGACTGCCAGCATCAGAGATGCTCAGAGAGCTGGTGCGCTGGTGCAAGCCAGTGAAGCTAAGGCACATACTCTTGGATACCTGGATGGGTCGGAGGGCGGGTGGGGGGGGGTAGAGCACACACACCTGAACCCAAACCCACACGACATGGGACCTTGCCCTATACCCACAACAGCCGGAGCCCTGAGAAGCACCGGGCCTGCGTGGAAAGCCACGGCAAGATGAGGCGGGGCTGCTGAAGCCAAGAAGTCCTGATACATCGTCCTGTCCACAAGCAACTCGGCAAGGTGGGGTTGGGGGGTGGGGTGTCGGGTCTTTCGTGGCAGATCGAAGCCAGGTCCTGTGAAAGGTGAGATGCACGTTGCCGATCTCAAACTCAGAACCTTAGGCCGCGAACCCCTTAAAGCTCATTGACCCTAGCCATGTCAAGTACTTGCTTCACCCCTGAATCACATTTCGAGTAATTGGACGAGGTGCCCAGAGGCAGATCGCGTCCCAGCTCCGGGCCAACTAAGCGTAAGGCCACGCGCGTGGGCAGGGCACGGCCCAGCTCCTTCTTTAGCCCCGGAATGCTTGGAACATCTTGGAACTTTAGCCCCTGGGTTTGAATACACAGCTCACCCCTCTTGGTGACCCTCATGTAGCCTCCATTTGGCGCAATTGCGGAAGTGTCCCGAAATCTGTGATCTCAGTGCCAACTGGACCCGCTCAGCCTCATAGACCAGCTCCATATCTGTGAGCTCCAGGATTCTTGGCTAGAGTCCGACAGACACATCCAAACCCTATGCCATTCGCCTCGGCCTTGGCCGCGTGGCATGAAGAGGTTCCGTTTTGGCATGAATATTCACGTGCTGGGCAGTGGACACGGGCGCAAAAAGTGTATGTTTGCACTAAGCCAGTTTTGGTTGGCCCCTCCCCCCTCCCTTTCCTCCCAACCCTTTCCCCCCCGACCCTTTGCCCCTAACCCTTTCCCCGCACCCCCCCTCCCATATGGAGGGAACGTAACGTATGATTTTTTAGGGCATTGCACACCATGCACACCATGCACACCTTGCCACGTGCAAACCTCTGTGCCGGCGCTGGCCTTTATGAGGCTAGAAACTATGAACCCTAAATCCTGTGGTCACGGTTTGTGTGCGTACATCCTATTCGCTAAACTTTTTTCCTGAAGCTTCTTCGTTTAGCCTCGCCCTGGCGACGCGCAGCGTTTGGAATGACATGCAACTGCAAGCTGAAGTCTGCTTTCGGGACCGGACCTTGTCTTAAGACAAGGAGCCGACTCCCTGGGAGATCGATGCGCAGCTCTTCATTCCCCACTGCCAAGTTGAAGGTCCGGATGGCGTGCAAGATGGTCAGGGGCCTTCGGACTTCAGCGTTTGGAATCCAGTGTATACTGCGAAGAGCGATGTGCGAAAGGCCCACAAAGCACGTCCCACCAGCAGCTTAGAATCCTGAAGCCTGGGGAAATGCTGGTGGCTACCATAGTTCTTGCCTCCGCCACTCTGATGCTGGAACGAATACTCAAAATTCCCCTCCCCCACCACACATCTTTGGAGACATTCACAAGCTCTAACATCACAGAGTCTTGATATGTCGTTCGAGGTGTGCCTTGGTGCGTCTCGTTAATGCTGCCCTGCTACACGGAGAGGGCACCCGTACAGGCGGCCCGGTTCTTAGGCGCCATGCCACGTGTGGCGAAGTAGTCCTACAAGCATCGAAGGATCGGAGGTAGGGGATGGGGTAGGATGCCATAAGATGCCATCGGATGCCGCAGGGTTGGAAAGCTTCGCTGTGCGAATCGAGGTCTAAGCCGACATCATGGATTCAAAACTACTCCTAGACAAGCCAAGCGGGCTCCTCCCAGGACGCGCCGATACCGTCAATGTCAAACTCAGTGTCCTGAGACAGCAGATCTGCAGGGTCAGCTGGACCTGCATACCTACCTAGCCCAGGGGCCCAGAACCCCGGACATCGTGCAAGATGGCAAACAGGGAAACAGCCTACACCCAAAGCGCATGTCCAGGCATTGGATTTCCGGCAGGTGGACAATGGACCAGGTGGAAGAACATCTCTTTCGGGCAACCGCCGATGTGAGCAACTACCACTATAGACAAATTCTGTTTCAGAGAGCAGGACGAAGCTGCAGAATGCGAAGTCGTACACAAGAACGGCTGCTAAGTCTCGATCCCCACTCTGCAAGCACATGCGAAAGCAGAAGAAGCATGCTTCATGTCTGCAAGAAAGCGACAGCCTGCGTGAAGGTTTTCTTTTCAACTCGTTCTCTAGAAACGGCCACTGTGGCCAAAGTACTGCAGCGAATGGCAACACGGTCGCACATTTTTTCTGCGTAGCGGGGGCGAAGAAGCCATTCGTGCCTCCTACGAGCGAGAGCCGAGCCGCCACAGAGAAGATGCTCTTCTTATACATCGACATATACAGATACATAGACGTAGACATATACCCAGACATAGATATCTGTGTATGCAAAGATAGAATCGCCTTCTAACTCATGGCGACTATTCTCTCAGCTTGGGGACGTCCCCACGGCATCGTCACCGAACGCTGCCAATACCTACAGAGAAAATGGGGGGCGCAGTCTTGCGCGTGTCGTGTTGCGCCCGAGGCCGGCGCATGTAAGGCGGGTCGGTGTGGAGGAAGAGTCACGACCTCCGCATTGGCCACTCGCCGAGCCCACGCAACGTCTGCGTCGTTCACGACGAACGCCTCGGAAAGTTGGCAAGCACCGCGGCCAGGCGAACGGACGGCTACAAAAACATCCAAGCTGGGACTGAGCTCGTGACGTGCTCCCGGTGCTCGATGTGAAGCGGCACGTCCAGAAGCAGAATTTCTTGCGCCCAGTCCGTGAAACGGCGTGCCTGCACACACGGTCATGGCTCGCACGATGCGTTCGCGTGCGACGCACGAGGCGGACCCTCTTTCGCAGCCAGGACGAAGGCCATTGCCAGCTGCCATCCCGGGCCAAGCCCTCGGTGTCCTGGGTCAGCAGCTGTCACGAGACACCTTCTGCGAGATCCCCCCCACAGGAGCGCGTCTCCGTCATGCGGAACCACGTGACGTCCGCCGCCTGGACCCCAGGATCACACGAGCGTCGCCGGGGCTTGCCTGTAAGTCAGCGAACATGCACCTACAGACACGAAGTCGAAGGCAGAAGAAACAACAACAGCCTGGGCCACAGCGAAGTAATACGCCACTGCGATGTCCTCCGAGAAGGAGATTGAGGGGCTCTCCTGTTGCGTGGTCACGCAAGCCAACAGCGCACATGCGCGGCCCTGCTCCGGACACACGCCCGCACCTTCGGGTTCTGGCCGACATGCTGAGCAACGGTGATGGACTGGTCATCGCCTGTGAGCTGAAAGGATGCACGTAATGCCAGCGTACACAAACAGGCTCAACACACGCCACGCCTTTGGGACGACGGCACATGTCCCGAGTCTCGGCTGCGTGCCAGACCCAGCCTCAGCGTGACGTGTACAAGCTAGGACACACACAAGGCAGCAGACTTGTTTCCGAGGGCCAACCCATCGACATCTCTGCGTGTTCACGGAGCTCAATTGCATGCAAGCGATCCTGCAGCGAGCAACACGCTGTGTCCGTCTAGCGTGGTTCCTCCGTATAGGCCATCAAGCAAGACGCCACAAGGTACGCCGCATCCTGGAGAGGTGCACCGCGCATGTCAGTGTAGAGCTCCTGACGCAGACCTTGCGGCGCCTGCGCGTGCCTGCACGTGCTCTGAAACAAACCCAGCCTTCATGCGTGCGCAGCTTGCGTACGCGCCCCACGTGGCATGCAAGGCGCTGCAGGAAGCTTGCCCGAAAGAAAAATAGGAGTCTGGACACGAACGCCTGCTGCTCAACCTCCTAGACTGTGTGGCCATTGTTGGCCAGAACGAGCGCCTTCTGAAGAACCTCATGTGTCGCATGACATGAAACCGGAAGCGAAGGCACTATATCGAGCAGAGCCGAGAAAGCAACGGCATCACAGTGCCTAATGGCGTAGGCGTAAAGCAATCTCTTGACTGCGGTATCTACGCCTAACTTCACTTTCGTGCAGTGAGAGAGCCAAGGGCGTTCCCTCTCACCAGATGGTGCCTTTTCTTTTTGTTTGCTTCGTTCGCCTGCGCAGTCCAGAGTAGATCCACGGTTCGGCCCCAACACCTGCTATATCTGGACCCTGACTTAACTCTGGCTTAAATCTGACTTAACCTGGACCGAAGCTGCCTTTGGCCGGTGGCATCACTTTGCCCTGCTGAGCCATGCTGTAGCCACTGTAGCCAGTGTGGGTTCGTTTATAGCAGTTTTGCTTGGATAACCGAATGAATCCATGAGCAGCTGCTTCTTGGTGCTTGAGGTTCTGGGCTGAAGTAATCACTTGAGTTTAGTGCGCTCGCAAGCCCTCCAGTGCATTTCTCGTACAGCCTCACAAGTGTGCCAAATCAGTCCAACTCGCATCTTTTGCAGGACAGGCTCTGGTACTCGAATGAGTTCCATGATCCTCTGTTCAGGATCGTGAACCTGCGCAGGTGGCTATGCCACGGACGATAGCAATGGCACAGGCGCTCCGGAGTGCCAACGAACGTACTGAACGTAGCCAGAATTCAGAAGCTCGCCTCTGCTGGTCGCTGCACACGCGGTGCCAAGCGTGCTGCGAAGCGGCGGAGCCCTGCAATGGCAAAGGCCGGCAACAGTGCACCGCGAAGTCTGCGCGCAGGCTGCCTGAGCCGATGACAAGGGTGGGACAGCTCAGGCATTGGCTTTGTGGCTTTGTACGATTCCAGTGTTCGTGTGCCTGGGAAAGCAGCTCGCTCTCCCACATTCCAGACATGGCACCTGAGAACTGCACAGATGCAACACTGTCGTTTGGAGGTACAAGCTGTGCTAAACTGCGCCAGAGGCTGTGACATGAATAGCAATACAAAGCATAACCTCAAGGTAGGAAGTATCAGTTAGCGATGCTTGATTGGCACATAAGGATTCTGCTCAGGTGACGGAGTGATGCGCGCTCACGAAAGGCAAAACAAACATGACAAACTTCCCGTCATCCCATCCTTCCTCCAAGCAAAGCTAGTCCTTGTCGCATGCCGTGCTTCACTTTGCAACAGTGACACGAACACACACAACCAGTGCACTGGAGGTGCTGCAAGCATTGCAATCCGCCGACTCGGGCCGTAGGTGTCTGGGTAGCATAAAGCAGGTACCCCCTCCTCCAACCTCCACAACGGCTTCGGGACAGATTGCACTCCGATTCTTGCTTGCGAATGGGTACCCGCCCCCCCGCCGACAGGTATCAAGAGCGGGGTTCCCTCCCACCGCCCCCCGCTGGGCCCTGACATGCTCTGCCCCACCTCCCTTCTTTCTGTGTTATCGTTTCGGTTGAGACACCCCGAAGTTGTCCTGTCCGGTGTGTATACATAGCCACTTCATATACACATGTGTGCATGGATAAACAATGCGTTTTCCGATTGATTGGTTCTTGGTGCGATATTGATTTCTCTAATTTTGAAGGGCTCTCTCCTTCCCTTTCCCTTCCGCCAAGAACCACGAGTTAGCAGCTCGAGACTCTCAGCGTAAAGCCCAATTGAAGCCTTTCAAAAGATCCCTTCAGCTTAGGTTCGCCGGATGCAGCTCGCGGGCGAACTGCCGGAGCTGCCAACATCGGCAGATTGTTCGAGTCCCTCTCGATAGGACTTCGAAGCACTTTCAGGGCTTTAGGGCTTTCGGGTTCGTACAGTATAGGCTTATTGCTTTTTGTTTTTGCGGGGGGGGGGGGGGGGAATTTGGGCTTGATTGGATGTTTAGGGCCTTGCGAATGTGACTTGTCTCGTCTGCTGTGTGGCGCCATGCATGAGTTCTGTCACCGAAAGCAGCTGAGAAAAGCTCGCATGAATGTTGCTTACGTACATCTTGTCTTGCTGACGGCTCTGCCTTCAGTCTTTAGACAGTCGCATGAGTCTCCACCATGTGATGCATCTACTGGCCCTGGCCGGCATGTACCGAGGTCTCGGGCTGCGGTGGGTCCTCAGAAATGACCCACTGCCACACGCTACAGCGAGGATCGCCATAACCTGCGAAGGCTCTGATCTTCCGAGTCATCTCGGGAACGACTCGCACAGAATGCTTGGATCCCCTCTGCAGCATGTAGTGAGGGCTGGACAAGCGCTTTTGCAAGTCTTCTCGTCCGTGATCTTCTCAAGGCCACTGTGGAAGAGTCCAAGACCTGAGACATAACGCCATTCTCTCACAACACAGGCCCATGCGTCATGTGTTGCCTTCTGAGCACATGGCAGAGTCCAGGCCAGCCTTTGGCACGGTCATGCAGGACCGTGGTCCTTGCGTGGCTTGTTGTCAAAAAGGCCAACTTGATCTAGATTTACTTCGCGGATTGGCTTCCCAAAGACCAGTATCTGCAAATATCTGCAACCCCCAATTGAGGCAAGAGCTGCCAGCACGGTAGCGGCCTGCACAGGGACAAGCGTTGTTGAGCACTGCAGAGAGAACATGCGAGAACCCGGAAATGACCGGCTCTTTCCGACAGAGGGTTCCGCTAATGTTCCGCATCAACCTTCAAAAAACAGGCCTTCAAACTCATTCCAAACAAATCGCCGCACCCAACATCCTTCATGGGCCACTCCGACCCTAAACTTCCTGTATGGCTTGCACCGAAAAGCGTCTTAAGTCTAAAGGCTCTAGACTCAATTATGATTCCGAAGGGTTCTGGCCACAAATGAGTGCAATGTAACATGTCCAACAGTCTCTCGAAGGCAACAGTCCAAATTTGACCACTGATGGCATTTGAACCCGTGTGCGTTGGAAGCAGCAAAAGCTCTAGAACAAAGGGCTTTCGGTCGTCGTGGACTTGGGCGTCAGAATAACCGATAACAGCTCGTAGCAATTCGCCTTCCCTGCGCGTCCAGCTGCCAGTAGAACAGCCTGTATGGCTGGAAGCCCCCCATCCTGGTAGATCCGAGGCAAAGTTCAGGAGTTCAAGGTGACGTGGAAGGCCTAGGGCCCGGATGCTGAGGGCAAGGCCAGGAGGCGTTGCTGGCAGCAGCCGTAGCTGTGCCAAGTGGCCATTGAGCCCTGGATGAACTGACAGGCTAAGACTCGCTCACTCGCGTAGTTCTGGGGGCTGTGGTCTGATGATCCATACTCTGTGAAAGTAACACTTTTCGGTAGATAAGGGAGGCTTCAAAAGAATCTTCCACGTGCCAGCAAAACTTGTAGCATGCCATCGAACAAGTGCCCATGCTCTGGAAAGCATCATTTGTTGTGGAAGCTTCCGCGGACCCCAAAACCGGAGCAACGTCTCAAAATTAAACTGGATATGATTTGCGCATAACAGTATGACCCTTTAGCTTTTACGTTTGAGAACCGAAGGTTCATTGAAAGTCTGCACAAGATATCTAGAGGCTAGACGTCTTTTGCAGCGCGTCACTGGGACCCCTGCGGCGCTACTCCTGCCGGCACCGGAACGGCAGATGCTGCGGCCAGGCCGACGACCAAAAGACCCCCTGAGCGGAGGCGCAGCACAGCGTAGCACAGCATGTCTAAATATGTCTAAGCAAGTTCGCCTGGACACTGTCGGGACTCCGTCCATATTCGAATTAATCAGTTGATATACTCGATTTTTCCTATACGCGTGTGCAGCTGCCCTAAACACGCCACAAACTCACCTTCAATGCGCAGCGGTGCGTGGCATTGCTCTTTTTTGGAACAGGATCGTGCCAACAGACATCGCAAATTCGGTGGAATCGCAAGTTCGGGGATAAGGTGTGGAAACAAGCATCACAGGCACACACCATGCCCCGACGCAGCCCCGACATTCGACTCTGCCTCTAAGGCCGGTATGGAGTGTGGGAGAACTTTGGAATGTGAAATGGCGCTATGATGTTTCGGATTCCACATGCTTCCGACTGGTGAGCTTTTGAGCGGTGCTGTGGCCGGTGGCTCGCCGCCCATGCTCGCCGCTGTGTGCCCGACTCCTCCGTCCGACCAGGGAGCTTGTTTCGAGTGGAGACCCGTGCGCTGACTGCAGCGGAGTGTGCCCCATGCTGGTATAGATGATTGCATGCACGTCCGTGAGCTGGTGCGAAGGGTCTCGAATGACAGCCAGGAGGGCAAACATGGGCAAACGTTCGAGCGGTGCACCGGTGAATGCTGTGGCCATGTCCAGGCTTTGCACAATTTTGAAGTGGCAGGAATTTGTGGTACAGCACAGGGTATTTCCATGAGGCGCCATTCAGTGCACGAGCTATGCTTCGTGGATCGGATGGCCCTGCCATTGGCATTACTTGGCAATCTGTAACAAGCATCACAATGGTTATATATGGTTATAGTGCTGGCAGCTTGACAGAGTCTCCTCGTATGTCCATCTCGCCGTCCGCGGCACAGAGCCACCCGAGACGAGAAGCTGAGTACAGCTGGAGCCCATGCGGCAAGATGCACCACGACATGCACGAGCACGCCCGAACAGTCATGAAGCTCCTGAATGGTTGCAGCCACAGCTCGCGGGATGGACAGTGAACTCAGCAGCCCGCCCCCGGCCTTTTTCTGCCTCTGCACGAATGATCGAACGTTGATGTCGATCGGTCGCGCACGGCAATGCACTGCAGCTTCACCATCACTGGGATCACTGGGTCTCGCGGCGCCTGAAGAGCCAAGCAACCTCGGTCTGCAGAACCTGGTGTTCCTATGCGCGCAGCCTCGTGCTTCCCGAATTATGTTGCAAGACAGCTCGGCTTGCATCCTATGGCATCGGAAGAGCGACATCTTGCGTGTGAGAGTTGCGAGTCAAAGCGAAGCCTACTTCTTCGGCGTCCTATGTGCAGCTGAAAGGCCGGCATCAGCCCAATCAACACAAACCAGGAGCGTGGTACTCCAAATATCATGTGCACAGCCTGGAAGGATCTTCGAAAGGTTCCCAAGGCACCAATGCAGAAGCGCCCTGCTCTTCACAGTGGTGCCTTGTGGACAAGGAAAAGGATCAAGGCCCAGTCGTTCAGGAATCCGAGCTTGTCCATAGTGAAGATCTCCTTTGACAAGAAGCCTCGGTCTTCACGTGCTCAGCCCAAAGCTGTGAGCGCATAGCGAAGCGACAAACCGCTTGGTGAAGCACGGTCGGCGGCACTCAGCCAAGCAATCAAGCACAGGGTCTCCATGATTTCGGCTTTGGACCTGTTTGCAACGCAAACGCGAGACCCAAGGGGACCTAACACCAAGTTGCCGGATCGCCTCAAGACGAGGTCGTGTGTGGGGTGCACGTCGAGTCGTGTATCCAGGTCTGGTGGCCACGTCATCCCAAAACCAATCAGCCTAACAGCGAGAGGTCGAGGTCGGGTCACTGAAGCGGGAAAAAACCCTACACCCTCGCTAAAACTGTCCCAGAACCCCCAACCACTCCAAGATGAGATGACTAGCTCTTGCCGCCACAGCACAAGACGAACCAATATCGGCAAATATAGTCGCCTCGAGGTTTTGGAGACAGCTGCTTCTACTGATCGGATTGGGCGCTCAGAGAAGGCCCGCGCCCACGATCTTGCGATGTCGCAGGCCATAGGCGTAGGTGACCATGCCTCGGCTTCAGAAACCGGCACCATAAACGACAACTCCATGCACGGCTTACGGAGGCATTTTATGAGAGAAAATGTGCAAAGGGAGCGGCGCGCCTTAAGCTTGACATGCAGATTCTGGTCCAAGCTTCTTAAGATCATCAGGTCCAACAAGTGGAACGGCCTAGCAACAGGACGGGGGAGTGAAAAAGCAAATGAAGGGCTTCCGGGCCCAAACTCCTGAAAGCAGTTCTCTGCTGGCCTCTCTTCTGGACCTCTGAAGAATCCGCATCGGTTCACCTTAAGGCCGAAATGCTGTAAATGCGTTGTTGTCTCACGACAAAAAAAGAAGCTCCCCGAGTAGCTATCGCGACCCACCAAGGCCAGCAGTCATACATGGCAAAGCGGACAATGCAGTTAGAATGCGGTGTGCATTTGGCCGCGCACGGCTTTGCGTGTCTTCCCTTCTTTTGTCTGTGTCTTTGCGGGGGTTTCTGCGCTCCGTCTGGTGCCAGATTTCAGTGTCGATGTTACACTGTCACGAGACCGTTCTGATGAGCCACCCGGATGCTCCGTCTCGGCTAGGCAGAACAAAAAACCGTGCTTGCGCTAGCGGGGCATCGACACAGAAGAATCCAGCAACAGTTTGGCTAGATAAACGTTCAGTTGCGTGAGGGTCCTGCTATTACAACTACTCCTGCTGTTCTCATTCTCGCTCTATTCCCATTCTATTCTTTCTCTTGTTCTGATTCGTACAAGTCCTATTCTCATATTTCTGTTGCTAACATCACTATTTGCACCACGCTGGTTTCTATTCAGGCCGGGGTGCTGCGGAGTTCAACAGCATCACCCACGGGATCAGACTGGGCTTGACGTTGGTTTGCCGCAAGGCCCTGCGCACTCTCCGAAAGCCTAAAACCCTGACCCTAAGGCTGGTCCAGCCCACTGCTACCTCGGAGTCTCACAGCCAGGGATTCTGAATCAGGGGTTAGCGAAACTCAGCACAAATCTTTCCTGCCTCATCAGGAACAAGTTTGACAACGTCAGGAAGGCGTAGCGGCATAGGTTGCCCACAAAGTCCTGGGTTTAGGGCAGTTGGGTCGCCTAGAGTTCAGGATTCGTTGTAGTTTAGTGCTTAGGGCATCGTAGGGCAATAGCAAAGGCCAGGTGCAAAGTTGAGGGGTTTGAAGAAGGAGTCGCTATCAGGATGCTACGCAGAAAGCAGAAGTTGGACGTGTATGTGGCTCGGGGCTTCCAGTAGTCCCATTCAATATGAGCAATGACGTCACAGCATTCCAGCAGTGTGAAATGATGTTTCCGCATCTTCTCCAGCAATGCTACAGCACAAGTCAAGCAACTCAAGGCATAAATCGTGTTTCCCCAGTCCTCTGCCTCAGCATTTGTGCCCGGCAGGCCCCAAACGTTTCCTGCACCTTGGTTGGCAAGTTGGCTAGCTTCAGGTCAGCCTAGATCGCTTAAAGTCTTAAGCCCTTGCAACTCCGCGACGGTAGACAGATGTAGACAGGCAGCCGCCCAGGGAAAGCGACGCATGGAGGACCACAGGTGCCAGAAATGGGTTGAGAATGGCGGGCAAGAACACGACGCAGGATATGCCTGGGATCAGGCATCCAAGCCTCTAACGTCCGGAACCATGCTTTCGGATCTGCCCGAGTTTGTGCCGTCACGACACCGATCGCCAGCACCACGAAGAACATCATGAGAACAATGTGAAACACACCCTCAGGGGATGAATCTGTCAAGTTGTAAGATGTGCGCTCCATGCAATTCTCTGCATAACGATGCATCCCTGAGCGTGGGCTTCCCCACCTCTTCGGGTGGAGGAACCTTCGCCAGGAGCTATGCCATGCGACATGCTTTCTTGCTTCTGAAAGGAGATTGCTTGCGTCTTGCGTCGAGACACCGTAGGCCAAGAGCCTGTTCTGCCTTCCATATTCACTACGTCTTGGGCCAGGTACGTCCGCCTGGGTAAAGTGAAATTACAAACGAAGCAGTTGCACGTTGATGCAACCAACGCATTCAAGTCTCAAAGGAGAGAGGAGGATGCAGAATAGCATCAAGCCAATGATAAACCAGTTCCTGAGGCGAAGCCGCGTTTCACCAATTCACAGCGAAGAACGAGCACGGGCAGTGGCAGGCGGCTCTGCACCAGCAGCAGCAGCAGCACCACCACCACCACCAGCAGCAGCACCAGCACCAGCAAGAAGCTCTAATCCATGTGTGTACTTCAAAGTACCACTGGATCGATCTAGGGCTCAACTATCGCACATGACGCTCTGGCAGAGAGCACTGGCTGCAACACAATGTCACAATGTCGATCTCGAGCTCAGCCAACATCTGCCGACAACAGCGACAGCACCATCGCGGCCAAGCTGCTGAAAGATTACATTGAAGAAATCATGCTTCCAGTCCTTCAACAACTGCATGGCTTGACATGAAGCACACCAATCGCTTCTCTTTTGTTTCGGCCTAGAGCAAACACATCAGTTGTCAATGGAAGGGCGGTCCATGCCCAGCCCAATCCAGGCAGCCCAATTCACCAGAATGCCAATGGCCGCATACCCACCCAGGCGAAGGCAGAATTCTGCAGTGACAGCGGGGATCTGGTTTTTGTCTGCTCCGTGGCCGATTGAACTCTATAACTGCAGGCAAGAAACGGAAGAGGGACTTGCCTTGGAGTTGGACACATATGAGACATGTAGCAACCGTTGTAGCGCATGGCCCAAAAGAGGACTGCTGCCGTCAAGCGACTGGACAAACAAAAGGCAACGCCACAAACCAGAACAATCCTTGGCCAGCTCAGATTTCATCGACAGTACGACAGGCGTTCGCTCCAGAAATTTTGCTGCATGTCCGAGGTGAGGGCCACTGTAGCGCCCACTGCTGGGCAAAGACTACATTCCACTCCTTGCATGTTGGGTTCAGGAGGTCTCGGGGATCCTGAAAAGGCCGTTGCAGGGTGAGGATTGACAAACTCCAAGGAAGCCTTGCCTTCGACTCTATTGATTTCGGCCAGGGTGCTGAGTACTTGCCGTCCCCATGATCAATGGCCACCAGCCTTGCGCTGTTTGCGTGGCTTTCAGGGTCAGAGCTATTGAATGTGAGGCAGGGCTGCAAACAAGCAGCACGACACAAAGAATTCGGGTGATGTCGAGGTGGGGGTGTCCGCCCTTGGGGGTGTCCTTCTTTGGTGGCAGGAGTCCTCAGTCGCCAAGACCAGTACGAGTAGGCGCTGCAGGGTTTCGGCTTTCAACTTGGATATGTGGACAAGCGGCTATCCGTGTCGACTTCGGGAAGTTGACTCTCAGCTTTTGCTGTGTAGGACGCCTGAGCGGAGCCTGGAGACGCTGCGAGATGGAGATCTCAAGGTCTGAAAAACTACTTGTCGGCGAGCCTGTCTGCAAAGGCGTCGTCTCATTCTTCTCCGCGTCGTACATGTCCTTAGCAGCTTTCAAAACATGGCCCTCAACTTGTCCTAAACCAGCCCGAGCTATCCAAGTCAGGTGGCCGTTGTGTCGGGCGGGCCCATTATGAAATATTTTTCAGTACCGGATTCGAACCGGAGCTGCAACAGACATTCACGTTCGGCGTGCACGTTGAGCCGAGATGGGTTTTTTAAGGAGTCGGCATCTTGTGGCCACACATGGCAAGCTGCGGTTTTTGCTTTTCAGCAGGGCATCGCTGTACGAGGAATTGGGAGGAATTGGGCATTTGCCGCGCAACATAATCCTTCGGCAGTAGTTCCGTGACGAAGCACTGCCTGCTGCTCAGTAGCCCCTCTGAGAGACTTGTACAGCTGTAACCTTGATGAACCCTTGAACCCGAAACCCTGTAGAGCAAGCTTCAGGGGAGCACTTTAAAGGCAAATCCTTGAGCAAGCGGTGAAACTGATACTAACGGGCTGAGAGGAGTGGCGTCGTCCCTCGAGTGAGATTCCGGCAGCAAGAAAGTACGGCTGCGATAACTCTTGCAGCTACCACCGTTGTATTGGATGACATGGCAAAAACAGGGCAGGTATGAAGAGACGACCGCCCTCAACAACAGCGGCTGACTCATCGCGCTTCTCAGCCCCAAGCCTCAGCAAAAGAACGACCAAAGTCCAGTCTTTGGAGGCCAAGCTGCAGAAGCTGAAGTCTTCACAGGGAGGGCCCTAGAGCCCTGAAACCGGAAAAGGTACCGGAAAAGGTAGGGCCACCCGAAATCCTAAACCCGAGATATACGAAGTATTCAAGATCATGCAAGATTGGCTCAGGAGCATCTTCATCAACGTCCTCGTCCTCCTCCTGAGACTCCTCCTCTTCGCCTTCGCCCTCCTGCTTAAACAGACGGTGCGTTGAGGGTTTAGTTTGGTTTAGTTTGGTTAGGGTTCGTAGGTTCTGGGGGCTTCGGTTTGGGGGTTCTAAGGGCTTGGACATCACCTGTCCAACTTGACGGCCCCCGGGGGGCATCGGCTCGAGGAGCAACGCAGATGCATCCTAGCTGCCACAGCCTCAAACCGTTTGGCAGCTTTGGATTCAGTCTTGGGTGATGGGGGCTGTTAGGGTTGGTGGGTTCCTCGGGACTGAGCCACAAGCCAAGTCCCGCGTATCAGGGAGTATGGGGCAATCCTCCATATCCTCCTCCTTGTCTTCCCGCAACGTCCCACGGAGCCAGTCAAGGAAGAAAGTCACCTGCCAGACAGCTTCGGTTCCGGGATGGAGTGCTTTGACGCCCTGAACCTGGCCCTACCTGGAACATGGCGCTGGTCTTGCCCGGAGTGTCGTCATCACCCACCGCCCACATGTCAAAGTAGTCCTCCTCAATGACCTTTCTAGGCGTGGAAGAAGCGCCAGGGAGTCAAAGACTCAAGAATTGTCAAGAATCGTCTGTGAGACCTAAGCCCTAAAAAATCTAAGCCCTAAACCTACTGACTACAAAACCTTCAATGGATTTGGGTTGGCTTATCCTCGGTTTGGCTGCCTTTGCCTCTGCTCAGAAGCGTCAGGCCCAGTGGGGCCAAAAGGTGGCCGGCCGGGTTGTAAGCACTTCCACAGCTTTGTCGTGCCGATTTCTCTTCAGCTTCAGCTGCATTTGGCTGCATGAAACTGGTAGACACGGCACTTGTCAGAGCGATAGCGGACCGACCGACGAGCGGATTTCGTGTACTGAAAGCCATCTAATGGATGAAGGCGTTAGGGAGTGCGAGCGGTTGGGATGGAGAGAGCTCGCAAAGTCCCCCCCCCAGCGTAAAACAGAACTGCAAGCTTGGGTATGTTTTGTAGGCAAGCGCCTCCCACATCCCTCCTCTCCGGAAGTTGCATTCGCTATGGGAAGCGGGTAACAAGAAACATCACGGAGCATCGTCAACAGGAACATCAGTAGAGTGATGTACACCTGGCAATGGCTGCGCTACACCGGCCTCTGCACGATAAAGGCCGTCGAAGAATGCCTCTAGAAGAGCTGTAGCAGGAGACAGCCTGCCCAGAACAATCGCTTGAAGGGCCCTTTGCAGTCCTCCCGGTCCAGCCTTGGCAGTCCCATCTTGTAAGCCGCTCTCTGCGCTTCGATGAGTACTTTCACCTGCAAGAAATCTGGCAACTTGCGAGTTGCACGTTCACTTCGCACAGCCGTCTGCTGGGCTTGGGGGCCCCTGATTCATGCGGACTCATGCCTATTCCACATCCCGGATTTCCTTCTTTCATCCCTGGCTTACTGCAACCACTGGCATTCCACGGGTTGGCTTCGCATGCCTTGAACCGCCTGACGCCAGACTTGTCAATCAAGCCTTAGCTGGCACTTTTGATGCAGAATTCTTGGATAGCTGGGTTCAGTATACAAGCAATCAGGCTCAACTCTTAGATCTTATCGAGAGCCCTTGTATCAAGGCAAACTACTTCGGCCCGCATTTGTCCAAGCGGCAGTTCAGCACAGGAGCCCAGGTTTGCACGATGGCGAAAACGTCATCGTCCTGCGGGATGGCATCTGGGGCGCGGATTCTGTTTTGGGTGGGGGCGAGGGTTCTGAGGTTGAGAGCTCTCAGCTCTTGGATGAGCACAAGGACTTGGGATGGCTCAGGCAAGAACATCATCTTTCAGATCCATCACCTTCCACTCGCCTCCTTTCCGCGGCTCTCCCGCAGGAGGAGGTCCACTAGCTGCGCCATGGGATGCACTGTGCAGAGCTCGTTCTCAGTGAGGAGGTCTTCCACCTGCAACCCCCAGGAAAGAAACATAACTTTGCGTGCCAGACGACAGTGTGCGATTTGCTACGATGTCCGACAGGCGTTGTTGCGCATTGAGGCTCAAGAACACCTCAGTAGCCTCGTTCATCTCAGTTGGACTGCAACGATCGCAGTTGGACTTGTGACTTACAGTGCCAGTAGTAGGGGCCTCATCAGCAAGCTTGTCCACGTCGCCATCGTCCTGACACTTCTGAAACCATGCAAACAGAGCGACCAGAGACTATGACAAGGTTGATCTGGAAATCTAACTAGTTTGAGTGACTAGGCTTTGTTCACAGGCAGGCGACGTCCTTGAGCACCCCTTCGCAAGTGTCCATGAAACTGGCAACCTTTGCTGGATCGTGGGCCTCCAAAGTGCGGCTGTCGGCAGAAGACGAAAGTAGCAGCGAATAGTAGAAATTGCACTCATTCGCTCATTCGCCAGAAGAACACCAAAGCTACATGTCGCTGAATACGCTCGCGGTCAGCGTTGTCGGCACAGCCCTGAATCTCCCGCCTGTTTCTTGGAGGAGCCTGTTGCAGCCTTCTTTTGAGCTTGGCTTGCACCTGGGCTAGGCTCTTTATGGTTTCAGGCATGGTTGGGTTGGCGGGTTTTGGTAGATTTTGGGCAGCTTCCGTTGGGACGCCATCCCTCTGCGGATTGCAGAAAGAGCATCCACAAAAAGAAGACGTTCGAGAGCAGCAGGGATCCGAACACCAGCGAAGACAGAGACCCCCGCAATTTGCAGCTGAGATGCTTTTGATGGCCTCTCGCTTCTCGCGGGCCTCAGCCTGGCATCGCATGAACTGCGAGCAGAACGGCAAGACGACATCAACTGTGTCTTGTAATATTGTAACATCCAAGAATGAAGTCGTCATCCTACCTCCTTGGCAGCCTTCAACTCCATCTTCCTTTGCTTCTCAGCTTCGGCCTCGTCAAGGTGACCAGGCTACAAGTCGATTGTGCCACGCACATATACAGACGCAAACACACACACACACACACACACACACACACACACACACACACACACACACACACACACACACACACATATATATATATATATATATAGAGACACGCACACACACGTAGAGACACGCACACACAGAGACAGACACAGACACATACACAGACACAGGCACAGACACGGAAAGAGACGGAGACAGAGACAGAGACAGAGACAGACACTGACACTGACACTGACCCTGGACACTGACTCTGACAGTGACACACACACACACACACACACTCACTCACTCACTCACTCACTCACTCACTCTCTTACGCTCTTGTGCACACCTCCACACCAAGTTTCAGGTCCTTTCCACCTCACAGTCACTTTGTTATCCTGACAATTATTTTAAGTAGAATTTGCTCACACTGCAACCGTCATGCACGGGAAGCTGCAGACAAGGAAATTGCTCATCACGAAACAGTGCACAGCTTGAGCGAGAACGATGTTTCAAATTGATGACACGCTGACTCGCAGGTACAGGTACGTCAGCTTGGCGTCCCCAGCTGATTTCGCAGCAAAGCGCAAAGGTCTTCGTTTGTGCCTTCTGCAATCCCCTGGCACCCCCTGCAGCTACATCATCCATGACATAGGCAAGCTACTCCCTTGAGCACAGGTTGGCACACACACACACACAACACACACAACACACACAACACACACAACACACACAACACACACAACCCACACAACACACACAACCCACACAACACACACAACACACACACAACACACACAACACACACAACACACACACACACAACACACGCACACAACACACACACACACAACACACACACACACACACAACACACACAACACACACACACACACACACAACACACACAACACACACACACACAACACACACACACACACAACACACACACACACACATGCACCGAGTGCGGTGGCGTCTGTGTGCCTTCTTGTTCTCTTCTGCACGCTTCTTCTCCATTCTAGCATCCTCCTCCCGCTGCCTTCGCTCATCCTCTGCTCTCCTCCGGTCGTCCTGCTCCTTCTGCCGGCCTCAGTTGAAGGAACCAGGGAGGAGGCATGACAGGGGCAAGAGGTAAAAACAAAACCAACGAAACTGCCGGCTTGGCATGGCTTCGCGTAGGTGGCAGGCTTTTCACTTCTTCTCTTCGCCTTTCCTTGTCCTCGCTGCAAGCAAGCCTGTATATAAACAAGGCATATGAACCCTTAACCTCCCGAACCGCGCTCCTCCTCCATTTGCCTGTCTCTGTCCTTCTGTCTGGCAATGCGGTCTTCATCGTCCCGCTTTCTTTCGACTTCGACCTTGCCCTGCGGAATTCGGAGTTCTTAGTTTAGAATGCAACTGTGTAAGGTATTGCACGCAAGGCTTCATGAGGTTTTAGCCAGCAAGTCCACTCACCGCAGACAAAGCTTTGGAGCCTCCTCCTCCATCCTCCGTCTTAGTGCGGGTGGCACGTACTTGCCTGCAGGCGGTTTCTAGTCAAGGTGGACAATGGGAATATGTCGGGTGCGCTACATGCGTTGCGCGGCCTTGCCTTAGGGGCTTGGTCTATTATGTTGCGCTAGATGCGACATGCTGCCACATGTTGCGAATTCTAAAAATTTTGGCTTTCCACACAGCTATCAGATGCCAGGATATGTACACAGTATGCATGGAAGCAAGACTGCTGGGTTCTTCGACTTTCGAGAACATAGCACACCGTCTACGGCAGAGGCGACATTGAGATTGCCCAATGGGCAGTGTGGATGCACTCCAGCTGTCGTAACTTCAGCGGCATGACCTCTTGTCTTGAGCATGCTGCCGGGTGCTTTGGCATTTGAGCCCCGATTAACCCTCGTGCTTTCGAAGCAGCATTTGTGTAACCGAAAGCAACACGGAACTGCATGGGACGCTGCAGGCAAGTAGAGCCAACTACAGAAGAGATGCCTTTAAGCCCTTAAGCCTTAAGCCTTATGCCTAGTCCCCAGACGCTCCAACTGAGATCTCCCTGCACCACAGCTTGGACCTGGAGTCAAGTTGACCGGTGGTGCTGCCGGGGCAGCTGATTGCTGAGTCCTTCGGGAAGATGCACGCCAGTCATCGTCTTTGCCGGCCTGTCACTGCAAGTTGAAGGTTGAGGATTGTGAGGTCGCTTGAGGCTTTTTTGGGGATGACTTCTTCAACTGCAGACGGGCGAGTTGCCTGATGAAAAGCAGAGGAAATACCATAGTGAGAGGTAGGAGACATACCACTGGGACTGGAAGCTTGGAGCGCAGCAGGCACAAGCACCGAACAAGCGCGATGGGCATCATCCGATAAATGGCGATCAAACGAATGCTCAGCAGCCAACAGCAAGCCCCACAGCATTCCAGGTTGCCGACCCTAATGCACGCTCGAACCTCCTCCTGCGGACGGGAAATCGCGAGCCATTTTGTAGTGCGCGCTGCTGTGGTTCGGAAGGAGTGGCATTACAGAACCAACGAGGAAGCAGAGTCTCCAGAAACCGAGAGAAAGAGTGGAGTTGTTAAACTGCTTCAAGTCGGTCGATGAAACAACTAGCAAAACTGTCAGCTACTTTGAACCTACCTCAATGCACTTTAAAGCATCTGAGAAGCCGGAGACCGAGTTGACAGAACGTGTGCTTTTGAAACCCTCTGGCGAATTCTCATCCAAGCGGCTTGCGTGTTGTCATCACCCCCGCGACGGAAGCCACCTCTGTCGCCTCCCCTGTCGCCTCCCCTGTCGCCTCCTCTGTCAAAGCCACCTGGGCCATCCTTCGGCATTTCAAAGCGGAGTGCTTGACAGGGTGTGTTTAGCTGTGGAGCAGTCTTGCAGAGGCAAGCAGGGAAGGCAACGGCCGCTCAATGAGTTCAAAGCGACGCAACTGGACATGTCCTTCGATCGCCAGTCGCCAAAATCTGCGCGGCTGGGCTCTGAATCTCTATTGCCTCGGTTTTGGTTTGGGCTTTGTGGCTGTCGGACTCAATTTGCCTCATTTCGGACAGGGCAACCGAAACAGCAGCACAGTGCCGCGTGCCCGAAGTAATCTTGATGTTTTCCACTAGAACCGGAATGGGTTCAGCTGTCCTAGGTTCCGAGAGCACGCCAAAACTCCTACGCGACCTCTGCGATTCGCGAGCACGCGCGCCCCAACCTCTGAACTTGCCACTTTCGTAGGAGATGTCTGCCGCCACACATCTGACCAAGGTGCCCTTGCCACCTCGGTCACCTCGGTCACCTCTGTCACCTCGGTCACCTCGGTCACCTCTATCAGGGCCTGGGCCATCCTCAGGGAGTTCGAAGGGTTTAGGACTGTAGAATTGGGTGTATCAGCTACCTGTAGGGTGTATATAAGGTTTGTAGAAGCGTTTAGAATGGTTCTTCAGGGGGTGTACAGGGTTCAAGGAACCCCTAACCTTGCGGAGGCTTGGAAGAGTCATGTGCTAGACATCCTACACTTAAGCCACTATACGCTCGGGTCAGCGTCCTTTGATCGCCAGTCGCCTGTGTCTGCGCGGCTGGGCTCTCCATCTCCCTTGCCTTGGATTGGATCAAGTACAGCCCAAAAAACAACCGAAGCAATCCCTACAAGGCCTACAAACCAAGGACCAAGACCCAACTGTGCAACATCAAGCGCTCTTATACCGGCGCTGACATGCGCTGACCAAGTGCTTGCCACTGCCAGCTCCTCAACTGCTTCACCCCCTCTATAGCATTGCCCGAAAGCCCATCTTTGCTCTTTTTCCTTCGAAACCTTGGCTTGAACCTGCATGCGAGATGCCCTTGCCCTTGCGAGGACCGGCGGTCCTCCAGTCATCCGCCTCCCGGCCGCCATCGATATCCCGGAAGCCTTTTCCTGCTTTGGGGTAGCGGGGGGGGGGGTGGGGGGGGGAAGGGGGGAGTTTGTCGGAGTGGGTCTTCCGGATGTATACGGCTTCACGGGGAGATCGTGAAGCACAAAGCTCATCTGACCTGGGTCGCGGGCCTTTCGACTTTCCGAAATCTTTGCCCACACTTTGGGAAGGCAGCATCTGATCGGCCTCGGTCACGATCCATCACCACCCATGTACGCTGCAAGCTTTGGCTCTGTGGGCTTGAGGGCTGAAGGCTTTGGGGAGGTCTATTCGGCAGCAATGAGTCTCACTAAGGCCACAGCGACATTGCCACCGAATTTGGCGTTGACTTCCTGGGTAAGGGGAAGACGACAAAGATGCGCTAGCCCCGGGATCGACGACCCTTTTGCTGTCGCGTGCAGTAGCACTGTGTCATGATGGTCATTCCTGCGTCATTCAGGCCTAGCCTAAACCGAAACCCCAAACAGACTGCTTGCGAGAAGAAAAGCAATGTACGAGTATCCAGTAGCAGTGGAGAGCGCAACCTCACCACCGCACCACCGGCTCCATTGCAATCAGGCTGCCGCCATACTCATCTTCGTGCCTCCTGGTTTCTTCCCCATGGCGCCTTGGAGGTCCTGCACAGCTGCGCGCAGGCGGGGTTGCTTGGGGGCTTCTGACGGGCTCTTAGGGTCTCTTGCGGGCTCTTACCGCTTCCCATTCACGGTGCAACCACAACTGGGACAGTGCGATCCAAGTGGCGACGACCTCTGTACCTAACCTAGCTAACTATGGCCAAATCTGGCAAGCCCGTCCAAAACTTGAGCCAAAACTGCAGAGAAGTGCTGTATCGGGCTATCGCAAGGACTGCAGCAAGGGTGGCAGCAAACAAGCAGGGACTCTGCTTGGCATTTGGGGCCTCAGGTGTGTTGGTGTACGTGAAGAGGACCGTCCAGCCCCACAGGAGCCTTTGGAACCCATGCCTCTACCGCCTGCCCACACCCCCGAAATACGTACTACAAATGCAGGAAGAGTGACTCCCCTCCGCTCCAAAGAAACACATTTTGACGAGGTGTAAATGAATCAACGAAAGGAATCTATGGCATCAATCACTGCGGCACGCAGCTGGGGTGCCATCGACGAGGAATGGCCGGCCAATGGAATCATCATGAAGGATGACAGAGGAAGCCGCTTGCGCAATGTCCACGCATTGGCAGGTGTACACAAGATGTCATTCTGGCCATGTACGATAGCGCAGGGCAGATGTGCAATGCGCCAGCAGTCCTCCAGCAGCTGGACGGAATCCACAAAGCAGCCGTGTTTCATGTAGTGGAGCTCGATGGCCGACCCCGGCCCAGCCTCCTCTGGCTTCGCAGCGCAGCTGGCGATGAAGTCCTCGTCTGGCTGCAGACCTAGCAGTCGCATGATCCACAGCGTGTAGCTGCTGCGTGCCGGGTAGCACACCGCAGGATCACTGGAGCTGAGGCGTCGGGCGTAGGCGTCAATGGGGGTGGCACGCTCCTCCACCGGCAATGCCCGAAGGAAGGCCTCGTACTCTTCTGGGAAGAAAAGTCCGGCGCCCTCACGACTGTAGGGCCATTTCACAGCCTCTGGAGTAGGCAGAAAAATCGAGTAGAGCACCAGACCAGAAACTTTGCTGGGATGCCGTGTGGAGTAGATCAGGGAAAGGGTCGATCCCCAGCTTCCCCCAACAACGAGGCCCCACTTCTCGATGTCCAATTCCTGCCTTAACTGTTCAATGTCTTCGACCAAATTCTCGGAGGTGTTCCCGTCCAAGGAGCCTGCTGGAACGGACTTCCCCGCACCCCTTTGGTCAAAGACCACGATCCGATAAACAGATGGGTCAAACAAGCGTCGGTGCTTCGAACTGGAGCCGTCACCAGGGCCGCCATGCAAGAATAGCGCCGGCTTGCCAGCTGGATTTCCCGAGACTTCATAGTACAAGCTGTGCTTGCCATCCAGTGTTGTCAAAGTTCCTGTCTGGTAGGGCTGCAGCTCCGGATACAGCGCTCGCGATGGTCCTGCTGCTGTGCTTGTGAGGCACTGGACGTGCGGCGAGAGGAACGAGCTCTTCCAAGACAGGCACGAGGAACATGGCCTGCAACGCGGCTGGTACGGCCGCGTGTCAGCTGCTTCTGCTGCCCTGGAATTCCTCGACTTCGCTGCCGCCACGCCGACCAGCGCGCAAGCCGGTGCGCCGAAGGCGCGGAATCTGAGGAAGGCGCGAGCCATGGCTAAGAGGACCTACAAAAACACCCTGAATGTTTGAACAAGCACCGTGCGTCTTGGGGAGCGGGGGAGCCGCAATGGGACCATGAGCGCTGTGTGCACATCCCCTGCAGGGAAAGAGACATCTGCTTGATGCTAAAAAGCAGACTCAGCATTTTGCGACGTTGTTTGTCCCGCCACCTCACCAGCTTTGCCGCCCTCGGATAATGGGGGATGCGAGCTTCCTGGCATCAAACCCAACGAAGGGTCTCCCAAACTCAAACAGCGGGACGCCCCCGACAACCCCTCCGCCCTGCCTTCCGCGATACACACAATAGCACGCAGATACTCACAGCTCCAAGAGGAACTGGTGCTTCACGATGTGGTGGCGTGGAGGTGGCAGGGCTCCGGTACTTCCCGTGCCTTGTTCAGGTGCAAGCTGCTTTTGAGGTAGTTTAGGACAGTTCGCAGAAGCTTGCTTGCTTAAGGGCTGCTTTGCTGCTTTACCAAGTCGCGCTGCAGACCCTTGCTCTCATATAGACGCATGGCAGCTTCATTCCTCTCACAGCAGGCCCAGCTCAAGATTCAGGCAGACAACTAGTAGCCTCTTGGCTAAGTGTTGCAGGCAGTATCAGCACACACCCGTGCAGCAAGCTTTCAAACCTGTCCCGTCTGCCACGTTGAGCAGGAGCTTGCTTGCCCCGACATCACGTGCCCAGCCGATCGCGGCATCCTGTGTGCTGTCAAGCCAACATGTTGCCTTCTCTCGTTGAAAGTGCCACAAAGAGCACGCTACCGGAGCCATGGCCCCCGCCACATGCCACTACACGCCGAGGTGCTAACAGTGCTCCTCCAATCCCGCGGCGCCGACTCGCTGGGGCAACCCACAAGCCCAGAGTCACGGCACCTGATCAGGGATGCCATAGGATGCCATGGGATACCGATTTTGGTGAAATGCCATACACGCAAGCCCCATGCCATGCACGAAAAGTCCAACGCTCGAAGGCTGAGTGGCTTCGTGGATACGACTTGGAACCGCAATGTGCTACTCGAACGGTGATGCAACTCATGCACCAACCCGGCCTTGTCTCTGCACGGCCCAAACAAAGCCAAGATCGCATCCAGAAGAGCCACAGGAGAGAACCAAGCCTCGCAAATGGGAGAGCGCGGGAGGGAAATCGCTTCCGGAGTGTGGAAAGGCAAAGAGCTGCCTTGCTGGATGCGCTCCAGCCACTTCTCCGCAGGGTGCGATTCTTCCGTTTCCAAGGTTGCCGCGAAGGCATCGGGCGAGTCCCTCATTGCACCTGCAGAAGGACCCGAGCTGCAGCCAGCAAAGCAATGTACGGCAATGCGCAGCAATACAAAGCAATTTTGTTCTAAAAACGGACTGCAAGCATTTGCACTGCAGAAAGTGAGTCTAGTGAGTGTATAGTAGCGGCCGCGGCTGCTTCTGTGGCTTGGGACACAGAGGTGCAGTGATGCAAGCTTCCAGAGCTTCAAGATGATTCTGGGCGAAGGGCGGAGATATGCAGCTCGAAAGCGTTTCCAGTCGGATGTACCCAGCCGTTCCAACGTCCAGGCTGGCCCGCCAGAAAGGTCATCATCTTCCATGGCATCGCGTTGGCCACATGACTTCAAGTGACCTTCATCACCTATCTGAGCTCTGTTGCAGCCTGGGCAGCCACCAAGTACAAACGCTGAAAGCAACCCAAGTTCTCAGAAACATGCAAGCTTCTCCTTTGATCTAGGGTATTCATATGGCTTCATATGAGCCATGTGTGTCAGGCTGAGAAGGCTCAGCTCTCCAACCTGCGAGCCAATCGTAGCAAATCTCAGGACAGACCTCGGTCGAAACCCAACCCACCCCGCCACCCTCCCACCCCGCCCCCCTTCCCCCAACCCCCCCACCCCTCCCCCCCTCCCCCCACCCCTCCCCTCCGTACTTTTGCCCATTTCACATTTGGGGTGCCTGGTCTGTAGATGAGCCTGTTGCAGCACTGCACGAAGCCTCTCAACGCCCTGACGCCTCTTCAAACAACACCTTCACACCACCCGCGATCTCTGGTTTGGGTTGCCTCGCCGCTGGGCAGGCCCAGGCCGAGGGCGTGAGTAGCGTTAAGATCAAATGCAAATCCGGAGAAGAACATAAGGCAGCAGTAGGGTTTCCAAACCTATGCTCCAAGGGACCTCCAAACCAAGACCACAGCACCTTGAAACGACACCCCCTCTCCAGCCAAGACTACAGCCCCCCCAAAACCCAAAACAAAACTCGAATTTTCAGTTCCCTCCTACTCATCGACTGGCTCCAAGCCATCCTCAACTTACATCTCTCTTTCTAGGCCTGAAAAGCAATATGGATGCCAAGCCCGTCTTATGTACATCTACTGGCCGTCCTAGGCTGCCAGTTTGACTGGCAACTGCAACCAGCTTCTCGACGCAGAAGTCGCAGGGTCTTTTCCGCCGTAAATTCTAATCTACCCTGAGCCTTCGAAACGTCTGTATACACTGCTCCCTATGACCCTGACAAGGCGTCAGTGGCTTCCGAAAGATTTGCAGATATTTGCGGGGCTTCTGACCGCCGGGACTTCCACACTTAGACTTGAGCCTCAGGTTGGAAACTTGAAGCGCCGCTGCTTCTTCCATGGCGGATCCTAAGTGCTTCGAGCGCCTATAGGGAAGGGGTTGGCTGCATAAGGCGGCTGAGTGGAGCCTTATAGGCCGAAACGAAGCACAGGGACTCGCAGACTCGCGGGCGCATGGGGCATAGGATTCTCCGGCCACTGAGGGCTGTGCGGGTGGATCCAGATCCACCAAGAGGTTCACCTTGTGCCATGGACCATGCATGCCCTCTTGTTCCGAAACGGATTTGGGATGATGCAAGATGTAGGGGATTTAGGCTCCTCGGCACCCAGAGGGGCGTGAGTGCGGCGAAGCCTAACATCCTAAGGGCAGCACAACGCCCGTGCCGACAGCTGGAGGCTGCCCAAGCACAATGGCGCTTGCAGGCGAGACCATGTTGTCGAGGAGGTCTTCCTGCATGGGCAGAGCTACCAGCCTATACCCGTGGCCGTGCGGTGCGAATAGCGCCTTGCACGCCGTGGACAGGAACTGCATCGTTGTCTCGTAGGACATCTGCAGCAACGGAGACGTACCTGGGGCTGACTTTCATGTCTTTCCTATGCTGCTGCCGGTGCTCGGTGCTTCTCAAAGCCGAGATCACGACAGTGAATCATTCCCAACCGATTGAACCTGGCCGATGAACATCGCGTCGGGCTTGTGCAGTCTCTTGTCAAGCCAGTGTGACATTTGTGCAGATTGTTCTCTTTATTGTCGCAGATGCCTTTGATTTGGCCAGCGCGGCATTAGGTTGCTTCGACGGCTACCACGCTGTCAAACATGAGCGGTCGCCGCAACAGAATGAACCCGTTCGCATCCCTCGATCCTAAGCCCTTGCCGCAAACCCCATCCCACCCGCCGCTGCAGTAAATTTCTGGAATGGCCCTTGCAACCAGGTCGGCTGCACGGTCGCAAGCCACCTGCTTGGGCCATGTAGTCTGCAATCAGCGACAGGTGCCGGTGATCGACCTGTTAACAGGTTATTGGGGCTCAATCATATAATATTACTTATATATATATGTGTATACATACATCTTGTAGTTCAGAAAATTTTATGACAATTTGTTATGTTTTGTCATATTGTCATATTTAATGAACCGTCTAAGTCCTCGCGCCTGAATGCCGTAGTGACCGAACACACCGCGAACTTCTCGGACGACCTAGAACACAGCATCGCGCAGAACTGAGGATTCCCATGAGACCTGCCTAAATACCATTTCTGAAGACAAGTCTGTGGTCCATGAGAAGGTTTTGGGCACAATCTCAGGATTACATCCTCAGCTGCCCCCTTAAACAAACTGTACTAACGCACTCGGCTCATCGGCCGCAGCTCCTCTACCTTGGTGCATACACCTGAAGTCCAACCTGGCTTCGTCCTAACTTCCACTGCGAATGCTAGAGCTGCAACAACAAAGATTTCATAGGCTGGACTGCGTCGCACGCGTGTACAAAAATGCAAAACTAGACGGCGAGTGGCAAGATCAGCGTGGTCTAGGATCTGCCTAGTTTGGGTTTACAGGGTCAGGTTACGAGTGGTGGGCCCTAAGCCCCAAATTCTGATTCCCCCGCAAACGAAAAGAAAAACAAACATCTGGTGCCGACGGGCTGCCGATGCACGGGCAGCTTCTACACCGTAGATATCCAGGACATGCCTGCTTCACATCCCTCTCGCTCTCTCTATCTCGTTCATATGAATGGATCCATTATTGCAATCGTTTCGATTGGGGTGATGATACTCTACCCACACATTCTGCAAGGCTTAGGGCTCAGGGTCTAGCTCTTATGGTCCCTGAAGCCGTGCCAGCTCGTTGTCGCATGAGCTCATATGCACCCTGTACAGAACAACATGAACTCGTGATTACTGATATATATATATATATACATACATACATATATGTGTATGTATACATACGAATGTCTGTATATACATATATCTAAGAGCATATATACTGCATATACAGAGTGGATACACATAAAATGCCATAAGATGGTACTGTAGTGCAATAAAACTGTATCAAATATGTTATGGTATGGCATCATAGAACATCTCCCCTGGGCAGTCCGGAGATTGTTGGTGTAGATCTGGTTGTGCCCTACCTGAGGGGACGCGATCTCTCACATTGCTGTTCACAACATCTTGCACTGCAAGCTTCGCCATGGACCATGCCAGCTCCATGAGAAGGGGGAACATGGCGAAACATGCTGAATATGTTCTGCCAGTCGACTTGCCCGGAGTATTGGGCTACTGTATCTGAGGGAGAGAGGGAGAGGGGAGAGAGAGAGAGACAGCGAGGGAGAGAGAGAAAGAGACGGACATACAAAAAGACAGACAGAGAGCGGAAGAGAGGGAGGAGAGGGAGGGGGAGCAAACAAAAATATTCGCTGAAAGACCCGAAAAGGGATTTGGAACCTGCAGACTGTAACTGTAGCACCAAGGTACAACAAAACGATGAAAGTGAAGGGGGAAGATGAGGACGCTTCAATGCATCCTCGGTACCAGTGCGGGCGACAGGCACTGTAGGCCGAAGAGGTTGATTCCCTCACACTCCAGGCTGACCTGGAAGATAAGATCAAGAACCCAACTATTCTTTTCAAATCCGAGTGTTGTACTCAGGCTGCCTATATATGTCTTTATATACACATATATATATATACAGGCATTGAGCTGCCTGTTAGGGCATTGAAGCTCGTTGGAACTCCTGTGGGCCCAATGCTTCACCTTTATTTCTTCCTGAGACAAGTGTCTAAGAGTAGGCCAACACAGCTCCTCAGACTTCACCTCAACAGCACGACCATGAAGCACGAACACCGAGCGATATTTGATGATTCTACACCATTGAACCGCAGCCTCACGTCTAGACATGCTTTGTCCTGTCTCCGATCGAACCGACATGTGCGTTGCGCACGATTTGACCTGTTCCACAAAATCACCAAGGAACCCAACACACCCCAATGTGCTCAAACAAGGCATTCTGGTCAAAAACGCCTTGTCATTCTCCACCTTCACGTGCACCGCCTGCACCCCTTCACAGGCGGGGTCCTGCTGCTCATTTTGCTGGTTTTGTCCACTTGCGCTCCTTCGACAGGATGGCAAAACATGGCAAAGCACTCCTGCAACGTTGCGGCCGACAGGACACCTCGCAGCACCTCGCAGTGTCGATGAGTGGTGACATGTGGCGTCGCAAGGCGGTCAACAACGGTCAATAATGGCACTGCCCGAAATTTGACTCCGTAGAATTCCCCGCAGTGTGCCTCGCCCACGAAGAGGCTGTGGGGACACCTTTGCAGCCAAGAAAGTGAGATGTGCCCATCTGCACTCTCAGTGGTGCCATCGTGCATCACATTCCAAACAGTGCTGGAAATGTGTTTGCCGTCGGCACGGCAATTCCTTGCTGCTGCCGATGCAGCTGTGGGATGCAGCTGTGGGTTTTGAAATAGTGAAGCATAGCATTCCGGGCGGAAAGTCGAGCAACTTACAGCCTGTGCTACGTACCGCGTCAGCTTCTGATACATGCATGCTCGGCAGCCAAAAGTACCATGCTGGCATGCTTATGTGGTCTTCTTTACTTTGAACTTTACACGACTTTACTATGCAAACCACGTGGAGTTGTCTAAGCCACCCTGCTGGGCATGGTTGTGGGTCACGATGATGGTCAGCCTTGTTACACAACGGACTTTTCAACCCCAACACAATCAGCAGTTCACTGAATATCTGAGGTCCTTGCGCATCATCTTTCAGATCTGATCTCCAAACGAAATTGTCTTCCTTCAAGGCCTCTGCATCAACGGGTCCGGGTAGAGCCATTGGGCACTGCTTGGGACAAAAAGACCGGTGCCTCTGCCAGGTCCTGCTCAGCCTGCTTTTGCAGAGCCTTGCCTCTCTCACTGAGGCTTGTCGCCTCGAACACAATGGAAAGGCGGACAACACACAACTACACACACACACACATGGTATCCAATCGACACTGGTTGGGAAATCTTGTGCACGCCTGGGCAAATCGAACTACACTCTGATTCTTTTGATGCGAATACATGGAGTTGATCAGTCTGGTGATGGATGGCTGGATAGCTTCGTGGGAACAGGTACCATCACAATCAATACGAATTCTGACTGTGCAGCCATCGGGTACTGTGGTAAACCTGTTTAAACCTTTTCAGGAACACACACACACACAAAACAAAACAAAAAAAAAAACATGCACACCAACGCACGCTTTAGGCGCTGACGGTCTTGCCTTCGCTTTTTGCTTTCTTTTTCGAGACTTCCTGTTGCCAAGCATGCAGTGCGAGGGCGCAGCCCTGGCGGTAACCCTAGAGGCCCTATACATCTTGAGCACACGAACCTGTGCACTGGCACCTTAACCCACCACAGCACCACAAAGCAACTCCAGTCTCAGCACCGGCCTTGGCTTTATGGCTGCCTGCCGAGAAAACAGCTCAGCCAGTGAGTCGGCTCGCTCTCGCTCTCGCTCTCTCGCTCTCTCTCTCTCTCTCTCTCTCTCTCTCTCTCTCTCCTGCACGCATAGCCCTCTCTCTCTCTCTCTCGCTCGCTCTCTCCAGGACCCTCGAAACTGTAAAGCTGACAACGACGTGCAAAGGCCAACACGCAAGTCAATGTCCTCTGAAGCCCGATATGCATTCATATGCGAATAACTCCGAGCCTCAACTCAAGACAGAAGAGCATCATACGTCCCCCAAGCGACCCAGAAGCCGGTTTTTTTGTTTTTGTTCCTTGGGGCAGGCTCTTCTAAGCCTCCCGAGCCGCCATCTTCGCCATCCTCCTCCCGTGCCTCCTGCGAGCAGTTCAGCTGCTCTTCAATGTGGCCTCTGAAACCTTGGTAGACCTTTGGTCCCCAAAGCCCTAAACCCGAAGCCCGAAACCCTCGCAACCCCTAGACGCTTGCAAACCCCTCAACACGCTTGAGTGTCTGAGGGCTCGTAGAAATACGCGCCTTCGTTCCGCCGGTGTCGCCTTTCTTGGAGCGCTTTCCCTGTTGGGCCGCTGAGCATCGCTGAGCCACACTAATCACACTACAGCTTTCTATGCCACATCGTGACAAGTTCCGCCTTCGGGGATGCCACGTCTTCATCCTGACACATCAAGGTGTGTTCATCTGGGACCTGCCAGTTCTTCAACCTTTCTTGAAACCCCCTACTCCGGTCCCTCGCAATGGTCTTCGCCTCTTCTGTGAGACGCTTGAAACCCTGCATTTTTTGTGGCCCCCTCTTGCGCGTGCTACACCCCGCATTGGGCCAGCCCGTCTGCCGAGGCGGCGCGCGCAGGCGTTCAATTGCCCCCAAAGCTCCTCCTCGTCATCCTCATCTTCACCCTGCTTTGGCTTGGCCTTGCAGCAAGACGCAGCGTTTCGGATGAAGGTTGAGTCGGTTACAAGTGTCGGGAGCGGGCCGAGGGTGTGTTGGGAACAGGGGGGGCGGTGTTGGGAACTGGGCAGGCGTGAGTCGGGAACGCAGGGGGGGTGAGTCGGGAACAGGGCCCACGTGTACAGCACGCCCGGGGGTTGAGTTGGGAAAGTCTGCCCCCCCAGAATTGGGTTTCGGAGTGATGACCCTACTCTGCAGGTTTGTTTTAAGTCCTCTTTCGACGACTTGGAGTTGGGTCTACCGTCTTCTTTTCAGCTTCCAAAGGGGAGACTTTACGAGGCGAACACATCCGACGTGTCATGAACCCGCACACCAACACGCCGAATTGGTGTGCGGGTTCATGACACGTCGGATGTGTTCCCCTCGTAAAGTCTGCCCTTTGGAAGCTGAAAAGAAGACGGTAGACCCAACTCCAAGTCGTCGAAAGAGGACTTAAAACAAACCTGCAGAGTAGGGTCATCACTCCGAAACCCAATTCTGGGGGGCAGCCGTTCCCAACTCAACCCCCGGGCGTGCTGTACACATGAGCCCTGTTCCCGACTCACCCCCCCTGCGTTCCCGATTCACCCCTGCCCTGTTCCCAACACGCACCCCCCCTGTTCTCAACACGCGTGTGCCCAACACACCCCAGTTGCAACCAACACGACTAACATTCTGTTTCCAAGACTCAGCAATCGGAGAAAGCCCTCTAGCGAGCATTTGGGTCCGAGGTTCGGGACTGGGGCTTTAGAGACTTTGGGGATTCAGCGCTAAACCACGTAAGGATTTGGACATTAATTGATCTGGAATTTTAGGGCTTAAGACGGCTTGTGGGTGTACAGCCCTCTGCCTCGTCATCCGCTTCTTCATCCTCTTCTTCTTCATTGCGACCCTGTGGGAGGTACATGGTGGTAGGACGAGACCTCTTGCCGGCGCTTCATATGAAGCAGGGTTTATATTTCTGGATTTGGTGGGTGTATAAGGTTCCTTTTCAATATTGGTGAGTGTATGTATTGGGTGTCCTTTTGGGAGTACAAGAAATATAAACCCTACTTCATATCAAGAAGAGGCTTGATTTTTAGGCTGAATCCATGTGCACCCTGGATAGAGGACATGGAATCCGAATAACTTCATGGAAGGGCTCGTTCAGACTCGTTGAGGGTTTACTGTTTGTACGGGCTTCGGTTCCCAGTGTCCCATGCCTTGAATCCCCCAACTCGTAATCGTCGTAAACCCTAAGCCACCGTCCTGATGGTTCGCAGCTCACAATGGAGGGCGGTCCCTTGCGTGTTTTAGGAGGGCCCCCCCCCCTACGTTACTGTCCTTTCACGAGCAGGTAGCCGGGCGCCTCAGCCTCCTCCTCGGGCCGCTCTAACTCACGCTCGTCAGGATCCTCGACACCTTCCTCCTTTGGCGACTTCTCGGGATTTTGGTGTTGCAGGTGAGGGGCTGGGGTTATTGCCAGCAATTAGAAGACAATGACAGGCCTCGCCTCTTCTTGCGGTGGGTCGTACATACCTTCATGGCATCTCACGAGCGGGATGCTCGGCCAAGTCAGCGCTGTGTTTGCTGGAAGGGCCTGAGCTTACGTCGTCATCGTCGTCCTCATCCTCCTCCTCGTCAGCCTGGACGCATCTATGATCCATGCATATCCAAGCACCCAAGTACCTTGAGCAGTATGTTGGGTTGCATTCTCAAGTGCTCAAAGTCACCCTGCTGAGCCCTTTAGCTGGGTTGCGGGTGCGTCGGGTTGTAGAGAATCCTTCGAGTTGCGGGGGTCTGTGTCCCGAAACAGTTCGGCGGCCTGCTCCTCAGCATCTGCCGCCCGCTCCTCCTCCTTCCAGAAGTGCTCACTTGAGAGTCTTGAGAGCATCCAGCTTGGAGCGACCGTTAGTTCGAAGGGCTCCCTGTGCCTCTGCCTTGTCTTCGGCTCCAAGTATCTTCCCTGGCGGCCGTCGCTCCCGGCATCAAAGCAAAAGGTCAGGCGTAGCCAGTACCTTTACAACAGAGCCCTCTTAGTCTTCCAAAGAATTGGGGGCCAGCTCACAAGCCCAAAATATGAAACCACCCCAAAGCCCGAAGCCCGTTCGGCAGCTAAGCTCTGAGCTTCGCTTCTTCTTCTTGGTTTCTGCAGGAGTTTCCTTTGGGCTTTTGCGAAAGGGGTTCTGAGTCAGGAAAGGAAAGGGTGGCCAGAGTGGCCTTGGTTTAGAAGGGCTCGAGGACTGTTCTAGGGTTCATGGACATGATAGCAGAGGAATAGCACATCTTCGAAGGCTGCTGAACGCCGTGGAACTCCCGAAACCTCAATTCGGTCCCAAGGCTGCGAAGGCTGTGGGCTTAGCAGTGCAAAGTGTCCTCAGCTTCTTCAGCTGGCTCATCCGCACCTGATGGGGATCAGCGCGGAGTGCCAGAGCCCAGGTGCACAGTCATGGTAGTCACATCTCAACGAAGACATGCACAAAGGCTAGACAGTCAGCGATCGCTGGATGTGCAACCCTGCGCAGACACGGCAGGGCACTGGAAAGCATGCCTTGGGAGAGCTGGCATCGCCATGCGAAGGTGGGTTTTGCACGCTTGCGCAGCGAAAGAGAAGTTTATGCAGCATATGCGGCCGAAGTTGAACCTCCCCGCGCCTGTGTCTCCAGTGCCTGTTGCTGCAACTTTGCTTCTCTTTCCCACCTGTGACTGAGCGTGCCCATCAAGTGATCGACTCTTCCAGTACAAAGCACAGGCTCAGTCACAACGGCGATGGCCTTCACCTTCACATCCTTGGTTTCGGCGACGATCTTACTGAGCTGCTTCCTGACCAGGGCCACAAGTCTAGCAGCTAGCATACAGCAAATGCCTTGCACTGAAACGGATTTCCTGGAGCAAATGACTTGGAACATGTGTTGTCGTCTTTACTACGGCTACGAGCAAACCAATACTAGCATGGGCAGCCATCACGAAATGGCGCACTTCAGTTCACGGACGACGGTCGTCTCGATGAAGTTCTTGAGCCTCATCGGACTTCGAAAGTCATGTGGCATGGCGAGTGTGCTTGCCGAGCTCAGCCATGCCATAGGCATTGTTAGAGCGACGACCGAAGTGTATTGAATTTTCACTTCTTCTCTGAGTCTGACATCCTGTAGACAGCGAACAAGCGAAGAAGAACAGACTTTCCAGCAGTGGCAGTCTGTACAAAGTGAATGAACACCCAGGGTGCCACTGTCACTTTACAGAGAGGAGCTTCAAACGATGGTCTGCAGCAGTCAGCTGTACAGAAGAACTGCTTGCAATGAATTCACACTATACTGTACCAGTCCGGCAGGCGCGCGCGTGCCAGCCGGCTGGACAAAGTTGACTAAGCAATGGCAGGTATGGGAAGCTTCTTCAAAGACTTCCGCTTGCATCATCAGTCCGAATCAGTCCACGGCTCAGTCTGCAAAGAGCTGTGACGGCCCGCTCTTCCCCAAACTTGGCATCATCGCTGCTTTGATTTCAATCGATGCCTTTAAGCCCTCCACGACTTTTCTGCGCCTCCGTCGCATCTGGGCTGTGGCTGCCAGCATTGCATCGCCGACGGCCAGCACTACCTCAACGAAGTCCGTGAGTTGGCAGCTCTGCTGCGCACTTAGTACGCTTACCTGGTTCGTCTCATTGTCAAGCAGGGTTAGCTTCCATTCCAACAGGTCACTCTGAACCTGAGCGGCGCCCAGCAGCGCCGGACACATCGATTCAGTCTCACTCTCCAAGCAGATCAACTCTTCGAGAATGCGTGCCAACCCATCGATGAGATCATCAAACACATGGAACACTTCGCTTAGGACAGTGGTGGCTGCTTCCGTATCGATGCTGCGAGACCCTGTCCCGAAAACCTTAAGCAGGCCCCGAACATCGCTCCAGCTGCGGCCACACTCCTCTGATGTCTCGGATCTCCCCATCCCCGGATCAGGGTTGCCGAGGCCTTCGGTGAGGGCCTTGAGCCCAAAGGGTCCCAAGAGGCTCACAGAAGTCAGGCTGTCGAAGTTGTCGGAGTTGTCGCGCTTCGCGGATGCAATATTTTTTTCCCGGGCTTCGATTCGATTAACTGCAACAACTTGGAAGGCCTCCAGCTCCGCAAGCTGCGACCTGCCCTTCTCCAGGGCTATTGCGGCTGCTTCCAGTGCATCCGCTATGCTGCCCGGATCGGGCAGCTCCACCCAAGCTGTGGAAGCGGGGAGCATCTCAAGTGCAAGTCGACAGCGCTCTGCTGCCTGAGCTAAGGCGTCGGAGGCCTCTACTGCAATGTCTGCAGCCACCGGCCGTTCTCCATTGAATGCGGAGGCCAATTCACGAGTCTCTTCAAGGTCTTGGAGTGTCACGTGAAGCTGGCGAAATCTGGTACGCATGGTGCCCATGCGTGCCAGTGATTTGGCGAGCACATCTGCGGCCAAGGCCACACCCGAGGCCGCACCCATCCGGGCCTTGGAGGCCCGTTTGGAGGCCTCCTTGGGCTGGGCTTGCGCCGCCCAGGCTGTGTAGCGTGTCATGTGCTCCGCAGCATCCGGGTCGCCCAGGTTCCTGAAAGTATCCTGGCAGGTCTGGGAACGCAAGCTCTTGGCAAGGCTCTCTGCGTGCATCTGCAGATCTTCGAGGCCCTGTGGGCAGGCCTCCTCTGAGGTCAGACTATCAAGCTTGGCTCGGCACATCGCTGGCGCTCAGGATGGTCTATATAGGGCTTAGCCTAATGTTTTGCATCTTCAGCAGCCACGAGCATCGAAAGACGGAATCGCGCATGCAGGTGTGATCTGGGGCCTTGTGAGGCCAGTTACGACTCATTCGAGAGATGCGGTCACTTAACCCACACGGTCTCTGGACATCGTATCTTGTATGTATGTATGTATGTATGTATGTATGTATGTATGTATGTATGTATGTATGTGTACATGGTTTTCTGTACATATATATATATATATATATATAGATATAGATATAGATACAAATATGTTTACGTAGGGATGAAATACTGGATGAATGGATGAGTGGATGAGTGGATGAATGGATGAATGGATGAATGGATGAATGGACGAATGGATGAATGGATGAATGGATGAATGGATGAATGGATGAATGGATGAATGGATGAATGGATGAATGGATGAATGCATGAATGGATGAATGGATGAATGGATGAATGGATGAATGGATGAATGGATGAATGGATGAATGGATGAATGGATGAATGGATGAATGGATGAATGGATGAATGGATGAATGGATGAATGATCAGGAGTAGCTTCATCCCGCCGACCCCGGCTTTGGCGGGTCGAGACCGCAGGAAGCACCCAGCGAAACTGCCAGGCCCAGAATTCGCAACGAACTCTCTTCATTCAGTGATTCAGTGTGGCAGGTGCGTCAGAGGCCAGGTGCGACACAGTGAATGTCATTGAAACCAAGGCGAATTCGAAGCAAGCTCTTGGGGGGCAAGTGCAGCTGGGGTGTCCACCGCTCTCGCGTCACCTCAGCTGCGGTCCCGTGGAGGACGCTGCGCAAGGGCGACCGAGGCTTCAAACGTCCAAGCTTCGGATGCTGCGAAGGCTCAGCCCTGCACATACGGTACGGCCTGCCGGCATCCAAGGCTGCATTGAGCCCTCGAGCTTACAAAGCCTTCATGACCCTCGAAGCCCCAAATAGCCTCAAAGTCGACCCGTATGCCGACACGTCATGAGCCCGAATACTGGTGAAGCTGAGAAAGCCCCCGCAGCCTTACAAAGGTCATCCAGCGGCATGAACTCAATCCGACACTGGTACACCCAGACCTTGCAGCATCAGCAATTTTGTGCATTAAGGGCTTTGAAGAATAGCTGTTTATGGACCAGCTTAGTTTTTGGGATGCGGCTGTCGTCTTCCACCTTCTCCCGATCGTTGGATTGCGATAATCAAAGCGGGACAGTGCCCCATGTAAATACCTAACAGCTACATACATACAGAAAACGATAATGAAAAAATGTATATGTATGTACATATATCTATATGAGTTACTTATGTAAGTGTTTGTTTATTCACTATATATGTATAAACCCCACAACATCCCAAAACCCTATACATTCCCGGCTGCTTGAATCTTGGACTCCAGCAACCTGCGAGCCGATGAGCCGGACACTTTCGTTCACGACCTTGACACTTTAAAATATGTTCTAACGAATCGGGCTGTAGGAGGGGGGGCATCTAAGGAAGACGTGGAGGGGTTGGAATGGTTCTTCGGAGGCTTTGAAGGGATTCAGCCTGCAGGCAGGTCGGGAACGGGGGACCCAGGGCACGCACCAATCGGGCCACGCAGTCCATCACCGTCACCTGCAGAAGGCTCCAAGTTGTGGATGCATTCTTGAGACGCAGCTACTGCTAACGCGCTGTCGATTGCATCTCCTCTCTCCCTGCGCTGAGAGCAAAACCTTTCTGAACCGTCGCTTCAGTCCCTGGGCAGCTGCCTGGCACTACAAGGCTGTGCTGTTGTGGATGTTGCATCTCGACAGCACAGCACTTCCCATCCTAAACCCCCTTAAAACATCCGCAACCCTACTTCTGTACGCCCTCAAAAACAGGTACTGCAAGCTCTCAACATTCCTCGGACTGAGATGCCGAGAAGGCTGAGGTCTCGGCAATTCGCTGCTGGAGTGATGCAGGCTTACCGTCGGGACCCGTTCCTGAGAAGGTTGCCAGGTTGGGGGGCTGCCCACGCTCATTGTGACTGGAGAGCTGTTTAAAAATGTTAGAGACTTTATCGGAGCCGTTTGCAACCTGCTCTCCGACTCTCCGGCAGCAGCAGACTCAGGTGCGCACCAAGCACCGGCACAGTCATCAGTGGTGTCGAGCAGCTCCTATTTGCGGAGTTGAGCATTGCAGTCTGTGCCTAAGTCCCAAACCCTATAAGCTGTTCGGCAAGTATGGAGCTGGGCACTGCTTGTGTAGAGGCGATGTGAGGTCTTGAAGTTCAAAGTTGCGCGGTGCCCGACACGAGGGCTTCGGGTGGTCCAGGGAATCGAGGTTTGAAGTTTAAAGCGTGGCGAAACAGATCTTGCTTCTGCCTTTCACTTTCCCTTAGCTTTCGGCATCCTCCATGTGTCAGAAGTCTACCTGCAAACGGTTTGAGAATTGACTCTGGATCCCTGTCCTCGATGCCGTCTGAATGATCTCTCGAAGCCGCGGAATTCCCAAGGTGACGTTGGCTCCTGGTGTTGAGCAGCAGCTTCTCGAATACTGCATGTTCTAAGCCTTCATCAAGCACTGTTGCACGAAGCATCTTGACCACGCAGGGTGTTGAACAGGCCGTGGTCTGTTCGTTGTATCATGATGAAGTATTGTCCTTGTTCAACATAAGGGGCAGGCCAGAGGACCCCCCAACTAGGGGCCCATAGCTTGGGAAATGACCTCTGCAAGGTGCCTCCATGCCCCGCCAAGTGGAAGGTGTTCAGCGTCATCTGCGTGCTTGGCTCACCTCCGAAGAGGACACATTGAGGACACGGTGCAAACGGGAAAAAGGCTTCCTACCCAAATAAATAAGCCTCCAGGGCCTCCGATAAATGTGAGACTCGCACAAGCCGACAGCCGAGGTTCTGACCCATGCTCTGAGCAGCAATGACGCCCACAGCTTCGCCAGGCTCGGCGAGCGTCCGCCTGAGCACAACTCAGGATTCCACAGAAGCTTCGATGGCCTCAGGGGCCAAAAGCACACACCCACGCTGGAGCTAAGGGTGCTGCTGAAACTTCAGGCGCATGGCTTGTTCAAAGAGCTTGGCCTGCAAGGAAGCATCGAAGGGGGGGCCTTGCTTTGGGCTGGAATTTTTTATGGTTGCCTGCCCCAGGAAATATGGCAATGCAGAAACTGCCTTTTCTTATAATGATCTCCCGGCAGGTTTATGCGCATGCATTGGACTAGGCCGGCCTGGGTGTTGTTCTGACTTTCGATTAGGCACCCCCTCCCTGCCAAGCGGCCTCTTTGCGGGTCATTTGCCCAAGCTCCGCACTCTGCTGGACATACTTCTGGAGCGCCTTTGTCACACTCAGTTGTTGGGGTTTAGGGCTTGATTCGGGTGTAGGGTGAGGGGAAGACCCTAGCAACCCCGAACAGGCCATGTCAGGGTAGCTGTAAACAGCAGGGTTAGGCGGGGCTCCCGCAGCTGCCAAATGCGATTTAGCTGCTGCTCATCCTACTTGCGCATGGACCTAAACCTCACTTGCTGTGCAATCTGTGCAAACCTCGCAATTAGAAAGTTGAACCTCTTAGCGCCCTGAGCACTCGCATGAAGGCCAAGGTGTTCGAACACGGACTCCCACCTCCTCATGCTTCTCCGATGTGGCACCGTAGTAGTGAGAAGGCCCAAACCTCTGGGAACTCTGGGCTGGTTCTACGGTCCTTCACTCCTCAACCCCAACTGAAAGGCTTGCGTCAGGGGTCATCAATTCGGAGTCTCGTTTCGACCTGTGCCTCTGCCGGGCCTAGTGTCTGGTCGATGGCAGTAAATTACAACAGTATTGATTTCTAAAACCAAGGAAGCCTGGTTTGGAACACCCCCCAGCCCCGTGCCCCTGAAACCTGACTCTTGAGCGGCAGCTTAACTTTCCAGTATGCTGTGCTAGGTGAGCCGCGGTGAATTGTGATCGTTGGGTCCAAAGGAATGTGAGACCCCCGCACGGCGGTGATGGGATCGAAGATGTCATCCTGGGGGAAAGAACTGCCAAAGTCTCACGTGGCATGACATCCGCACTCTCGGTCTCAGAGGCAATGAAGACCGAGATGCGCAGTCCGCCTGACAGGGCCTGTGGACTTGGGTCCCTGCACACCGAGCTGATGTTCCCTTTTTGACGTGCGTCCGAAGCTTCTTGCGCAGCGTCTTCCTGGACATGCTGAAGGCTGCCCGACTCAGCAACGCCAAGGAGTTGCGGCAAAACTCCTTCATAAGGTTGCGGCAGGGACAGCAGCGAGCAGGAGTCCATCTCGTTCTGCAGTTCGAGCAACGCTTCCACAGCCTTCCACCATCCATTGCGACACCATGAGCATGAAACTCGTTGAAGGCCGATCATGCTCGCACTAAACAGCAGAAAGAACAAGCATGCGACAATACAAGCAATGCAAGGAAACAATTGTCTGCCTCGAGCGCCTGCGGGAAGTTGCCATCCTGAGCTTCTTGAGCACGATTGCTTTGAATTGCTCTCTCCTCGATGCCCCTCTGGTTCCCCATGCTTTGCCAGTGCGCACAACGCGTGCCCGCGCTGAAGGCCTCCAAAGGAGGAACCCGGCACACGACGGCCAAGTGTCCCGTCCAGGTTGTCTGAAGATCTCCAGAGTGTTTGAGGCAGACGTGTGAGAACTGTGGCACCTTTTCGAGCCTCAGCCCCCTCACCCTTGTCCTTCGTCCACAAGGTTGCCAGAGCCGCATTCAACTTCGTACGCACAACACGCTTTCTTTCTTCGTGGGGCTTCCAAGAGGAGATCCACGCCTCCCACCCGACTGTTAAGCTGAGGGCTGAATGAGCCGGAGTTCAATGTCGATATATGTATACATGTATATATATATATATATATTTTTTTTATTTTTATATTTATATTCTTCTATCCCAACTATCTCTCTCTTTTCTTTCTTTCTTTCTTGGGGGCGTGGGGGCGAACCCCCTGGCTGTGCGCCTGCCCCGGTATTCGGGGATCCTCGGTTTTCCTCGGGGAGACGAGGTCAGGCTTGGCGCTTGTCCCCTTTTGCCCAGTCCTTTAGGGTCCTTAGTGCCCCCTGTCCCCTGCTAAGCCCCCTGCTAAGCCCCGCGCCATGCCCTTCCGTTTCTCCCCCCGAGTGGTAACACGTAGCATCCTCCCGGGCCTTTCGTGTGATTTGCCCCAAGGAAAGAGCTCCAGGGTCATCTAAGCCTGTCCTAACCCATGTTCGCCCCAAACCGGCCCCTTGGTCCCCGGAGGATGATGCAGTGAGACGGGTTGGCCATCCGTGGTCTCAAACAGGCTGCAAACCCCTCTCAACCCGAAGTAACCGTGCGTCAACCTGAAGTCACAGCCCCCAGACGACCTGGAACCGAAACCTGTAACTCCCCGGCCCCCACGGTGGCTCACTAACTGTACTGCTCTGTTGCCCCATGCAAGGAGAGACTGGGTTTACCCTTCGACCGCTAGCCAAGACCCCTATTGCCCCTCTCGCCCCTTCAATCAATCCCCGCGTGGGCTCGTCTACGCCTATGCTCTTCCCCTCCGTTCAGCAGCCCCACGCCCCCAGGGGGCTCAGTGCGTCTTCGCCTGGTTTCGTCGTCGCCGTCCCGCTCTTCTTTCGTGAAGTGCTTGTACTGTTGGCTTGTCCCCCCGCTTCTGGACCTCCGTGCGCGCTGGCCGCGCTGTTTGGACCGTCTCCTATCCGCAGCGATCCCCATTTGGGATTCCCACCTTCTCCTCATCGTCTGTGGCGGTGGGTGGCTGCTTGGCGGCGGGGTTGCCAAGCCTGTGTTGGTGGCGTGGGCGACGTGCCCCCTTCTGCCCCTTCCTCTGAGCTGGCTGTTCCTCCCGTTCCCCCTCCTCCATATACGATGATTGCCTCGTTCTTCTCCCTGCCATGATCACGATCTGGTAGTAGGTCTCGGTCTCGTTGGCTGGCTTCACTCCCGTCTTCTGCGGCATCCGCCTCTTCATGGCCCCCCTCCGTTGCCGCTCCTTCTTTCTGGCAAGGGGGAGACCCCCGCGCGGAGGCGTGCCACGGTCCTCTCCACTCTGTGTCCATCTTCCCCATGACAAGAGTCCAATTTTCTGAGCTCTCGATGTGGATGCCAGGCTCGCAGATCACCTCTTGGAGGGTCACCACGTTCACTGTGGCAAGGCTTGCATGTGGTCCGCCCCCCCGACTGAGCGTGAGGAGGACGTCGAGAACTTTGTTGGCCCCGGCTCCTCCCACGTTCCAGGCGAGCATGTTCAGTGCTTGTTGGGTGGTACGCCCCCCACCTCGGGGGTGAAACTGGAGTGCTTTGTCTATGGGCGATCACTGTAGGGCCCCCCTAAGCCCCGACCACTGCTGTTGGGTTTGCTCCACTGCAACCCTAAGCGCCTTGGCCATCTCGTTTACATCCACCCATCCTGGGCCCACCTTGTCTGCCCCTTCTTTGGCAGGGCTGACAGCTGACGAGATCCGGGCTCCTCCATACCACACCGTGCCCGTAGCGAACTCCACTTCCAGGTTGTCGTGGCGGCCCCCCAGCTCCAAGATGCATCGCTTCACTTTGGCTGCCAATCTCGCTCGTCGGCGGCGTTCTGGTGGTTGTGAGATGGTGAGGTACACATAGCGAGGTTGCCGCGTGTCTTCCCTGACGTGCCCCGTTTGGATCTTGGCGTTGCGGACGACCGTGATGGCCCTCTGGATCCGCTGGCGATATTCTTCGTTTCCTTCTCCGACTCTGGCCCCTTTGAGGGGAATGAGGGCAAACCCCCTCCGGATCCCAGGCACAAAGGTGTCTTGGTGGTCGATGTCGACCTTGAGCTGGCGCAGAATCTGGGTGGCCTTCTCGATTACCTCGTTGGCGGGCGTGTTGTCCCCCCATCCTCCCATGATAAGTGCCGGCTTGCGGCCCCCAATCCCATCGTCGGTCGTCGCCATGCTATTGATGGATTGCCCCAGGTTGCGCCCCGCTGCCTCCAGCTTTTCAATGCGCTCTTCCAGGCTGCGTTGGTTGGCCTCCATCTTGTCCTCCAAGTATCGCTGCCCCTCCACGACCTCTGCTATTTTCGCCCCTTGGTTGTCTTGCTTGTCGGTCAGCTGCTTCAAGAGCGCCAGGGTGGTTTGAAGTTGCTTGGTCACCTCCGACTCCACGGTGGTGACTCTCTCTGCCATGTCCTTCTGGACCCCCCCGATTGCGTGCTGGAGGTCCCGCTTCATCGCCTCCTGGTGGGCTTTCAGCTCTGCCTTGAGGGCCCCCAACGAGATGGCGTCCTCCACATCCACGACCTCCGCCGCTTTGCGCTTGGCGGGCGAGCTGCCCTCTCCTCCGCCTCCCCCTCCGTTCGCAGCTGTGGACGCTGCCCCCAACGTAGTCATGGATATTCTTCTCGGTGCCGTTGCCCAAGTCACGATCTTTGGGGTCACAAAGTCCCTGGCGGGGAAGGTGTCGTGCGGGTACGTTGCCCCCACGTTCTACTATCTCTCTCTCTCTCTCTCCCTCTCTCTCTGTCTCGCTTGCTCGCCCTCTTCCCTCTCTTCTTCTTTGTCATCACACACTGCTTGGGCTAATTATGAGATACAGGAAATGGAGTCCAAGTCCAAGTCGTACTACTGCCTTTGTCCTTTTTGGAGGCTTGCGCCGCTCATGTCACGAAAGCGGCCGTGGGAGCGTTCTTGGAGATTCTGGAGCGTCGCGGGTCGTTGGGCGAGTGCGCTCGTATTAGCATCCGAAGCATGGGGCTACGGCCTACGTATACACTCTGCGCTTCGGCAGCTTCCTATGAAACCAACTTCACTGAGCCGCAAGCTTTGGCTGCCTGCCTGGCGGCCAAGTACTTCTGTGCACACCTGGAGGCAGACGTTCTGACGGTTGTCGGGTAGAACAGCGGCCGAACCCTTCAGCCGAGGAGCTGTGTGTCCACGGCCGGGCCTCCTTGGCCTCAGTCAGGTTGCCATGGCACTCGGAACACAGAAGAGCAGGCTTGGTACAGACCACTCTTCTCTTGCTGGTCTCAAGGCAACCAAAGATGCTTCAAAGCGCCTGGGAGAAATCATGGCCATGCCCCAGAGCAAATCTGGGAAGGCTACGCATCTGCTGCATTTTGCTCCTCACCTGACCAAGAATCAAACATCCAAAGATATCCAAAGTCTGAGCAGGTAGGCTCTGATAGGATCTGTGGCGACGCGCTGACAAGTTGGGGTTTCGACAGGCTGCGCAAAGAAGTGAAAGTTAGACCTGCGCCGAGCGGACGGTACTTTAACGACTGAAGCGGCTGATTTGGAGATGGAGCTTGTCATGAGAAAAGGTCCATCCACTGGCCATGTCTCGGCATCTGGCCGGAGCTCGTCGAACTTGAAGAGGTATGTCGCACGAGTGACATCCACGCCGTCCTGGCTGTTTAGCATTTAGGGTCTACAAGGCGATGCTTTTTACTTGACTTAGCCAACTTGACGACAGTCCTCACCATAAAGAAATTGGAGAACGGAGCCGTCACTGTCTCGCACGGTGTGATCGTAGCTCACCTACACATTCTAAGAACTACTGTAGTACTCTTTCTCGCCAAGCTTGTGCCACCAGGCAGCAAAGCGGCTCATGCATACCTGAATTCCTGCGCACCTTGAGAGCCTCCAAGTGCTTGACGAGGCATCGTTGCAGATATCCTGCCATGCACGGGGCTTACATGATCTTGTACAATTCCTGTGGGCTCAACTAATGTGAACCTTGGACCCTCAGCCCTAAACCCTGAGCTTGCCTGAGCGTGACGTCTTAACGGCCGTGTCCACCAAACCTTCACGGCCGGCCATGCAGTGGAAGAAGAATTCCTGTCAGGCACGACATGCCAGAGCTGCAGCCACGGTACGTTGGCCAGCCTGCGGTCGGATGCCAGTTAGGAACCGGTCGGCAATGTAGCCTGGTCATTTCAAGGAGATCCGAAGGCTGTCCTTCACATAAGTGTCCAAGTTCCAATGTTCTGAGCACCTGCAAGAACACAACAGAGGAGCCTCAAGCTTCTAGCCCAGACCCAGAATCCACCCAGAATCCTAAAACCTCCCTTCGCCCAAGTGTTCGGGGGCCTCGTGTTCGATTGGAGAGGTCGCGCACCGCGAAGCAGGGGAGTGACCTGTAAACGATTCCGGACATCGTTCGCTGACGACTAATATTTGCATTGATTGCCCTTCGAACCAAAGGAAGTGTTAATTGGCTCACAGGGAGGTCACCAAATGCTCACGAAGGCTCTGAGGGCATCACCCCAAATCAAATCCCTAAACCCCTTATGGGAACCCGAAAGCCCTCAAAACAACCCTGCAACCACAAACCTCAACCGCCCTATTTGCGGGCCTCTGCGTGCTCATCAAGGGTGGGAGGCGGCCCTCCAGCTCCTGCCAAGAGAGATCAAAGGAGGCAGAGCCAAGAACCCGCGAAAGGGAGGGGGGGCCGATCAAGATTTTGAACCCATCTAAGGGCTGTTTGGAAGAATGTGAGAGGGTTTGCTCATGGTCTGCTCCCTCCCATGTCAGGCTTCGGGCAAGTTCGTCCAGGTTTTTCTTTCCTGGGGAGGGTTGGGGGCGTTTAGAATGTCCAGGAAGGAAGGTTTGGGAAGGGGAGGGCTGCCAGTGCAGGAAGGGTCCTGCTGGCCCAAACAGCAGCTGACTTGTGACCTCAATACTTTTCACTTCCCACAAGCATCAAGAACTTGTGAAACAATGTGGTGAAGCAAGGCTTGGAAGCAGAAAGTATTGATCGCCAGGCCCCTGGCTGATTGACCTTCGATCCCTTGGCGCCCGTCTGGACCATGGACTGGGCGCAAGCTGTTCAGGGCTCAAGGTCGTGGGGGTAGGGGGCACATCCAGCTTTCCTGTACCAAGGCTGTGACGGCAAAGCAGTTGCGCGGCACTGGAAGGTGCTGGCCAATTGGAATGCACCTCAACAACACTGTTTCTGGAAGATGCGCAAGAAGGCATTGCATCGTCGCAAGGCTTAGGCGCTGACTTATTAATCATCCCAGACCAGAACTCCTTCATCTTGCCTGGCATGGGTTGAACATGTCCGATCTTGGGATTGAACCTTGCACAAGAAGCTCGAGGACCGGGCCAATGACCAAACCTTCAAAGTGCTCCACGGTCTCTTTTTGCTGGAACCTTGGGCGGCTCAGGGCATTCATTCAACCATGCTTCTCCCGAATACAAGTGCGGAGGAAGACCCACTGAACCCTGAACCCCATAGACCCAAGCGTTTGCCTGTTTTGCCCCCGCAACTCGGAATCTGGCAGGAAATCGCCGACGGCAAAGAAATCCCAAACCCTTGTTAAATATCACCGCATTGTACTACATTGTAATAAACTACATTGTGCAGTACATTACAGTAAAGGAAACTTCGTTACACTAGACCGCCCTATATCTATACTACGCCAAAGTGACCAGAGATCCAGGATTCAGGATCTTGGATTCGGGTTCCGAACAAAGAACCAAGAACCAAGATTCCCACAAAAGCTTTTCCTGGGAATCTTGGTTCTTGGTTCTTGGTTCCAGGGGCCGATTCAACCTAAATCGCGCCGATTCAGGTTGAATCGGTAAATCTTGCTATGTTTGAGCGTCTAACGGCCAGTAAGATGCAAACTCCTTTCACGTGCGGGGGGGGGGGGGGGGGGGGGGGGGGGGCCTTTGGATCACAAAAGGAGAGTCCCTAAGTCCTTAAAACTTGTCCCTAAATCCTTTTTTTCGCAAAACCCTAAAGAGCCGCATCCCTAAGCCTTCCTCCCTCAATCGTATTTCCTAAATGTGTATTCCCCAAATCCTATAGCATAAACCATGCAGAAGGCGGGTGGTCCTTATAAGTAACGAAAAGACAAAACGCTGCATTAATCTTATGTAAATGCTAATTAAAAAATCATGGGGTATCGCTTTTGGGGGGGCCCTATCGCTTTATGGGACTTTAGCTCAATGCTGCTACGAAAACCTATCGCTTTACTGCATATGAGACCCGAAACCTGCAACCCTACCGTGAAAACTCCTGAATTCCTAAACCCGTTCCTTTCTTCAGGACCTATAAACTAAATCCATATCCTAAACCTCGAACCCTCAACCTGGGCCAGGGCCTTTGCCCAGCTCTTCGGGTGGCCAAATGGGTATCGTAGGGTTATCGCTTTGAGTATCGCTCTGGAATAACACCCGGCCCCACATTGTTGCAGAACGAAATCTAGATTCAAGATTCAGGGTATCGCTTTTGGGGGGGGGCCTATCGCTTTCCGAGGTTTCAGGCATGACATAAGGTTTTTATCTCCGCCACAAGAGACCTCCTGCAACGTAATAAAAGTGGTCGCTCATCTCGAAAACAATAACCCTATTCCCTAAATCCTTTCGCTCAATCCAAAAGAGTGGGATCCCTAATCGAAGTCTATTCCTAAGCCCTAAAGAGGGGCTTCTTAAATTCTAAAGATCCTTGGGAAAGCTTTTAAATCCTAGGATGCAAGCTTTGTGGGAAAAAAAACCGCCCCCTTTCATTGTGCTTACGGTGGGTTCAGGGGGGGGGGGGGGGGCGGGGGGGGGGCGGGGGGGGGGCGGGGGGGGGCGGGGGGGGGGCGGGGGGGGCGGGGGGGGGGCGGGGGGGGGGGGGCGGGGGGGCGGGGGGGGGCGGGGGGGGGGCGGGGGGGGGGCGGGCGGGGGGGGGGGCGGGGGGGGGGGCGGGCGGGGGGGGGGCGGGGGGGGGGGGCGGGGGGGGGGCGGCGGGGGGCGGGGGGGGGGCGGGGGGGGGGGGCGGGGGGGGGGGGGGGGGGGGGGGGTTAATTTGCATACAGAATATATTCTAAATGAGGGTATTTACCCCCCCCCCCCCCCCCGCCCTTCCATACTTGATGATAGATTTTGTCATGGGATCTTAACCTTTGTTTGTGAAAACCTGGGTTCCACGTTTATTGCATTGTGCGATTATGTGATGCAGACACGACAAATGCCAATATAGCCCCGACAGTATCCGTACGGAATTACTATTGCACGGTAAACGACTATGGAAGTAGGGACCCAAACAACCATATGCGAAATAGGGTGTTCTGAGGTCTAGTTGGACATCTAGGTCTCTGGCAAATTCTTGGACGCCTTTGAGAGCGCATCAGGTGTGGGGCTTGCAGACCTCATGCCGCGCAATCACAATCCTCTGCCACGGCTCTGCTTCAAACCGTTGCCAACCACAGCCACACACGGGTTCGACAGTACTCAATGCTGCCAAGTAGAAGGGACATCGTCTCAACATGAAGTTTGCTGCTCCAGTCATTCAAGCTCTTATCCCGAAGGCCAGCACTGCATGAACAGGCCCTGGTGTGATCCTTGCTTTCCGATTGTCGTAGGTGCGATGCAGGTCTCCGCCAGCACCATGCTTGTGGATCCTTGCGGCTGGCCGGTCTGGGAAAGTGGAGACAGTGGAGACCCTGAAGCCTCTCCTTATTGATAGCATGTTGAAACCTTCAAGGCGTGTCGGGCTGGCCACTGCTCGGCCACCTGCTTGGCTGCCAAGCGCCTTGCGACATGGCACCACGACACCCGCACACATTTTTGGATACAAAAATATAGTATGCAAGATCTCGTACGTAGTATTCTGACATTTTCTGCACAAACATTCCAACTTGCCGTGGTCGTGCAGCGCGTGTCATTCACAGGTTGAGACGCAGACGCTCCCTTGACCAGTTCCGTCCTCTGAAGGCTGCTTCATGAGGGGGACTGATGGTCGCAGAGGTAACTCATCTGACTGTACACGGATAAGTAAGATTCAAGATACAGATCCAAATCCAGTGACCAGCAGTGCATGGCATGGAGAAGAGAACTCGACAAAAACAGCTGAGTGCAACGACACCGCGCTGTGTCTCTCCCACACTCTTTCAAAAGACATGTCCTCTTATCGTCGATTTCCGGTCCTGCCAAGGGAACTGTCGAGCATTCAAGAATGGTATGCAAAAGTCAGTTCAGCGACCACACATGCACCTGGCTGTCTTAGCCCTGGGCTCAGCACCAGGTCTTCGTAGGCACAGGTGAAGCCGCGCATCTGCAGCAGCAGGGTGAAGAGCCTCCATGCACGATATCGCGATTGTGGCTACAACGCCTAACTTCATTGCCCCCAAAAAAATCACATCAACAAGTGTGATCCGAACTCTTGCGGCGAATTCCGGCCTGGCAATGCCAGACAACCAAAGACCTGGCATGCGTGAAGGATTGCGAAGGTTGCGTGATGTGACAGGAGCTGACTGCATCAGCAAACGAGCGCCCCTCAGATCTGAAGAAACCACCCTCAATCACCCCCCCCGCCCCACCACCGCCCAAACCGCGAAGCTCTGAATGATGCAACACACGGCGGAATCACTTACAAGACGACCGCCCATGAGCTCGAAGCACATGTGCCTGCCACTAGGAACGGCCGTATCGCCAACTCCTCACGCTTCCTGCCTTGAACCTCTTGATCCGCCCCAACACCACTTGACGAAGCATGAACAATAACATGGACATGTGCGGACATGTGCGGCTCTGAAAGCCCAAAGATGGCTTAGATCATCGCCTTTGTCCACCGCCTAGCTGCCCACTTTGCAAGGAAGCCTAGAAAACCTTTAAGTGCCGCACGTGATGCCAGCTGTCTCCGCACCTCGGCTCGCACGATGAGACCAAACCATGAGACCGACCTGTTTTACATTCAATCCTTGCAGTCATCTGAAGCTGCATTGTATACCCTGCCAGTACATGCCGATTTTCAGCCACGACTGAAACCGCCATCAGCCCACTCTCTCAAATGCGAGGCCCAGGCCAAAGGACGCCTTGTCCAGGACCTTAGAATTCTCCATGTCTAGAATCATTCTTGAAGAACACCTTAGAAGCCGGAAAAGGCCTTTGTGGGAACGATCCATGGTGCCCTACACATGCCATTGGAGCCTCAAACCTTGAGAGTTCAGGAAGTTGGGGGACGTGTTTCAGGCATCTCAGTTCTGCAAGCACTCTTCCGAAGCAGCAAGAGCATCACATATCATACGCTGGAAGAGGCTCTGCGTAACACTGCATAGCCCCGATTCAACTGCCTCCTCAAGGTTGCCCCTGGAAATCAGGGGACCCCCAACCCGCAAGTCTGTACTGAGCTTGGTAAGGTTTCAGGTTCCAGGCTTCAGCGGACGGATCCATATCCGAAACTCCAAGCATGCTGCCATTTCGCACGGTGTAGTCATCAGAGTATAAAGTATTAACCGTTATCGTACTGATGTCGATGGGTAACAAGAACTATAACACGAGTACTAATGACAAGCTTTCATTGGCGAAGTTTTCATAAGGCCCCGGCGCCTTGCAAGAGGTCCGACCCACGAAAGGTCACCGTCGCCTAGTGAGGGTTTAGACTGGGGGGCGGCTTGCTCCCTGCTTCTTTGAGACGTTCCTTCAGACAGGGTTAAGAACAGAGGTTGACCATGATGACGCAAGTGGCAGAGATTCTGGGGAAAGGTCTGCAACAAGAACAACAAGAACATGCACTTGCAGCAATATCAGCAATAGGCAACAGTCATAAGAACGGCATAAGAACAAGAAAAAGGCTGGGCTTGACCACGCCGTGATTTCCCCGAGCCTCCTCCTTGTCGCCATCTAGCCTTCCGTTCCAAATATCTCCCGGCCTCGCGACAAGAGCTTGGCGACTCCTCATGTTGTGTCTTTTTGGGGAATGAGGGGTCTTGTGGGGTCCAAGGATTGATGCGACGCCGACTGAGGGGCTCCACGTCTTGCTCTTGCCGTCCAGGTTGATCCCCAGCGAGGTGTTTGCTTCCTTGAGGCGCGCATCATCATCAGCGAGACTCGTGTGGCCTATCATGCTGAGGCTGGGGCCTTCCCCTCCGAGCAAACCTGGATGAGATGCTTCAGCAACATACTCAGCACCTCGCTCCAGAAGGCATCTTGGTCAGTGTGAGCCGTTTCACTGAGCCGTCCGATAGCACAGGAAAGCCTGTCGTGAACGAGCCCATTACAAGCCTTATCGCTTGTTTAAGCTCCTTGCCGCTTTCTAGAAAAAAAGGAAAAAAATCCTGGTGACCACAGCCATTATGCCTTACAGTGGGGCCACCCATTGCTAGGTTTGCACAGGCTTTACCTCCAGCCCACGGTCTTCCTGCGATTTCAGCTTCCGGGGGCCTAGCCTGCTTTCCGGACCAGCGTGGCAGTGGACGGAGCCTGAGGTGATCGCAACGCCACCGAAGTCTCCGAAAAACGGGCGTGACAGAGATATCCCGGCATGCCAGATTTCTTATCAGATATCCGCAGCCGCCCTAGCCACACGATGCCCCAGAAGATGGTCCACGAGTCGACACAAAACGGCGACGGCTTGAAGACATCCAGGCTCCAGGCAAGGCCGGTGGGTCCAGCTCCACTTTGAACTTCTGGGCCTCGCATGAAGCGTGGCGGTGAGCAGCATCACCAAGTCACCAACATCCCGAGCGTGACTTGAAGCTGCAACGAACCCTTGGGAAGTCGTCTTACTAGAGCCTTAGATCTTTGGTTCAGGCATCAGGCAGACTTCGGCAGAAGCATCCGACTGCCGGAGCCGGGGGCGGCACACACACATGCACGTTCGGGCTCAGCCACGGCCGCCCCTCGAAGGAAGAGCGAAGAGCATCGAGAGCTGGCAAGTGCATGTCAGGATAGCTGTGCCATCGCAGCTGAACCCTCAACCCAAACACTAAACATCCAAACCTCCCCATGATCTGTCACAGACGGTGATTCAGAAGTGGCCTTGAAGGGCTCCTGCCCGTCCTTCGCAGATTCAGTTGCATGTGTGGGGCAAACTTGCACTTCTCGACCTCCAACCGCTACAGTAATTCGCCCCCCGAGACCTAAAACACTCTTCACATTCTTCAGCGACAAGAACACCCCCCCCCCCCCCCGCCCCCGCTCGACAAACCAAAAATGACACGTAACAGCCCTCAAGCCCAACTAGGTCATCTGCAGGTGATGATAAAATGTCCTGTGCCGGGGTCTTCTTGTTTTTCGGACCCTGCGGCAATGGCTGCAATGGGCTTTAGTGTTCAGGTTTTGGGATCCTGGGTGCTGGTAGTGCTGGTACTCCTACCACACTCATGTCTTGGGTGCTGCCAGACCTTCCGAGAGATGATTCTTGCTTAACCTTGTGGCATGCTCTTTGACCTCTTAGTGCCTGTTCAAGTTTAAAAAGTTAACCACCATCCAGGCCTTGCTTCGCGGCGCCCTGGGCAACCGAATTTGCAGGTTCTCTTAGGAAACGAGCTGGAGAAGCTTCTCACGTCTGTGGACTGCACTCGATCCAAAGCGTTTTGCCTCCGAGAGCCCAGCAGGAAGGACAGGCCTGCTGGCTTCGATGATGCCTCGAGCCTTGGGCTGCGAACAAGCTGTAACAGGCTGAGGATACTAAAGAATATCCAGATGACAATCTCTCATGTATTCGTACATGAGACAATCTCATATACATTTTTAATGTTATAAGGGTTTGAAAGGAAAGCTTCAGGTCATGGTCCTAGTCAGGCTTGAACACTGCTGGCTGCTGGCGCCGGCCTTTCGATGCACGTGCACTCTGCAGTGTGAAAGGGTGTGAACACGGGCTCTCCTCTTCACCAAGGGCCGCGCGCGTGCCTGAGGCCAGCGTAGAGCAGCAAGCACACCTGGCGAGCTCTTAGTACCTCGCGCCCTGTAGCATGAATCACATAGACGGTCGGAGGCCGGAGGCCCGAAAGACCAACAGTCTCGAAAGCCAATTATCTTAAAGCCAGACCCTAAGCCAATTCTGCAAACCCTTTGCTCCCGCAAAAGCTTCTTCACGCTCACTGTCATCTGAAAGACGCGGTGGGACCCGCCTCTGCCTTGGTGTAGAAGCCTCAGAAGAACACGATTGATTGAGGCAGGCAGCATGATTGCATGATTCGTCTCAAGCTGATGTATAACAACTTCTTGGAATCTCAGTGGGGCAATGACTGGCCCGTCCAGTGTCAGACTGTCAAGGTGAAATAGGCACGGGATGGGAAAGGGCTTGTCACTTTGGTGTCATCGTTTGTTTGATTCGACAGTGGCGCGAGCCTTGCTTGGATTCAGCGGAGGGCTCGGACTTTCTGCTCGCAAAGGGGGTTGGGTCGTGGGATGTGCAGCACTGTACTATATAACAACTCTAGTATCGTTCTGTTTGCAGGCGCACCCCCAACGTGAAGGCATTCGAGCGTGCCGTTTCTCAACTTAATCTTGGAAGTGCAGCGATACTTGCTCCACCTGGCTGATTATCTATCCATCGTTCACTTCAACCGAATCAGACATTGTCGTCTACTGTGATATATGTAGATGTACCGGAAGCCTCTGGCGAATCACATTCGAGGAACACCATTTCAGCTCAAGTGGCTGTCTCTTTTGGTCAGCATTGTGCCCGCTATGACGTGATCCTGGCGGCAAACCGCGAGCAAGAGGGAGAGTGGGAGGCCCTGCCATGAACTGAGGGCGAGCAAACCTAAAGGCTTTGTATAAGGTCTCTTCAAATGGCACCATCATGCCCAAATAAATCTCCCGAGAACAACCTCCGACTTTGCCTCCCCCGAGTGGATATCCGTCCCAGGGACTTGGGACTTCAGGGCCCTCAGCTGAGCCTGAATCAGTCCACGCAGCGGCTTGCCCGATGTTGGCACCAGGTACCTGGGAGCTCAACCTGCTCTTAAACTCCCATTAGAGTGGCCCAACATGTCTGAAGAACCGAAGACAACTTACACATTCCTGCGTAACTCCCCGCGTCTCCCCAAACCTGCCAAGAATGGGGCCCCGGAGGCGCACTGCTGATCCGCTTTCGCGATGGCTAAGGCTTCCATCCGGCTGATGGGGTCCTAGCAGGTCCATAGGTGCTTTGGGGCTGTATGGGCGTCTCTAAGGCTGGAAGGTCGGGGATTCAGGACATGTCCTTGCGCGGTCGAGAGACTTTAAGCCGGTCCTGCGGGGCATGCAGATTCATCTCATCTCCATCGAAGTCGGCGTTGTAAGTGTTGCAGTTGACCTTGGCCCAAGAAGTCTTAGTCGGAATGTCTTCGTCCTCCTTCAAAGACGGCACATGCCTTCGGGGCGCCAGGGCCAAAGGTTTAAGGCCAGGCTAAGACCGAGACGTAGTGCAAACGAATGGTCTTCTCTTTTCTCAAGACCTGCTTATCAAGGCAGCCGCTGCATAATTTGCAAGACTCACCGAATCCACAGGGACATTCATGCTCGTTCTTCACGCATTGAAAGCCAAGCGGGGTCTACTCAGCCAACTGCTTCTCTCTGCAGGTGCCCACCCTTCCACCCCGACGTGGGACTGCTCATTTCTGATCCCCTGCAGGTGCCTTAGCAGTGTGCGCCATGATGCCAGGCCTCAGGTGGTTTGAGATAAGGTGAGGGTTTCTGGGTCTTGGAGGATTCTTGTGGATCCTGCAGTTTGTTTCCTTGCTGCTGGGCAGCTCTTTTAGTATGCAGCTAAGGGTAGCAGCAGATAGCTGACTTGGGTTCTCGGATTTCCCCGTTGATGATCGTGGCATCGTGCTCCTTCTTCTGCTGCATTTTATGACGGGGCAATCTTAGCCGCTGACTTGTGCAAAGTTGGCTGGCGATTGACGAGGAGTGGGTCACCTCAAGCGCGGCAAGCTACTTCGAAGATATGTCCAACCTCGCCGGCTGAGATTCAGACCGTCCATCAAGTGGCGGAAGACAGTCCAGGGTGGCTTTCCCGACCTCGCGCCACGTTCGACCACTAAGGACGGCTGCTCCGACATGCCATCCACCCTGGCCCCCAGCCACCTCAAGCCGTATTCACCGTATTCCTGAACCCCAAAAGTTCTAAAGTCAGGAAAAACTCCACAAGGCCTGAGCCTGAGCCTGCCGAGGTTCCAGCTTAAGGTCGGTCAGAAGCTGCTTGGCCCAGGTGTTTCTGTCGGCCTCCACACACAAACAGGGTGCATCTCCGAGCGCCATCGAAACACTTTAGGGAGACTGGGAGTCCAATTGCACGAGGCGCAACCTGCCCTTTTCCTGCAGGATGTGGGGATCGGGTCCTTTGCCGCTGTAAAGATAGCTTACGTGCATCTTGCGTCCTGCTGCGATGGCAGCGTGCAGAGTTTGGACCGGCCACCTTCTGCTCAGAAAAGCCCCCTAAAAATGAGGGTTGGAGATATCCCAAGAACCTAGACAGTTCAAAGTCCAGGTCCAGGTTCTCAACCCTGTATTCTAGTATAGGTGTCAACCACTCACAACTGAAGAGAACAGCTGTCCTGTCGCCAGCAAGGTCAACTCCTACTTCTGAGGGCGGCGCGAAAGTGAGTCAATCCTACCGCAGTCAATGCAATGGCCGACGATTTTTTTGAGCCAGCCATCGACAACTCCAGGCCCGTGGGCAGATACAGGCCACCCGCAGGCCCTCGAAACGGGTCAAACGATCCTCAGCTGAATCATTTCAGGGTTCATTAGCAGACGGCGTGCCAACACAGATGTTGGTTGTTTTTCCCTGTGGATCTTGCCACGCAGGGCCTTGCCAACGGATGTGTCATCGTTCGCTTGGGAAGGTGGGCACGTGTCTCAATCACCTGGTTGAAAGTGAGTGAACGAGGGGTGCTGAAGACGTAAGCTTCAAGATGGGGTGCAAAGGCAGAGAAAGCCGGGGATGTGGGAGGATGTGCTAGGACATTTGCATGGACAAGGGTCTAAGGTGACATACCTCTGCGGCTCAATGACAGGGCTGAGCTGCGTCCTGTAACCGCTCTTGCGGCTTAGCGATTACAAAACCTGAATCTTGAGATCTTGTAGAGCGGCACAGGTCGAACTCACGGGGCCTGTGACATCTTGGCCAAGCCCAAGATGTTCTTGCTGCCGTCCGACTTGGAGATGTGCACCTGCCGGCAGACACGTCTACAGGCACATGCCATGGCGAAAAGCTTGACGGCTTTATGTTGAACGGCATGCACGCCTTACACTTCTTAGACTCTGCTGATGCGTTTTCGTCGAAAGGTGTCGTCTTTGTCGGACACGATTCCGGCCACACAAATGCTGGCATGCCTTGAACGTGGCTCCTGATATAGCCACCAATCATTGGCGAGCTTCCGTTCTGCAGACTGACATGTTCTACGCCGGGTTTTCGAAACCGATCGCTGTGCGCGAGCTGATACCCATCTCACATCTTTTGCAAAATGCCGACCCAGAGATATTACCGCGAAATCACCTTGGCCTGGTCATGTGCCTTTTCAGACTTTGACTTCGATGACGGTTTTCGGGCGTGCAGGGTGTGACGGGAACCGAAAAAGCCCTATGTGGGAGCCCTGTTCCAAGCCCCAGCCAGGACGTTGCAACATGAGCCAGGGGGGCGGCCACCTTAAACTGCTGGGATCATCTGCGAATGCACAAAGATCGATGGGGGGATATGGCAGTTTAAGGGATGGGAACAAAAAGAAGAAACAGAAGACTTGAGTGCTGCTAACCGTATTTGCACCACACGCGCGGGAAGAGACCCTGTATAGAGGCAGGAACCCGAACCCGAACTCCCCCCAAAACCCGAAACCCGGCACAAGTGTGCCTCGGCGGCTCCAGGATATTCATTACCTCGTTCTACGAGGCTGCGCAGCCACTCGATATTGAAGGGGGTGGCGACCTCCGGCAGCGAAGAGAGCCCCCGGCCCCTCCTCTACACCCGTGCGTGAAACTGTGCTTCGCGACACACTTCACATCGCTTCACCTCTGGGTAGAAGAGGTTCGAAGCAATGTCCAGAGGCACGCCGATCCTCGAGCACTAGAAGATGCTTGGGAGCTTCTTGGGCAGTCCGGGCTGCATGGCACATTGCTCTTGAATCATGGCTGGACATCAAGTGGCATCATTTGTGGGCAAGTCTAGGGCCTAGGTCAAATGTTCCAGCTTCAGTGCATGCTTTGCTTTCGTCTCTTCGAAGCTGCTGGGTTTCACTGGCATGGGGGGGCGTTGTCATAAGACTTCACGCCCTTGGCAAGCCCCGAGCTGCAAACTCCTCCACCTTGAAGCACCTACGTAACCACCAGGCCCAGAAATTCCCTAAACGTGCCCACTCTGAGGCATGTGCTCCGAGGGCTCGATGTTGGGATCGGGTGAGATGACGGACCGGGCCGCAAAATTCACGCCTCTTGCAGAAAAAGGAGTAGCGACCGCGCATCATCGACCCTACTTTGATGTGGGGAAAAACGAGCCTCCACTGTTGTTTGTGCTTTTTCTTTTTTTGGGGGGGTGGCACCGGCCACCCAATGAGGATGAGTGGCATGGGCACAGAAAAAATTGGAAGAAGGGCCAGCTCTACGCGAATTGTTTGCGAAATCAAAACAACCAGGCCCAGAAGAAAATATCTCAGCATGCTTTTGTTACAAGCTCTTTATGCTTCCTCCCGAAATTCAATTGTGAATGTGAGGGTGGCCAAGTCCTATCTGGTCATCCTTACTCACACCACCTTCGCAACACCTGGAATATGATTTATTTAAGGGTCATTGCTTCTTCCTCCGTAGTTGCTTATATTTGGTTCCCGTCTTAGAACTGATTAAGAACTTCTGAAAGAGAGGCCGGCCAGCTCCGTCTCAATTGATTTCCGAACTCACTCAAGAAGGCCCAGTGATTCTTTGAGCCTCTAAGAACAAGGCCCAAAAGAGTATTTCTGAGAGTGCGGTCAGATCCTATTTGATGTCTTCTGAAATGACGAAGCGCAACTACAGCAAGGTTCTCTGCCCATAGATGTTGATAGGTTTTCTGCGCAGACAAACTTAAACTCAGTTTGAGATCTGATGTTAGTTCTGTGCTGTGCATGATTAAACAAAGCTAAGACTCAGAAAGCGTGTTCAGCGTTCTGTTCGTAACTGCATTATGAAAAAAACATATCAAAGACGACAGTGTGAGATGTGCCTTAGGTGAAATAAAACATATGTTCTCGCAGTATTCCCGGATGTCGACGTTGTTTCCGTGAATCATGTTCGGGGCCTCGTTCGTATCTAAGTTGCGAGCAGGCCACGCGCGGAGTTTCCCTCCACTGAACCGGACTCATAACGACAGATTTGCATACGGTGTTATTTAACAAAAGCCGTTGGGAAGTAAATGAACCAAATAGGATGACTCCAGAAGCTCAAGCTCAATCTCGAGCAGAGGGTCGGGGGAGGGGGTTGGGAATCATGACTTGTGATGTTTTGGACTGGATTCCCACGTGCCTCAGAGACCCAAAACAAACACTCGAAAAGATCAAAGCAGTGGAGACGATGATGTTTTGGCTTTGCTTAGTCCAGAAAACCGTGCGCTTTTGGCTCTTGACTTCTTGGAGGATACCCGGTAACTCTTTGGTTTTTACATGGAAAACGAATTTCCCGGTAATCTGCTGCTAATGGGGAACAAATACCTAGCTGTGTGGTGTTGGCTTCTCGATGTCAAAAAACAAACAAACCACAAGCATACACGGGCTCTTGGAATTTGCAAGAAAACCACACTGACAAAACATGGGGAAACACCAACAGATCCAAAAACACGCCGAGCTCGGCCCCATCTCTGTTTAAGGTTTTGTGATGTTTAGCTTTCAGGTCTTGGGGGAGGGGGCCAGAAGGCAGGTTGCTTAAGCACCCAGCGACTCGACGAGCTGAAGGGCAAAGCAGCCAAGAAAGAGAAAAATGGGGAAGTTAATGAAACCATGGCGTTCCATGCGCTTTTTCTCTCCCTCCGGCGTTTTCTAGGAATTACACCCTGCAAAAGTTGAAAATAATAAATCTTGCAAGTCCTGTAGGATAGACCAGTTGAGCGTTAACTCAGGTCCCGGGCAATTTGAAATATGTGCGCTACAGGAAGTCTGCTGAACGACTCCAGTTTGAGTCCCTCTGGCAGCTGGGCAGCCAGGCGCTTCCCCATCATCTTCATTCCTTGATCAAGAGTAGGCTCGACATTCGCACTGCCGACGTGGTTACAAGCATGTAGTGAAGGGCTTGTGGTGCGCACAGAGCCAACAAGTGCATCTGCAGAGCTCATACTACGAGTACTACGAGCACATGCTGCCAAGCTGCGGAAGAGCCCCTCCTTCTTCTCGAGAAGTTGCCTCACGCCGTCCTCCGAGAGCTTGGCATTTCTGCCACCTTGTGCTTTATCGGGGCACACTGCCCAGAAGCAGCAACATGTAATGTCTATGACGACATGTATGAAGATGTATGAGATCCAGGTCCCTTAAGATGCAGCACTGTGGCTTCAGCCATGGAGAGCAGCCTCCGCAAAAAATCTGCTATATGGGCCCCCTCCCCAAAGAGCATAGTCGCATATGAACACCCAAGCAGTTCCGACTGCTGCTCGTACTTTGCTGAAACGACTTCTGTTGGACACCCCCCGTGGAGATCACTTCTGCAGCTGGACTGAGGCGGAAAGTCCTTTCGTCCGTGCTCCGAAGTAAAAGCTGCATGGACAATTCTGAGGACTTCTCCGGTCTTACGCGAACTTGGAGGCGAGGCGACGTTACGTACGGTGAACGGCCCCAGAAGTTAAAGAGTCAAACTTGGAGATCTTTCGAGATCTTGTGGCTGAAAGAACTCATTCTAAGCGTTACCCCTCTGTCCGAACGTGAGGGTTTCGCAGGACCCCGCAGCACACTCCACAGAACACGCCTGCGTGCGTGAAATGATTGTTGGACCCAAAGCTGGCTCGGTTTGTCGCCATGCCACCACTCACTAGAATACCAAGCCCGAACCCTAACCCTGCACCACTGCCGAAACCGTGGCAGTTGCTGGCAGCGACCCCCTGGACAACCCAAGAACCAAAGCCATACGCGCTACTTATCGCCACTTTGAGAACCTGAGACCTGTTTTGTTGTAAGCCTCATTCTCAAACCCCACATGGCCGGAAGATGGAAGATGTGAATGCATCAGATTGTTTTCCTGCACCTGTCACTTCAAGGGACGCCTTGTGCACACATGCACACATGCGACTGATCCCACATCGAGAAGAACTGAACGTTTTGTTTCATGAGACAGGCGCTGCGATTGTGACTGCGAGGACATGTGAGGTCGTGTTGTGGAGGCGGCGGGCCTCACACGGCGGTCTTGCAGGTAACTGCCAGTTTGTTTGGAGGAGATATGGCGCCGCATGTTGATGGGCCAACATGACCTTCCTTGCAGCATCTGCAGATGTTTTGGCATTTTCGAGCTATGGACACGGCAATATTCATTCTGGCCACCTGAACATGTCGCATCCATACTTGCCGAAGATCCCGCTGGTCCCGCGACCCTGTGGGTTCAGTGCAGTGGGCAGTGGGCAGAGGCGACCCTTGACGGTGTAAGCGCCGCTTGAAACGCAAACGGGTGCCCGTCGGCCTGTCAGTGCACAGAACATAGGCAGTTCGAACCTGAGGGCAGGGCTCTTCATCCGGTCCATGAGGGAATTGACGGCAATCCTGGTTTTCGCGGTGAAGGAAGCTGTGTTCTGAAGAATGGAATGTGTGCTCGTGTGAGTATACGAATGGGTTCGCTGTAGGGCTGTTTAGGAGCCTTCAGGGCCTTCGGTGCGATTGCGGCAGTTCTGCGCTCGAGTTGAACCTGTAAACCCTGAAGACCTTCCGGTTCCAATTAGCCACAACATAGCCCATCTGACACACCCCGAAAGCCTCAACTTCCAAACCCATATAGCAACCCCACCGAGACGGCGGCTGCAAGTCACGGACCACTTGATGAAGCTCCAGCTTGGGAGTCGCTTTGCCAGCTCCCTGCACCGAGGGTGCAAGGACTTGGGTGTCGAGGGTTTCGGGGTTTTGGGGGGGCATTTTGGGGGCATTTGCGGGGATATGGAAGGGAAAGGGGGGTGGGGTGGAGTTTGGGGGGGCGGTTTGGGCTCGGCGGTTGGTGACGGGGGGGGCAGGGGTTTGGGGGGTTTGGGCATTAGAGTTTCAGGCTGGGCGAGAACCTCTCCAAGAACCAAGGACCATGCAGAGGCTATGCAGGGCTGTGGCCGCTCGTTATCCTTCAGGGTTGTCTAATCTTAAGGCTGACTAAGGTGCTTAGGACTTAGCAGCTTCGCAAGCCTAAAGCTGAAACTAACACTCAACCCTGAACCGCGGCAGATGTGGCCTTCCCTTTCTTCTCTGCAGCACCTGGCTGAACTGTTTCGATGACCTGCGAGGGAGGCGGCAAGCCTGACTGCAAGCCCTACCAGGATTGTCGCGGAGCCTTGGGATCTTTGAGAGCACTACGGTAGCAATGGAACCAGCCCGGAGCTTACACCAGGTCAAGGCTCAAGATGTCCAAGGGCTTTAGGCTGCAAGTGGTGTTTGCCAGCATTCAGCTCAGGGCCTGCTGGTTTGCGAGGAGGATGCCTGACGTTCCAAGGAGCTCCGGAACCGGGCAAGGGAGGCAGCATTGTCCATGCGCACATTCACGCTGAGAGCTGCGCCTTTGAAGTGCGCAGTGTGGCGATGTAAGCTGAAGCTGTTTTCATTCTCTTTGCCTCAGGGTGACGAAGGCATAGAAAATGGTGGTCAGCTGGATCCTTCTGAGAGCTTCCAGGGCAACTCAGCAACTTTTCGAGATCGAGTCGTCACACGAATCTGGGCCCCACCAACCCTGCCAAGCACTCCAAAGCCTCTAAAAGCCCCAAAACCCAACATGTCTCATGTGCGGGCCAACGCTGAGTCCCTTGCTAGCCTTCGGAGGTCGGAAACGGCTAGGGGGAACCAAGAGGTGATCCAAGAAGAAGACCTGCAGTCGGATCTCCTTTTTGTTGCTCCTTTGTAGACACCGTCTTTGACCCCGGGCCTCTTTTGGGTCTCCAGAGATCTAGGCAAGCTTCTTCGAAGCTTGCTTTTTTGAAGGAGGGCGTTGTGTCATTCAAACCCATGCCGAGCTTCCCGCATCAGGGCCGGTCTCTTTAGCTGCCGGGGCCAAGAACCTGACAAAGCACTAGCAACTTCCCCCCCACTCACGTCTGTCCAGCTTCGCTTGCATCCCAGCATATGCAGACTCGCAACTTCACGGGGGTGCTACGCGGCATGCAAAGCAACAGTGTGCGGTCACTGCACGCAAGGGCCATATTGCCGACAAGAGCTTCCGCCATCATGCTGAAGCGTTCGTCAAGTTTGGCCAAGAAGCGCTCAAAACAGGCAGTGAGGAATGCCCGCGTTCCTTCATGTCTGCTTTTCGCATTTTCGACCCTCTCGGACCAGATCCCCAACAGATTGCAGTTTGACGGGAACCAGCCTGAAAGTTTCTCAACTGTTGACGTTGTCAGGGGACAGCCAAGGCCAAATGGAGTGCGTGCTGGGAAGATCTGGGCAGTCCTCTCATGTAAACCGAGCAGTGGCATATAGTGGCATCATGAATCCAGGCATGTCAAAAGCCTGGTGCCGAGTCTCCACTTATGCACGATGCCATGTAGCTGTCATACACGCCGTCAGCAAATCCGAAGCATCATCTCCATCTAACCCGAACAGCATCCGTTTTTGTCCGCCGTTGCTCTTCCCTCCACTCGTGCTCAAAGACCTTGTACACCAACCAACCAACCACACGCCCACACCTACACCCACACACGTGGAAACACCTGGACACACACACATACACATGGACAAGGCCACTCTCGAACCCAAGACGCAAGAGAGCTTGCAACATCATGCAGCCTGTGACCCTGTTATGCGGGCACAAGCACGCGAAAGAGTTTCTTTCTTTCCTGCTGACTCTAGGTCTTCGAGCTCTTGGTGAGGCATCGGCGTTCGGGCTTTAGGCACTTCAAAAGACACGATACAAGATGCTGCGAAGAATGCTGGGAATTCCGTTTGCGCAGAATCTGGAAACCGGAGCGCCTTTCCCGAACAAGCCGGATTTGCATCTTCACATGCGCCTATCTATTTTTCACTAGTTGCTGCGGGCTACCCGCACTGAAGGCTTTCAGCCGTCGCGGGCAGGCGAAAGCTAGCTTTGGTTCTTGTTCGTGGGTTGTCTTGAAATCAACACGTCTGTCATGCTCCAGCCCAGGCTAATGGCAGCGCGTATGCGATCCTACGCAGGTTGTTTCCTGGTTTCCCACGACGCCAAGCTCTGCACGGTCGCCATGGCTGTGCCAGGGATCCATTTCCAGTGGCACTGGACGGACTGTTACAGCAGATCGAGAGGAAATGTCCGGTCTCAGCTTTTTTCGGAAACGCCTAACGATGGGACATGATGGGACCATATACCGACAGTTTCGTAGTGTACCTTTCGTCCACGAACAGATCCAAGACAAGGATGAAGCTGCACCCGGCAATGAAACGTCACAGCAGCGAAGAAGCTAAACCAAACCAATGTGTGTGTGTGTGTATGTGTTGCGAAGATCCAGGCACTTCTCTCCGACTGCCGTCCAAAGGACCTGAAGCGAGCTGTCAAGCAACGGGCCACGAAGGTGGATCAGTAGTGCAAGTGACATAGTGTCCACACGGAAGGGCTCGCTTCAGGCAAAGCATGCCCCGATGAGGCTAGTAGAGCCTTAACTGGAAAGCTGTCCCACGCCCATCATGGTTACGTAGGCGGCACTCATCGCCGAATTTGGAAGATCCATGCCTTGCTAGCCAGCCTTGGAGCCTACGAATTACATTCTCAAGCCGATCACTTGTGGACATTGTAGGAAATTATAGGAATATCACCCTAAACTCAAGACACACATGCGGTCATCAGCTGTCATCATCTGCCCTCAGACCACCTCTCGCCAAGCCGTGTTAGCTCAGCACCCTCTGCAACGACTGGTAGGCGGCCGTGAGGCCCAGTACGGAGCCTATCGAAAGGCTCAGTACTCCGACGACAAAGTGGAAAGACCAGTGGTAGTGCTGCTCGTAGTACTCGTGGGATCTCTTCTCACAGGGAGCGGAGAGCATTTCAGCCTTCTTCTCCCCTGTGAGAACCACGGTGCTCCTCTTGCCACTGTCAGGCTCATCCTCTGCTCATCGTTACAATGATTAACCCTTTTCCGGCTTCGGATTCAGAGGTTTTTTTTGCTTTAAGCATATTTAAAAGGTCGTTCCACGAGAGCCCAATGGAATCCAGCAGTTAACAACCCGAAAAAGAAGCCCCAGTAGGAACTGAGCCCAGCATCAATGTGCATGCAAATCTCCGCATCCTCCTCATTCAAGGTCATTGCCGGTATCTCTGGAATTGATGGGCTCGGCGAGAAACGCGGAGACTGGCATGGCGAGACCCTTGGCGACATGGGAGGTGAGCTCAGGGGAGACGACAGTAGCCGCTCACGGATGACTGAGGTGGGGCTGCCTTCATGGAAGGCGCGCTCCTTCCCTGCCCGATACCTGAGAATCAGGATCATCACCACAGGCATGATGAAGGTCCAGAGAACCGAGCCGAAGCCAGTGGCGATCCCCACAATGGCGGTGACAGATGGGAAGACCACGGCCAAGCTGGCGGCAGCCGACATGATGCCTTGGACTGCGTCGAAGTGAAACCCTCGAGGCCGGTCGTAGCTTCTGACTCCTAGTTCTCCTAGTTACTCACCAAACCCGCACCTTGGTAACGTTGTTGCAAGCAAGCGCTCAAACAATTTCACCAACTTTCTAAGATGTATGCGTTTGTATACTAAGTATGCCCCCAAGATGCAGGCAGTGTGCAGCACACGCATGCTGCTGCTGATCGGCCCCGGTGGAACCTGCGGGCGGGCAACTGGCACCGATCGGGGCCTGGGCCGGCCGAGCAGCGTCAGGAGGCCGTTCCTCGACTGCTCCGCTCCGCTCCGCTGCTTTCTGACGCGCGGGGTTTATTGGGAACGCCTTCCTATAAAACTGTTACAAGGAAGCGTTCAGCAAGCAATGTGTGCTCAAGATCACCCAGACTCCTGAAGAAGCGGGCCACGGCTTGAAATAAAGCCCGCCAGGCTCTGAGGACCTCCGGGAACTGATCCCGTGCAGGCTGCACACCCAGAGGGAGTGCCACAAGCAAGCTGCAGCCTGTCAAGAGCTGCGCCAGCGAGGCTGCCCGGTGGTCCTTGGGGTAGGCGAGGAGGATGTTCTCTGGGGTCGTGGCCCCATGCGCGACAATCCCGCAAGATGCCACAACTGCATACATCAGTGAGAGCGCAGTGCAAGACCGCAACAAGACCTTGTTCACCCTCCGGCTGTCAGAGTTGTGAAGCTGCCTGTAGACAGGTATCGCCACATGCTGGCAGTACAAGGCGCTCAGAACTATGGACCAGGTTTGGGGAAGCACGTGCAAAGTGCTTGTGCCGCGGCCATGCATGATCACCTCGACATTCTCCTCGCCCGGCTTTGGACCACCCATCGCTCCGCTCACAACAAGGGTTGCCATAAAGGCCAGGCTAAAAAAGGAAACCATGGTGACGTGGCGAAGGACTGACAGATCACGACTGGCAGATGCGGGAAATGCCATGCACACGACGATCATTGCCATCCGCGGCTTGGAAAAGCCGCCGAAGACGGAAGGAAGGACGCGTGGCAAAAGGTCAGAGAGGAACTTAATGAATGATGCCTGCCCGCACAAGGCCTCACCGACCATCAAGCACGCCAGTGCTCGGCCCGCTGATGGCCCTAGCACGGCGGACGCACTCTTCGCATACGAGTCACAGCCGGTGATGTGTGAGATGGTCATAATCAGCCGGAGCGAAGTGGCCAGGCAGTACGTCCCAAAAAACAACGTCAGCAATCCCAGCGGGAGCCCTACGAGGCTGAAGGCGTAGGGCAGCAGAAGCACGCCAGAGCCAATAGCCGCCGACATCAAAGTGAAGATGGAGCCCCTCAAGGACCCACGCCTCATGGGACCCAGGGTTCGTCGAACCCACGTGGGGGATCCATCGGAGCCATCCCCTGTCATGGCGAAGCCACACGGCCCAGGCCTATAGAGCTGTTGAGTTAGGGCACTGCTCCAGTCAAGCCCTGTCAAGCATCCCTAAAGCATCCTAAAGCCGAGGATTTCTGCAGCCATGCTTCTGAACTGGAAATCCCAAGCCCTCCTCTGAGTCAGCTTTTCGGCTTGAACTGATCATTGCGGTGTGAGCCCACGAGAAGAGGCGTGACAGCTACCGCAGAAACGCAGAAACACTGAAACCGACACAACTGCCGGGAAATCTTGCCATACATACCTTTGCGTACGACTGTGCTGATGTCAAGAGGCCCCGCGGCCTGACTCCTAAAGCCCTAAAGAGCACTCGATGCAAGGGGTCCCTCTGCCTGCCTCAAGGCTCTTTCTTCATTTTTCCACAGCTGCCTGCAGGACAACCATGACACGACTGCGCATGCCGAGTGTTGCATTGTTTTGGCATCTACGGGTGCCATCCAGAATGGCCATCGGCCACGGCACTCCCTGAGGAACTGCGATATCGATTTGATGGGGGTCTCAGGGCTTCCTGCCATCGAATGCCTAAACTCAAGCTCCTGGGAAGTCTGGAATATTCCTTCCCACTTGAGGGAGTGGGGGACTGAATTGGAGCACTTTATCATATAGAGATTGCAGAAAGATATCACATGTACCTATATATACATATGTATATATACATAGATTGATCTGCCGTGGGCCTCAGCAGATCCCGTGCATACTGAGGCAAGGCCAACTGCTCCTGACGCAGCGAAGGGGATGAAGGTTCATAAGCTGAGTCTAAGTCCCAAGAATCTGTAGGAGAATCTTAGGCTCACAGGCTCACAGGCTCCGACATTGTGCCAAGGACTGGAGCCCTCTAGAACTTCATGCCAAGTGAGGCTTCAACACGACAATTCCCTGCTGGGTCCAGCCGGTGGTGGAAATACGAAACGAGGACGCTGCCGGAATAGGATCTGTTCCGCAAATGATCGTCACTGATCGTCCCTTCTTGCCCCCACAGGCACTGAACCGAATTCAAAGACCACAAGCGGCATTTGCGGAACTATACGGCCCAGTCCTTGCCGCCTTTGTTCTGAAAGAAGAGGACCTCAAAGCCTTCTCGGCGCCACTTGGCTTGCGCCTCCACGGCTGGGCTCGGCTCGGCTTGCTCGGCTTGCTCGGCTTGCCCCCTTTTCGTGTGCGTGGTTCTAGAATGTCTAGAGTTTGGATGAGTTGCACGCCCCAAAGCCCTATACGAAGCCCCCTCCGAAGGCCTTGCAGCGCGAACATTGCAGCGGGAGGTTGGCGATGAACTCGCGAATCGCCTCAGCAAGCTGAATTGCGTGGCTTTCCAGGACCGGGCTGAGGAATCAGGGGTCTTTATGACGGCCATTCTGGGCCATTCCGCAAAGCCTTGAGCCCTTCTCCCACAAATTGGGATCCGGCTTGGCGAACCGCCTCCAGCGAGCTGGATACCTCGAGCTTTGGGGGGAGGGCCTCTTGGAGGCGAGATGCCGGTCGGACTAACATTTAATAATATTTATGCACAGTCAACATGTGACGCCTGGGTTGAGAAGAGAGCTGGCAGGGCTTGGGATTCTTTGTAGTGTTACGTTCCGTGGTGCCCTTGCAAAGACAGAATTCCAATTTTTGATATTGCTTGCAGTTGTCTGTTCCTTGAAGATAAAGACTTCTCATACCTTTGAGCTTCGTCTCTGCGTTTGTTCATGATTCTGCATCCTTGCCGCCGATAGCAAGCTCTTCCTTCACTAGCATCCGGGGCGATTCCATGGGATCTCTGCAATCGAGCATCGCTCGTCGAGTCTTAACAAGCCCAAGCAGGAATCAGAAATGTCAGAACTGAGACACCCAAAACCGAACTTCCTAAACACTATACACCCCTAAAGCCCCCAGACCCTCAACAACACTCGCAATTCCAGACCCCAGCATGAACCCAGTAACCCTACATCTATAAACCCCACAAACCCTGATTTTAAACCCAGGTTCTCAGCGGGGCCTGCGGTCCGAGCCTGCCCTTGCCCTTCTTTGCCAGGGCGGCTGCGGTGGCAGCATCCTCGGAAGCCATCGGATAAGAAATCCATGAGCCCCTAAAGGGACCCCGACAAAGGGTGCATGGTTCTTAGCTGTCAATAAGGCGACACAAACAAAAGATCATACTCGATCCAACTATGTGAAGCACATATATGCGGGGCAATGTAAGCAAGGCAGCAGAAGCAAGAGCTGACCACTTGACTACCGCACACAAGTATTGCCCTTCCCAGTCCTTCTCTTCCTTGGCGGCGTCAAGCTCGGAGATCAGCTGCTCTGCTGCCTGCAGCTTCAGCTTCAGCTTCAGGCAAGAATCGGGCTGGTTGGGCATCTCATGAGAGCTAGGCCTCCGGAGCTACAGTGTCGGTTTCAGGGTTTTGCACTTGTTCCCCGCCTGCTTCGCCTGCTTAACGTCTCGAGCTGGCATGACCTCCTTTGTTGCGCTGGTGCCTGGCAGATGCGAGCAACTGCTCCACCCATGAAGACCTAAACCAAGGGCAACAGACTCTGTGCTTCCTGCAGGTCACTATAGGTCAACTCCCTGACCTCGAAAAGCAATGTAGAAGGAGCCGATGCAGAGAACCCAGCGGTCCTTCTTTGGTGATCTCCTCCACCCGGAACACAATGTCCCCGGCATCGGGGGTGATTTCTGAGAGGAAGGCTCGCCTCGAGGCATGGTTTTGCGGTTATCGTGCGGCACTCTCGCTGCTGCGCCGCGTTGCCTTCTGGGTCTGGAAGGGCACATATTCACATTCTCTGAGCAGCCAAATTTTAAATTGCTCATTTGTACGTAGTTGCACAACACGCAAAGTCTGTCCTGGAGGGTTGACATCCCTGCTGATACAGACCAACCAGGACGGAGCCTACCCTTTTTGCCTCATGTCCTTCAGGTACCCACCGCCTAATCCTCCTACTCAACTTACCACGCCTTTCTGCCACTTCGTGGCCTGCATTACGTATGCCATATACCGTGATTACTTCCATAACCACCAGCCCCTGGGCGTGGCGTGGCGTTGCAGGGCCGCTACCCCCGACACCCAATGTATGGACCCTGAAGTCCCCATAAGTGAGAGGACCCTATAAGCCTATAAGCCTATTCAACAAGAACTTGAACAGACTACATTGTGACTACATAATCGGGCTACTCATCCAAGGAGGGCCCAGAGCCTACCGTCTTGGTGTCTCAAGAACCCACCACCTGAATGCAACACTACGATGAAGTTCTTAAGAGGCCCAAACTACTAAAGCCCCCCCCCCCAACCAAGTCTGGCACTTGGAAACATTGGATTCGCCGTGTCTCTTCTCTGGGATCTCCCCTGGGGACAGATGCTCCAGCTGTCGCACCTCAGAGCGAGGTCGGGTGCCCCTGCAAATTCTCCCTTAGGCTTAGGCTAACTAGAGTCGGAAGCCTCCCATGCAATGCATTTTGATTGAAAACTTTGCCCGGAGAATCTGTCTGAGACCTTGGCAAAAGCTTCTGTAATCACCTGCACGTGACTCGAATTGAAGTCGGAAACGCGTGCCCAGTGGGTTCGGTGTTCAAGTCACGCACCCACCTCCCCACGCACGCGCCCACCCACCCACCCACCCACCCACCCACCCACGCACGCACGCGCAGAGACGGACGGACAGACGGAGAGAGACACACACACTCAGACACGCAGACAGACAGAGACACACGCAGACCCACAGACACACGGACAGTCAGACAGACACCATAGACAGACACACAGACAGACAGACAGACAGACAGGCAGGCAGGCAGGCAGGCAGACCCACCGACAGGCAGGCAGGCAGGCAGACAGCCACACACACACACACACACACACACACACACACACACACAGAGAAACTAAATGGTTGCAGCACACCCTCCGCAGACCTCCCTGCACTTGAACTTGTGGCAGTTCTGGCACGTCCTTGGGAGCTTTCGCAACAGCATTTACGAAGACAGATTGAAGAGTAGCCACATGACATACGGCGTAATGGTCAGAAAAAGTTTCACGTATTAACGTGAAAGACGAACGGGGTGAAGGGGGGGGGGGGGCTCACCCCCCTGCTCCCATAGCGCAGGATTGGCTCCGGGCTGGCGCAGCAGCTGCATCAGGGAATTCATCATAAACGGGTTGTACAACCTCTGGAGAGCTTTCTTGGTAGAAAGCGTCTTGAGAGATTTGGGAGATGGGGCAATTGAGGTTTACTTGGGGGTTTAGAGTCTTAAGCGGGTTGTGGGAAGTTGCGGGAGAACATGAACCTAAAGGCCCCATGCCCTCTTCAGTGCAACTCCGTGCCACAGCTTCAAGGCCCCAGCGTATTAGCCAGCTCGATGTGCCTCGGCACGAGCGGGCAATACAATGATATGGTGATGAAATGATGCAATGATATGCTGATAGAATGATAGAATGATGCAGTGATATGATGATGATGATGATGATGATGACGATGATGATGATGATGATTTACGATCATATCATGTAATGATATAATGGATCTCGTGGTGTAAAACCGACACTTGGTATTCATTAGAATCAATAAGGTCATAATCAACATACATAAGCCCTGTCTCAACGGTGCTGAGGTATCAGCCCCAAGTGGCCGGGACAATCTGTATCCAAGCCACAGGTCTGGCAGACCTGGGGACCTCAGAATTAAGGGTGTAGGGTATGGAAGGTTCAGGGTCTCGGAGGGCATTATATGGGTTAGGGGTTTAGGGCTAGGAGATTTAGCAGCTTAGGGGTCTAGGAGTTCAGGGGTTCAGGAGGGGGTTTAGGCGGTCTAGGCATTTAAGGGTTGGGGAGTGCATCGGGCAGGCTGTAGAAGGTGCAAAGGATCCTGAATGACCGAAAGCCAACGTAAACCCCGAAACCCTGTGCACAGGTCTCGCCCTCTCATAAACCCTATACTCAAAACCCCCCCAACCCCCAAACCCTCAACCTCCGCAAATGAATTAAAATCGTGGGCATTGAGGGCGGCGCAGTTCTTACAGTCCCGAATGGGACCCATTTCCAGCCTGGGCAAAATGAGCGACTCTGCCTCACATTTCGGGTCGTTCTAAGTTTGGGTCCAATTTTGGAGGCTATACAAAAAGTGTTCTAGCGTAACCGTATTAGAACCCTTCACCTCCAGAATGGGGCATTGCATGTGCAGCTTTAGGATGGTCGTGTGACCACTATGCAGTAAGTCTCCAGCGAATGCAGTCCGCCACGAATGGGAACCTCAGAGACATCAGCTCTGGGCAAGATCCGAGACCCATGTACCACATGCCACTACTTGACATATTCCTTGCGAGATGTCAGGCCAGGCCCAAAGATCTCACACCCTGCTGCCTGCCCTACATGTTTCGAGCACCAAGGTTTTTGCGCCCCACTCGTCGAAGGTGGAGAGGTCGTTGATCTGAGAAAGCACAATCCGCAAGGGCGAGCTCTCATTGTGTTACTGTTTCCTGCATAGCTACTGCACTATCGGTAGGCGCTTCCGGAGTCCAGCCATGTTTAAGCTCGGCCCAAAAAAACTTGCAAATTGTATCTGTTGCTAGTGTGCTGCATCTGTGCATCTGCAGCTGGGCACCCCCCCTCCCCCGACACCTGCACCACACTGAGTGACTTTATCTCCTGCAGCGGAGAGTCGGGCTAGAAATCGCTCGCTGAGAGGGAAGTCTCTTCTCAGGACATGCAACACCTGAAACTGCATCTGCCGTTCTCAATTCGATGAGCAGCATAACTCTGAGCCTTGAAGACCCAGTGCTCCCGCCCCGTCCTGTGGAGAGTAGTACATGAACCGCACCTGCGTTGCCTGACATCGGCAGAAGTCGATCAGGTGAGCCAAACATTCAGGTTCATGCTCGACAATTAACCCATTCTTCTCCCAAGGGCCAAACAGGGACTCGAACCTGAACAACCTCCAAAGCTCTGCAGCCTCTCGGGCTAGCAACAGGCAACTTATAAGCCCTAAGCCACCGAAGAACTGAACCCACAACACTCCAACAAAGCCAAAAAGCTACCAGTCCTACCCTGACACCTTTCGCCTGAACACCCCTAAAAGCTCCGCTACTTCCAGCGTTAAGACAGCACTCCAACTGTTTTTTTTATCAGGATCGCGTTTTTCCAAAAACGCGATCTTTCTAAACCCTAAACCCTGAAACCCTAAACCCCCAAACTCTAAACTCTAAACCCTAAACCCTAAACCCTAACTGCGGGGAACGCTCGGGCAAAAAGCCAAACTTGGCTCAGCTTTACCTTGCGAACACATGTCCCCTTTCATTGCCGCAAGCAGTCTTGAACAGCTACCTTATGAAGAGGCCCATTAACCCCCCAACAGAAGGCTGAGGATCTAAGGATGCTAAAGAACAACACGAAAAAGAGGAGCCGCAGAGTAAGAGTAAACGCCCCTAAGCGATACAGCTTCGCAGGCTCGCCTCGCGGCTGCAGGAGGACCCTGAAAAGTCGTAGGGCGTGGCATTCTCCATCGTTCCAGGGGGCACCTGGGGTTTCTAAGCGTTCGGGCTTTTCGGGTTTCGGGTTTAGGGCGAATTGCCTTTGACACCGCGCGTTGGATTGTGGAGATCTACAGCGATTTTCGAGCTTAGCCAATCTACGTGGTATTTCTTTCCAAAGTCTACAGCTCCTGGGCCAAAATGCGGACATGTTCAGCTTTTGGGAGGGGTTGGTTTTGGATGTTAAGGCTGAGGCTTCCTTCCCAGAGTCTTTAGCTGGCGGGGGCGATTTATCGAATCTGTTGGAGGGATGTAACCAAACCCGAAACTGCACCTTGCCAGAAAACTCTCCACAACCCATTTGCAGCCCGTCGTGCCGCTGAGGAGCAAGTGCCGCGCATCTGACGTCGCAGCAGTGCAATTCGACTTTGTTGCACTGCGCTGACTGTTGGCTCACACCCTAGGACCTGCAGGACTGGCTTTCTTGAAGTGGGTTTTGGAGGTCCTTGTTCTTCGTGCCTAGCACAGGACATTCCAATTCGACATGCATCGTGCAGCTGATAGGTCGTTGCTACAGTGCCCACCAGCTTGCGTTGCACACTGCTGTCAGCAATTGCGGCACGAACAGATTTGATGCTCGCCAAACGTCATGAGAACTGCATTGATCGTGCACCACAAGTCCCGGTATACGTCAGCTGCTTGCCAGAAGGCACAACTGCGCATGACCGCAACTTTATCCATGCTTGTATATGCCTGCACGCAAGACAATATGGCTTGAAATGGGGTCCACCATGTCCATAGCTGACCGACGACTTTCCTGGTGTCCGATGCCTGGGTGAAAAAGCTTTGACTAGCTGCTTCACAGCAGAATCCATGCTACGCAAAGCTATGCCACGGCTCCTCTGAGGACATATGCCTTTCTGGGGATCATGAATGGCTCAACACAGGCCGGAAGCTTTTTGGTTCTGCATTGCGAGCGACGGAGCTGGAGCCTTCAGGTTCGAGGTGCTGTACAGACGAACGCCACGCCATCCAGCGAGACCTAGTTAGCCGGGTTGGAACTCCTTCTGCTGATGTCGAAAACGATTGGCGCGTTGAGAAGCCCATCCTCACCTCGGGGTGCTGCAGCCGAAGCCGCATTGATGAAGCATGTCTTCCTTGTGCGGTGAACGCCATAGCCTCACAAGGGCAACACGCTAGAGATGCGCCACCTTTGTACACGTTGCTATACGTTGCTGCACATCCCAGCAAGAAGCCTCCATGAACGTGGCCGAAAACGTGGACCTGGGAATGTTCAGGCTTCAGGTCTGCTTCAACGAAGAGAAGCTTTCTTCCACCTTGACCCTAAGCTCTGAGGCCCTCGCAGACAGATCTGTCCTTTGGCTGACGGCTTTGGCCAACTCTTCACAGCCTCGGCAAGCTGTGTGATGCCAAGTTCATGAAGGAATCGAATCCCTTGTCTGCACCTGGACTGCAAGGCAAATTAGCCAGACAGCCTTCAGCCATGCCGACTCTCAGCTCTCCTGGCTACTGTACATCTAACCTTGAACACCTAATGCCAAACTGCATAAACCGCAAACGAGAGGTAAAGCCTCACTGAGGCCCATACCGATGGACCGACCTTGCCGGCCGGCGTGGTCGGAGGCGTCCAAGATATTTGCCTGTGATAGGCTTAGGGTTTGGTCATGTTATTCTTTCAGGGCAGTTTTTGTTCTTCTCTAAGGATCAGGGCAGTTTCTGTTTCTTCTCGAAGGGTCAGGGAGGGATCAGAGGATAAGGAGGTTAAGGAGGTTAAGGAAGTGCTCATCGTTCTGTCATGTTCTTTCTTTCCGTGAGATAAAGGATACCTCAAAATTTGAGAACATTCGACCATTGGCAAGGCAAGTTGCTGGTGGGGTATGGGTGAGAAGCACGTCAACACCGGTCGGGATCTTTGCCCACTCCTGGCAGTGGACACACCAGCTTTATCTGCAGCACAGTCCCATATCCATGGACCTTGAACACAGCTGTCTGGAAAGCTCTTCATTCAGCACGTGCGTGTTTCTCAGATGTGCCTCAGTGTGCTGCGGTGTGCTACGTTCTGTGTAAGATCCGATGATCCTCTGAGTCGGCGGGAAGATGCTCACATGCAGGCATGCTACTCTGGAAGTGGGAGATGCCCTCCTATTCATTCTGGTGACGATTATGTTATGTTTTTTGTTTTGAGGGGCCATTGGTGGGGGAGTCCTCTTTCAGCTCGATGCCACGCCTTTCCGGAGCAAGGCTGCTGGGCTTTGGATGTCTTCGGGGTTCAACTGAAGCATTCGGAAGCTGAGCCCTGTGAAACATCGCCTGCTAGCCCTGTACCAGAAAGCAGGATTTGATACGGAACCAAAACATGCGAGAAAAAATGCCATTGTAGGCGTCAACTTATAGGGTCTATAGGGACTCCGCGAACCCCCAAAGTGAACCCTACAAACCCCACGCTACGGAGGCATCCTCCCCTCGGCCTCTTTCCAAATGCCATCGGGCGCCTTGAGGAACGCACATGGCCAGTTCTCCAAAAACCCTAAACCCTTTTGGGAAATCCTAGAATATGACAGTTCATATGATACTCGGTACTGGACAATATCGTATGGACGCATTTGGATTCGGAAGCTCGAGGTCTTATTTCGACAGCCCATGTTACCGTGAGATTCCTCTTACTAGCGTGCATGTTACTACTGGTAATATCTACGTGCATCTTCCGATGCTGAAGTTGTCTCGTGGTTTACCTGAAGTACTCGGAAGAACTGGAGGATTGCTTTTATGGCTTTCAGTATCCGACTGCAGCCTGGCCACCGAGTCTTTGGCTGCCGTGGCTGCAAAGGGCTGCCATAAAAGCAAATGCCATCGATCCGAAGAGAATATCCTGAGCTCATGACCTGAAAGTGGGAAGAAATTTCGGGTATTTCCTACACTCGAAGGCTGACAATCTCTATCGTAAATGGACTCAAGGCTGACTACAGCACATCAACCTGTCCAGGCTCCAGGCAGTGATTCCTGCCTCTTCCAGCATGTCTGCTACTCTCCCCGGCGACTGAAAACTTTCGTGCCACTCCTGCGAGCATCCACGCGCGTCAAACCAAAAAGCTCTTGCTATGTTTTCAGCCCTGACACGTACAAACTTCCAATTGCGCTCCAATCCTCAAGAGCGGTACAGTGAGCGCCGCTCCTGCTGCTGCTTCTGCTCTACTGCTGCGGCTAGTGCTGCCGCTGCTGCTGCCGGTGCCGCCGCTGCCGCTGCTACTGCTACTGCTACTGCTACTGCTGCTACTGCTGCTACTGCTGCTACTGCTGCTACTGCTGCCCCTACTTCGGGTTGCTATTGGAGTCCTTCCAGTGCTCTTGGTACCAATTGCCATCGCATGGGAGGTCGTGGTTGCCACAGACCTCACTGCTGTCTCTGTTTCATGCTGTCGCTCTGAGACTGGCAAGACTTCGGTGTGTAAACGTACTGTGGCGCGTTCCTTGGCTACAATTTCAGTCGACGCCTGAGGCGGCAGCAAGCAGCTTGTATTTGAAGGGCTGAGCAGCCACCCATCGACAAAAGTCTGCGCACTCCTGGCATTTTTTGATCGGGGTTTAGGACAACCAGGTTGTGAGTTAAGGCTCCGTCTCACTGCCAAATCTGCTCCCTAGACGCCCAGCCTTTTGCCCGAGGCCCCTTCTAATATCCTTGAACTGCAAGCCTTAGACCCGAAACTCCAAAATAGCTCTCAACCCCTTGAAACCCTTGGAAACAAATCAAGAAACCGACGCGGGGGTGGCTGTTGTTCCCATGTCCCTTTCACTTTAGAGTGCAGCATATAGGCCCTATAAGTTCTATAAAACGTAAGTGAGTGCTCATGGCTGCTGCCTTTTCGGTCCCGTCGTTACTGAAGTCACCACAGTGGATGAGTACATCCTGGGCAGGATGCAGCTCGATGCATGACACAGTCCCCCAACATGATGCCGTCAATGATACTCCATTCGAGCCGAACTCGCAGCGCTCCCTTAAGCCACTTAAGCCACTTTCCAAAACGAACGTACTACTTACCAGTTGATGCCAAATCTCGCCAGCTGGGAGACGGATTCGCTGGTGAAGCATGTGTGTGTCCGAGATTGCCACCTATCAGCTTGAAGCCATTTGGTTTTGCTTACTCCTTACATGGTCACCCAAAAACTTGACGATGCATGGAGCAAGAGTCATGGAACCGCATGCAAGCCACGCAGCGCAGGCTCTGGCTTCCGCACGCGTGCTCTGGAACGTCGGAGGTGTAGACGCAGGCGACGGCCTCTGCAAGAACGGAAGACCTACAAGTACCTCGAGACGGAAAGCTAGGCAAATCCTAGTTCTTTGCCACGGAATTCGTCAAAGCATGTCAAAGCAAGGTGCTTCTTCTTGACATCCCGCATCACAGTCTCAGCAACAAGCATTGGCTTGTTTCAAGCCCTACACTGTCCCTACAACCCCCCAAGTAAACCCTACCCGACCCTACCCCACAAGACCTTAAACGCGAAAGCATCAAGACTTGCATGCCCTCAATACGGAGCCTATAGCAACCAATGCATCCACCCATTGCGGTCTCGCACCAAAGCCCGCAAGTTCTCGTAGTGGCATTGCAGTGCATGTGGCAGGTCAAAGGTGTCACAGTCGCCCTCTGTTCCTTTCTCTTTCTGCCAAGGGGTGCACAAGGCTTAGCTTCAGGATCGGATCTCCAACAACGATACAAATAATTCGGCAGAAAGACAAAAGTTTCATCGACGCGAAAGACGGCACAAAGCATGCCAACTTCTGCCGATGGCAAGGTAAGGATCCGAAATGATGTGCACGCTCCACTTTCAAGCTCCTTGCACCCAGGGAGAACTGAGCCGACCGGTCGGGAGAGACACTGGAGTCCAAGAGGGTCTCGTCCAGCGAGGAAAGGTACAAACGGTCCAAGAGGAGCTCCGGAGACCTGGGGGGGCACATCGCTTGGCAGGGAGTTGCATACTTTTTTCGTCTCTCACACGTGCTGTTCAAAAACAATCTTCAATGTCTTCTCGCCGCATGATACTGAGTTCACGCCTGCGAGGCTTCCGAGTCTTCCCGCCGAGCTGCTCCCACACCTGTAGCTCACAGGGCTGGCCAAAGAAGGGGTTCCTGAGAAGGTGCTGGTTTAAGATCATCGCCACCCGCCAGAAGGCCTCCTCCTCAAAGATCTTCGCAGTGGGGCACTCCCAGACCGCCTGGTCCCTTCGGGAGGCTGGGCATCTCTCGCCCCAAATTTGGGGGAAGACGTGGATCCAACGAGCTCGGGGGCTTCTGTCGCCTGTGCGATTCTTGCACCAGCGGCTGGGGAAGTGGGCGCAGCACTGCTCGGCAAGTCGCCGTCCGAAGCCTAGGCCCAGCGAGTCCGCTCCGCTCGGGTTGCCCAGCTCTGGTGACTCGGCACCCCAGATGCCACTCCAAAGAGCATCATACAAGCAAATCTGGAGCAGAGCATAGCGGCTCTGTGGCATGAACGTCTCAGTCGCATTCACTTCATTCACTTCAATCACTTCACCCCCGAACTTCTCACGCGCCTCTTGGCGTGCTGTCTTCACTGCATTCCAGTGCACCAGGATTTTGTGGCCATGCGGGTGGTCCTTGCATGCCACACCAGCAGAGCCAGCAGAGCCAGCAGAGCGGGACAAAGCCCATGCCGCCCGCCTGGCACCCTTGGGTGTGGAGAGGTCATGCTGGCGAAGCACTGAGAGGTGGAAGCGGCTGAGCGGGAAGGACTGGACCAGCGCCGGCTCTTTGAACTTGCTGGCTACATACTCTTGGTACCACTTTTCCTGGCTTGAGGTTCGGCTTTCGAGAACAAAACTATGTCACTAAGTCTCCTAAGAAGGAGGTCTTCTTCCTACTTCGTTCGGTGAAGAAGGAAAGACACTAAAGCTGTGCCCAAAACCAGCCGAGATTCCAACCTCGAGTCTACTGGAAAGCCACCAGATCTGGCCTTATTCATGGTACTTTGCAAAACGGGATCTGGAAGGCTGGTGAGCCTCCGGAAGTACCAGCTGTAGTTGCGCTTCTGCGGCATCCAGAACAGATTGTTCAGCAGGACGTTGGCGTTGGATGCGCTGCGATCATGAAGCGAGAGCACTTGGGTAATATGCGCGCATCTCCATACTAGCCCCATTGCTGTGGAGAAGCTGAAGCTCTCAAACGTAGGCTCACGTCGCTCTGGTGCCTGTGACATGTTGACGCTTTCGAGCCATGCAATCTGCATGTCTTTGAAAGGTAACTCCCCAGTGCGCATGTCTGGCTGCTTGTAGAAGGACCTCAAAGGGCGCGCAGGCCTGTGGGTATGAAATCGGATAAGCTCAGTCATCTCTGCCCCACTAATCCTTGGCACATGCAGCAGAGAAGCTCAATACAATAAACATGAAACTATATGAAAAACAGCCCGCAAACCCCAACTGACCCTTCAGCTGCCAAGAGTCCCCGTCCAGCGCACCAGCGCCACGGGTACGTCCTCCAACCCTGGCCAGTCCTGGGGCCAGAATTTTCGGGCGTCGGCGATGAAGAACCGGTGCCTAAGCTACAGCGCCGGAGGGGTTCGGGCTTCAAGGATCGAAGATTTTGGGGTTTCGGCCACAGGCCCAGGGTGGAGGGAAACCTACCAAAGTACGAGCCTAAGCACACGAGTGCCTAGATTCCGACATCCTATGCCCGGTCCGTGAGCCCTACACGCTGAACTTGGCAATCGAATGCGCCGGGGAGCACGTTGCTGAAGACGGCCTGCCGAATGCGCTCGCGAATCTGCGCGAAGTCCCGAAGCCGAACCAGCCATGGCTGCTGATCCATAAAGGTGGCCACCTTAGTAGCATACATCTATATATATATATATGAGGTCGCCACCTTGAGGGTTCATTTGTCCATCAGGTCTTCTCTGTGTGTGTAAATAATTCAAATAATCTAAATAATCTAATTCGTCCGAAATAAATTTATTTGGGTTATTTAGATTCGCAGTGGACCTAAATAAGCTAAATAATCTAATTCGGAGAAGTTAAATTATTTAGATTCTTTAGATTATTTAGATTCTTTAGATTATTTACATGCTTGGCTGGAAGAATCTAATTATTTAGATTATTTAATTCCACGGTGGAACTAATAAATCTAAATAATCTAAATATTTCAATTCTTCGAACCAACGCATTTAAATAATTAAAAGAATCTAAATAATCTAAATAATCTAAATAATCTAAATAATCTAAATAATCTAAATAATCTAAATAATCTAATTCGTCCGAATTAAAGTATTTAGATTATTTAGATTCGCAGTGGACCTAAATAATCTAAATAATCTAATTCGGAGAAATTAAATGATTTAGATTCTTTAGATTATTTAGATTCTTTAGATTATTTAAATGCCTGGCTGGAAGAATCTAATTATTTAGATTATGTAGATTACTTAATTCCACGGTGGAACTAAATAATCTAAATAATCTAAATAATTCAATTCTTCGAGCCCAAGCATTTAAATAATCAAAAGAATCTAAATAATCAAAATATTCTAAATAATCTAATTCGTCCGAATTAAATTATTTAGATTATTTACATTCGCAGTGGACCTAAATTAAAAAATCTAAATAATCTAATTCGGAGAAATTAAATTATTTAGATTCTTTAGATTATTTAGATTCTTTTAATTATTTAAATGCCTGGCTGGAAGAATCTAAATATTTAGATTATTTAGATTATTTAATTCCACGGTGGAACTAAATAATCTAAATAATCGAAATAATTCAATTCTTCGAGCCCAAGCATTTAAATAATCAAAAAGAATCTAAATAATCTAAATAATCTACATAATCTAATGAAATGTGTGGTCAGGGTATAGCATTCGCGGGTCCTGGGTTTAAGCCGTTGGGGTTGGGGAAATTTGTGGTTTACAGTTTAAGGCTCGGGGTATAGCATTCATGGGTCGGGGTCTGGGGTTCGTAGATTTGGGTTTGGGGCTCATGGGATTCGAGCTGCAGCCAAGTCGCAGTTTGAGGTGCTCTGCCGGGTTCTGCGTCGACGACGCCTGTTGCCTGCATGGGCGATCTTTCTGGAGGTGACTTTTTGTGTAGCTGAACCCTAGCCTATAGGGGTAGACCCCAGAAGGGCCCATAATTTTGATCAACCCGCAGCTCCCAAAGTGTCATCTTGAAGCAGCTTCGGGCTCGCAGGAGAGGTCTGGGAAAATAGGTGGGGGTTGATAAACAATAGGGCCCTTTTGGGGGGATTTAGGGTTCAGGGTTTAGGGTTTAGGGTTTGGGGGGTTGATAAAAAATAGGGCCCTTCTTTGTTTGGGGAGTAGTATATTCTATTCCTTATAGTTCAGGGTACCCACAAAGGGCTCCAATTTTCATCAATTAAAGCATATTTATACGAGACCTTGGCTCAGGCTCCGCCGCCAAAGCCGCGCGCCGGGCCAGAAGATGCGGCGGAGATGGTGGAGCCTGCTGAGCTACAGCGTAGGGTTTGAGGATCAAGGCTGGAGTAAAGTTATGTGTTGGGGTGTTTAGGCCGTAGAAATTTGTGGTCAGGGTATAGCATTCGCGGGTCCTGGGTTTAGGCCTTTGGGGTTGGGGAAATTTGTGGTTTACAGTTTAAGGCTCAGGGTATAGCATTCATGGGTCGGGGTCTGGGGTTCGTAGATTTGGGTTTGGGGCTCATGGGATTCGAGCTGCAGCCAAGTCGCAGTTTGAGGTGCTCTGCCGGGTTCTGCGTCGACGACGCCTGTTGCCTGCATGGGCGATCTTTCTGGAGGTGACTTTTTGTGTAGCTGAACCCTAGCCTATAGGGGTAGACCCCAGAAGGGCCCATAATTTTGATCAACCCGCAGCTCCCAAAGTGTCATCTTGAAGCAGCTTCGGGCTCGCAGGAGAGGTCTGGGAAAATAGGTGGGGGTTGATAAACAATAGGGCCCTTTTGGGGGGATTTAGGGTTCAGGGTTTAGGGTTTAGGGTTTGGGGGGTTGATAAAAAATAGGGCCCTTCTTTGTTTGGGGAGTAGTATATTCTATTCCTTATAGTTCAGGGTACCCACAAAGGGCTCCAATTTTCATCAATTAAAGCATATTTATACGAGACCTTGGCTCAGGCTCCGCCGCCAAAGCCGCGCGCCGGGCCAGAAGATGCGGCGGAGATGGTGGAGCCTGCTGAGCTACAGCGTAGGGTTTGAGGATCAAGGCTGGAGTAAAGTTATGTGTTGGGGTGTTTAGGCCGTAGAAATTTGTGGTCAGGGTATAGCATTCGCGGGTCCTGGGTTTAGGCCTTTGGGGTTGGGGAAATTTGTGGTTTACAGTTTAAGGCTCAGGGTATAGCATTCATGGGTCGGGGTCTGGGGTTCGTAGATTTGGGTTTGGGGCTCATGGGATTCGAGCTGCAGCCAAGTCGCAGTTTGAGGTGCTCTGCCGGGTTCTGCGTCGACGACGCCTGTTGCCTGCATGGGCGATCTTTCTGGAGGTGGCTTTTTGTGTAGACCTAAAGCCCTAAACCCTAGCCTATAGGGGTGGAACATCAAAAAGGAACTTGCGAAGGAACAAACGGACGAGGGGATCAAGCCCACTGGGGCAGTGGGGCTCCGCATCAGCGCCTCCGGGACTGTGACACTGTGCGGCTCGCTACGATGGGAATTTAGGGTTTTGCATCTTTTGCAGTATGCGCGTTTGGATGTTTTTCGGGTTTAGTCTGTAGGATTGGGGCATCTTAAGGTTTAGGCGCTGACTGGGGTGTTGGGTGTTCCAGGGTTGTGTTTTAGTTTTTTTTCTGTATGTTGCGTTTGGAGGTTGATTTTAGGGTTTAGTGTTTTGGGGGTGTTTTAAATTGTTTTTAGGGTTTGGGCGTTTTAAGGTTTAGGGCTCTTTAGGTGTTTGGGCTTTAGGTTGCTGTCAGGGTGTTGGGCGTGTTTGAGCCTTAACCCTAGTCTTTTGAGCCATCAGCTCCTCAATGGGGTCTAGGGTTAAGGGTTTAGGGTCTAGGGTTTAAGGTTTAGGGTTTAGGGACCCTAAGCCTAGCCGTAAATCCCAAACCCTAAACTCTGAAACCCTAAGCCTAAACCCCTAAAGCCCTCAACCCCATATCCCTAGCCCTCTAGAGCGGCCCAACTCACTGGTATGATTATAGTCTTGAGTCAAAACCAGTTTAGGCTTTCGGGTTTTTTGGCTTTGTGTTTGGGGTTTTGGGTGTAGGGTTTAGGTATTAGGGGTACTTGTCTCTGACATTGCAGAACATACAGTTGACAGGGTTGCTGCCTGTACTTGCTCAGACAGAACGTGTAGCCCCTTACATTTTTCTTAGAATTAAGTTTCAGCCTTAGTTCTCTGGCAGGGGCGGGGTGTACATTGCAACCCGAGACCCTAAACCCCAAACCCTAAAAGCCATCCCTGAGGACGACCTCTAGAAATAGTATCGCCCGTAGGATGAAGCTTGCAAGGGGCCCTGCGGCTATTAGGTATCCAAGGGTTTGGGGCTCAGGGTCTAGGGCTAAGGGTTTAGGGTCTACTTGAAGGACTGACATCCCAATTCGAACAACATTTGGGAATTCAGGGGGGTTTATAATTGGGTTCTATAACCTTCATGGGTACTTACAACCCACTTAAGACTGTACTGATATCCCAGTTAAAGTTATATGGGGGGATTTAGGGGTCTTCCAATTGGGTTCTCAGTGCAGTCTTTGTTGGCTATATGCACCCATGGACTAAGTTCGAATTTAAAAACCCAGAACCAATCTAGGTCCACGATTAGGCCCAAACTGGACTGCTCCGTCTTGATGCTTCTCACCTCGACAGGATCCCGTGCGGTGCTCGTTTAGGGTTTCTTCTACTGTGGCTAGAGGCGTTCACGCCGCGCACCTACTCGTTTAGGGTATACTGGGCTGACATCTGACCCCATCCCAAAAGTTAAACTTTTAGCCTCTGATTGTGAAAAACACAGAAGACCAAAAAGTCAAAGGCCTAAGAGCCGACCAGAAGGCAGCCAAGGTTTAGGGTTTAGGGATAAGACCGAGCCCTTCTCCGCGATGAAGGCCATCCGAAAGAACTCCTACACCCTTCGACCGTAGTGGTTTAGGGTTCAGGGTTTAGGGTTTAGGAACCCGATACCCTGAACCCTAAGAACCCAAAAATTGGCCTGCAAATGGCGGGGGTTTACGATAAGCAGGGACCCCTCATATCGGACCCAGACCACGAGGATCCCAATATAAAACAGGACCCCAATCAGGTACCCTACACCCTAAAAACCCTAAAAAACCTAAACCCTATATGGGCATATAAACCCTAAACCTCCGAATTTCGGAAACCCCCCCATCTCCGCATGCCACAGCAAGCAAAGACTGGAGCTTCGATAGTCTACAGTTTCGGGCTTTGCTTGGGGCTTTGGTTTAGGGTTTAGGGTTTAGGGCTTAGGGGCTTATATGATAAGGATGTCTCTAAATAATCTAAATAATCTAATTCGGAGAAATTGAATTATTTAGATTCTTTAGAATATTTAGATTCTTTAAAATATTTAAATGCGTGGCTGGAAGAATCTAATTATTTAGACTATTTAGATTATTTAATTCCACGGTGGAACTAAATAATCTAAATAATCTAAATAAATCATTTCTTCGAACCAACGCATTTAAATAATTAAAAGAATCTAAATAATCTAACTAATCTAAATAATCTAAATAATCTAATTCGTCCGAATTAAATTATTTAGATTATTTAGATTCGCAGTGGACCTAAATAATCTAAATAATCTAATTCGGAGAAATAAATTATTTAGATTCTTTAGATTTTTTAAATGCCTGGCTGGAAGAATCTAATTATTTAGATTATTTAGATTATTTAATTCCACGGTGGAACTAAATAATCTAAATAATCTAAATAACTCAATTCTTCGAGCCCAAGCATCTAATAATTAAAAGAATCTAAATAATCTAAATAATCTAATTCGTCCGAATTAGGATTACATTATTTAGATTATTTAGATTCGCAGTGGACCTAAATAGGGAGAAATTAAATTATTTAGATTCTTTAGATTATTTAGATTCTTTAGATGATTTAAATGCCTGGCTGGAAGAATCTAATTATTCAGATTATTTAGATTATTTAATGCCACGGTGGAACTAAATAATCTAAATAATCTAAATAATTCAATTCTTCGAGCCCAAGCATTTAAATAGTCAAAAGAATCTAAATAATCTAAATAATCAAAATAATCTAAATAATCTAATTCGTCCGAACTAAATTATTTAGATTATTTAGATTCGCAGTGGACCTAAATAAACTAAATAATCTGATTCGGAGAAATTGAATTATTTAGATTCTTTAGATTATTTAGGTTCTTTTAATTATTTAAATGCCTGGCTGGAAGAATCTAATTATTTAGATTATTTAGATTATTTAATTCCACGGTGGAACTAAATAGTCTAAATAATCTAAATAATTTACTTCAGCCTAATTAAATCATTTAATTATTCAAAATATTGAAATTATTTAAATAATTTACATTATTGAAATAGAGTAGCTAGAGAATTAATTTATTTAGATTCTTTAGATTATTTAATTCATATATTAAAATATTTAAAAAAAACAAGCGACAAATAGACCCGAAAGGTTCCTCTCTCATAGATATATATATATACATACAAACATAGACACACTGTACACACCTATACATAGAGAAAACTTACATATTCAGACGTTCAACACAAATACATCTACAGTACCTGCAGAAAATCAAATATACAAAGAGAGCAAGAGAGAGTTCGCGATGAACCGGGTCGATTTATCTATAAATATTCTCCGAGGCAACCTTGAAAGAAAACATTTTGATGTGCATTGGGCATTTGGGGATGGGAGACCCGGGCGAGGAGTACAGCAGACCCGGTCGAGGGCACTACCCGAGTTGAAATCTAACGACACAGCTTGATGAATGACTTGTTCCACAAAGCCGAAGCTTCTTTCATACAAAAGCGAAAATGTCCAACATGGCATTGGCACTTTGATAGGGCATTCCAAAGGTGAAGCAACATAAGTAAACCCGTTTGACCAGTGTAAATATTGAGCGAAGTACAAGCTAAGTGTCTGCCTCTGGAGTACATCCCGATGTGGTTAGTTCAGTTTTCGAGAATCGAGCTCCGAAGCCCGACGTACTGCTTATGGGGTTCAGGGTTTGGCGATTTAGGGGTTCAGGGTTTTGGCTGCGGAGTTTACGGGTTTAGCGCTTTGGGTTTAGGGTTCACGAAAAACCCCATGCAACCTTTGGGCAGCCTGGCCGCTGAAGGTGTGCTCTGGAAATTGGTCTCTTGGGAGATTCCGCCCTCGGCGGAGCGCCCCCAAACACCCAGCAGACGGGGCTGAAACACTGCTTGGCCTCAGTTAACCAGAGTCGTGATTTTCGGGGAGTTTGGGAGAAGCGCACAGCAATGAAGCTGTTTGGGGGCAACTTCACATAGGAAGTGTGAACAATCGGCACATGTCGGCGCCGAACTCTGAGCAGTGGACCCGTGGCATTCCTGTGGTCGAAAAGGGAGCGCGGATGTGCCGGGGCAACGAAGGCCATATCAGAGTCACACAGCAAAATGAAAACGTCATCGTTGTCCAGGTCAATCTTGGTCTGGCTGAGGACAAAAGCCGAGTTCCGGAGGAGTGTCTGATCGGCCTCGTAGAACGAGTTTGCCTGCCGTATGTAACCATAGTTGGACACACGATCTGTGCCACCCTGCTTCTTCACGTCGCAGACCATGTTTGGCGGCGGCTTTCCCTCAAAAAGGTCAATCCAACTCGAGCTGCGTTTCCTGGCATGGTGCACTAGCAATGTCGAAAGTCAAAACTCTCAAACCGCGACTGACCCTAATCGAACCCTCAACTGTCAACCCCTGCAAACTTCCAACTTTGAAGCCTCCGACCCCTCAGCGGCTCAATCCCGAAGCCTTTTTGGGAGTTGCTCCTCTGCTCGAGGTTGCCTGCCGCGCCCTCTTTCGCCGCGAAGAGGGCGTCCCACTTCGCATGCAGGCGTCCGGCCACACGCCGATCCTCTTCCGACTCCTCATCCCAAACAAGCACCAGCGCAGTGTTCGGCCAAAAGTCCTGGAGTGGCCAGAAGTGGTAATAGCTAGGGAGGAACACCTCATCCAAGTCAGTCAGAGCGCCATGGAAGACGCGCAGAAAGGTCACCACGGATGGCCAGCTGCCACCAACCATCCTGACTTCGAGCCGAGAAGACACGGACTCCATTGCTTAGTAGCAACTCGCAGAGCAAACTCAACTGTGGCCACATGTGTGATGGCAACTTACAATGGCACTTGCACAGACAAGTTGGTATGGCAAGGGCCCCCCTTTAAGCAGTACAGCCGTGGTGCCGCGCAACAGGACTTTGTTCCTAGCTGGCAGCTGGCACTTGCTGAGTTACACCAGTTGAGTCAGCATATCAGCATGAAGGCGGCCAAACTGCCCCCAAGATTGCCTTGAGCCTTTGCCAGATCCAGGGTCTTGGGCTGAGGGCTTTGCTGCGATCTTACTCAAGGATGCGCCTTCACGATCTGCAGCGGCCGACGAAGTTGCGACCATTGGTGAGGATAGAGGCCTCGACTGGTGCTTGAACTTGACAGTGAACATGCCTAGTGTAGGCAATTCGGGGTTTGACTCTGAACCCGGCACTGTTGTGGGCAGCGCTTCTTTCCTTAAGGGGCTTTGCACTTGACATGTTCCGCTCTGCTGATCGCTTCCCCTCGCCTCCAGCAAAAATAGATCCCTCCGTGCCAAGGCGCAATAGTACCGAATGTCTGACTGCAGCTCCATGCTTTCCAGGTCATGGCAGTCCCAAGCGTGGTACTGCCACTGCTGCAGTCTGCTACAGCACTCATCATCTTGAAGAACAGATCTTCGTGGGGGACTTCAGAGTTCCTGGAGCCTGAAACAAGACTACTTCACCATCTTCACCGTCTTCACCCCAAGCAATCCCTTCGAGAGGGTCCTTTTGCAGGCGTGTTAGGCTGAGTCGATCACTATCTGCCTATCTCTTCGAGGGCTCACCAGACTCCCCGTCCTTGAGCCTGACCCTGAAGACGAAAGCCTGTAGACTAACCAGCCCTGCAACACCCTCCAACTCGCTTTCTTGCAACTTCGGTTTGCACGTTGCTGCAGCTGGTTGGCCGTGTTCGGCACAGTCAGACTGCGCAGATGTTGTATCCGCAAATTCGCCGATACTTTTGCACATGCATGCTTCTGCTGGTGAAACTGTCGCCCGGTCGTACTTGCAAAGACACCCCCAGTAGACGAAGATGGTAACTGCCGCTCATCCGCTAGTTTTGCTGATTCAAAACCGAAAGGGTGCGGTTGCATGGCATGAGTGTTTCATGAGGTAAGTCAGTGGCAGTCGAATGCCAGTATCGGCGACATGACGCCACGCTCGTGAAGCCTGGCGCGAGTTCTTTATTGCCGCGACTCCGGTGAGCTCCAAGAGTCTCCCACAGCTCCCACCCTTGCACCCCTAAACAACGAAAGCCCCAGACTTGACTCAACGGATTTTCGAACCAAACTGCCGGGATCTTGCATCCATGGGATCTCCCCCAGCTCACAGTTGCAGCGATGACAGTGATGAATTGCTGTATTCCTGAAACGCCTGAAAGGAGCCTCGATTTCTGGCTTCTGTACAGTCCAGCTGTAGCATTTGGACGACTGAGCAGGCGCACATCACGCTTTGGGCCTCTGCCAAACGTTCAAGCGACGTGCTCCGGCCAAAGAATCAATGGACATAGTGACAGAGTCTATATCCTGGACTCACCCTAAATGCCCTTGGCCAACCTCTTCGAAACACCGAAGCTCCAAACCCTGTGCCGTACCGATTAGGACTGGAGCTTTAATGTTCAGCTTCTCGTGTGTAGAACGGCGACGGTCTTAACACGCTTGACAAGATGTGTCGCGGTTTGACGATAGGGACAAACTGCTCCTCTGCAGTAGATCTGCAGTTGCAGACACGTAGGTGATAATCACTGTAGCAACCATGAGACTCGTCCTAGTGAACCTGATTACTACAGATTGTCATCTCAAGCATGCTACTCGAGGTTTCAGCAGACATGAGTTATGATGGCCATAATGTGATTATGTTAAAAGCAGCCGTGGGCGCCGGCTTTGTCGAGAAAGCGTGCGCATATGGAGGGAAGGGCGCATAATTTCAACATTCATACAAGTTATAAACTGGCAAGAATGAGCCAAACTTGAAGTCATGACGAGCATAGCACCGACAGCAAGACCAGCTGTGTTAACACATCTTGAGAGCTTGGTCCATGTTGGTGCTGACTGCACTACTCAAGGATGTCCTTCTCCTACTCCACCGTTTCAGCCCCCTGGCACTTCGAAGCCTGCCAGGCTGCCAAGGCAAGTCGGACATTCTTCATCCAACTTACGCGACAGTCCCGGAAGCGCTTGCAGCGGCAGTCAGATCACTGTACAAAAGCTGACAGCCGATCTAGGCAATGAAAACCGACTGGAAGCAGCGACTAGCAACTCAGATCTTGTCGGGACCGTGCGGTCCTGCAGCAACCGAATTCTGAACAATCAATGAGTCAATCAATCAATCAATCAATCAATCAGTCAATCAATCAAATCAATCAATGAAATCAAGGATGTCCGGATCTCAATCAAGAGCCTACTTGGCTAAACAAGCCTTGACTTCTCGGGTAACAGGCAAATCAACCAAGCATAACTCAGCAAACAGGAGTGCAAATCAGAAAACACGGCGGTGCAAATCAGAAAACACCAAGGCACGAATCAGAAACAAAAGTCAGCAAGAGTGGGCGCACTGTTTTTCCCTAAAAGCCCTACACCCTACACCCTAAGAACCCCTGAACCCCAAACCCAACAAAACCTAAACCCTAAAAGCCCCTCAACTTCAAACCCCGAAAACTCACAACCTTATAAACCCCTAGGCCCTAAACCCCAATAATTCCAAACCGTAAAGAACCCCAAACCCTAAACGCCAAAACCCCTAAACATAGGCACTTTGTTTCATCATGCGAGCATTGTGTTTGCAAATGGGGCGGGCTGCGCCCCCCCAAACCCCCTCGCTTTATTCTTTTTCGAACCCATCATGCGAGTGTTGCGTTTGCAAATGGGAGGCGGGGCTAAAAATCCCAAAACCCTAAACCCCAAAAACCCCTAAAGCCTAAAAACCCCCCAAGCCCTAAAAACCCCTAAACCCTAAAATCCTCGAAGCCCTAAACCCCAAAAGCCCAACCCTAAACCCCAAAACCCCCTAAAGCCTAAAAAACCCTGAGGCCCAAACCAAAACAAGCCCAAACCCTAAAAAACCCTAAACTCTAAACCCCCAAAAAACCCTGCAAAAACCTTACACCCCAAACCCTCAAAAACCCTGAACCCTAAATCCAAAAACAAACCTAAACCCTCAAGCCCTCAACCCAAAACAAAACCTGAGCTCTAAACCGCAAAAAAAAAAAACAAACCCTAAAACCCCCTAAGCCCTCAACCCTAAACACCCCAAGACCTGCACCCTAAAAAACCCTAAACCCTGAAAACCCTTGTTAATTAAATCAAACCTTGCTGCTCCAGCGCAAGTGATAAATTTGTTACCATAGGGGTCTGTATAGGGGTCTACCGACGCCTATCATACCCTAAACCTAAACCCTAAACACACACCCTTAAACCTATCATGTTAACTTAGGTTAGGTTAAGGTAAGGTTAGGTTAGGTTAGGTTAGGTTTAGGTGTCCATGCATGCTGATTCAAACCTCGCCGTTTCCTGATTCGTTCCTTTCTGTTTCTGAACCATGGGTGCGTGATTCATGGTCCTGTTTTCCGATGTAGGTAGCATCCAGCCTTGACATGACATGCTTGACTCGCAGTGGGGCCCGAGCTACGCCAAGCTTCCCTGGCTCCTGGCGCCAACTCAGCCACGCCTTCGCTATACGAGCCTTGGGCAACAGGCTAGGCAGCCTGGGGACTCTTAAATTCAGTGTGGGTTGCTGTGCTTGGGGTAGAAACCAGGTAGTTGTACACGGGTAGAAGTTGCACACGGGCAGAAGTCTAAGAACAGAATCGGTTGTGATGTGGGCGCGGGCCCCTTCGTCTCTTGCGGCTCAGGGCTTTGTGAGTCCCGCTTCCAGGCCTGGCAACTGGTGGCTGGGTCTTCAACTTCACAAAGGCGTTGAAAACGGCTCTGCTACATGTATCCTCCCGTATGACGCCCTCCGGAAGCCAGCTCCACCTACCTTGAACACGTCCCTATGACAGCCCCTCCTTGAAAGCTCCTAGGAGCCCTCCAGGATTCCAAGCGCCTCTCAAAAACCATCTGAAAACGAACCATCTGAAAAACGAACCATCTGAAAACTCTGCACAAAACCTTAAACCCCCAAACCTCAGAAACCCCAAGACCCCAAACGGCCCACAACCCAAGAAGCCCTGAACCCAAAACCTGGCAACTGTAAAAAGCCCAAGGGGCTCGAGATCCATGGGCCGGGGGCGCTGATGGCGACCCGGTCGGGGCCCACCGGCAAAGTACCTGCGAAGGCTTTGACTTTAGTTCGGGGTTGTTTAGGGTTTACAGGGTTTATCGGGGGTTATAGGGTCTATACGGTTTATGTGGTCTATATGGTCTGTCGGTTTAGGGTTTTAGGGTTTATCCAGTGTAGGGTTTAGGTAAGGTTTGTAGCCGAGCTTAGGGGCTTCTTCGGTGGCTTCAATTCCGGGATTCATCATCGTCCAACGGTACTTCCAACGAGTTTGGCCAAACTGTTTTCCGAATGGTCCACATGCGAGAAAGGCGAACGCGACAAGTCAGCCCCCAGAACCCAAATCAAACCCGCCATGCTATCCAGAGCCCTCTACAGCCTCCGAAGGCACATGAACATGCGCCTGCACTATTATAAGCAAAACCTATGAGGCTGGCAGTGAAGCGTAGACTGGGACCAATCGAACGCTGCACGCAGGTAACGATGCCGAACCCTTTCGGCCCCGGTGCGCACGTAACCTGGTCACCAAGGCCTCTCATGGTGGAGACATGTGGAGACTAAGTGGGGGGGGAGGGCAACATTGGCAACATCAGCATGGATAGCCATGTCCATAGCCATGTCCGGATACTTTCAGGCATGTCGAACATGCACCTGTGCTGGCAGGGGCCTGCAGAACAGGACGTCTCAGAGGCAATGTCTGCCCGCTGGCAAAGTCCACCTCTTGGCGCTCAAGGAT